TCGCAAGGCATTGGCGCTGCGTACGTGCTCCTTGTGACTTGTCTGGAATTATGACTGATCAGTGGCAAACAGTGGCGACATTGGCGGCGCTGCCATCCAAAACTCATACCAGACTGCCACGACGAGCTCCAGCCAAGGCTCGAGCGCAGCGGGCGATCTCCATGGATCCGGTCTCGAGAACTCGGCAGGACAGATGTCCGGCGCGGCGGGCGAGAACCTCGAGGGCGCCGCTGGCGTTGGCGCGAACGGTGCTGGCTCACTCGGAGCATCAGGTGCAGCAGGCCAAACGGCAGACGGTGCCGCGGGCGTTGCTGGCACTGCGGCTGGCGGCGCTGGCGCAGCAGGTGGTGCTGGAACTTCCGGCGCAGGCCTCGCAGGCTCTGCCTCTGGCCAGACTGGCGCAGGTGCTGGCGCGACCAACACCGGCGCAGGCGGCGCTGCCATCTAGGCTTGTCTACTAGCTCTTTATTATGCATCTGGCTTCACCACTTCCACTCTCTGCTGTGCCTTCGCTCGTGCTAGTATGCGATCTCTGTCGCTGAATGAAGCCATCTCGCCCTGGCACAGTCCAGACTGACTCGCCGTTGCCTCATTGACTTGCTCATACCGAGGTGAGATCCAAGGCGAAAGACTGCAAGGCGACGCGACGGTTTGCTGCAACCGGCTTTGCGAGCCCGAGCGCTCTGACCCGGCTGACCTGAGAAGAAAGCATCGAGATGGCACCACGAGTCATCATGGACGACGAGTCCGACGAGTACGAGGACGAAAGCCCATCAGCAAGAGGCATGACGACATTGCCAGCGCGCGCAGCAGCTCGCAAGTCGGCTGCGGCTTTCAAGGCGGTCGCTCAGGCCGAGGACGAGGAGGAAGAAGAAGAGGAAGAAGAGGACGAGGAAGTAGAGGACGAGGATGAAGAGGAGGATGAAGAAGAAGAAGGTGAGCAGGAAGAGGAAGAGAGCGAGGAGGAGCTCGAAGAGGAAGATGATGGCAGCGCACCTACTCGGGCGTCTACACCACGCACTATCAATCAAGCAGCAGTCACGCCCTCCTTGTCCTCTGTGGTCTCAAGCCCTCACACCGGCTCGGCCATCAAGCTGAAAGTCAAGATGAGCGCCAGCGGAAGCTCCTCGCCGACCGTCGAGCGCTTCACGCCGCATTCTCCTGCCACCAAGCCTCGTTTGCCCGTTGTATCTGCCTTGGCAACAGGAAGCAAACGCAAGGCGTCATCCTACTCAAAAACCACGAAAGTAGCTAGCAAACGTCGCAAGTCACAATTAGGCGGATACGACGATGAGGATGAAGATTTGGGTCTGGACGATGAAGAGGAGGACGGGGGTGCCAATTCCGACTTCTCGGAGGACAGTGCGATGACAAACTCGCGTATGACTGCACGACAACGGGCTAAAGAGCTTGGCGATGAAGGCGAGACTCTGCTGGAGCTACCGACAAGTGAGACTCCATCAGCTGGGTCAGCTCGAGTTGTTGACGTGGTCCGCAGAGAAACCGCCGAAAGCCAAGAAGCAATTCACTGAGCAAGAAATGCAGCTTAGAAAGTCAGAGAACGCACGCAAGCGGAAGAATTTATCGGATCGTAAGCTAGAAGAAGAGGTCAGTCGGGATAGCCTGAACGAGAAGCCTGAGCTGATCACATGCAGCGTCGACAGAAAACAGAGACGATCAACAGGCTGCTGAAGAAGCAGGCGGGGAAGAGCCGCGGCGTCCCTCGTGCGACGGGCGCATCTACACCCGAACCAAAGGAACCGACACCACTTCCGGTCGCTGTGCCTGTGCTGCGACGCTACGTCTCGTCGATTCGCTCAGGAGAATATTTGGCAACCTACTCTCTGCCCATCAGTCAGATCAGCTGATGGCCGAATTGCGACATTGCCTCAATGTGAAGCTGTATGTATGTATCAACAACAAATGCATCGTGCAGCAACTACTTGCCACGATCCCACTCTCGTACTGCTCGAGCAGGCTGCGGACCTTCTTCGGAGTCCGAGTCTGAGGACAGGTATGGTGATCGCGTTGGAGTACGCTCTTGAGTGTGCCTCGGCTTGTCGTCACGTCTGTATGGCGCACCGTTCATGATCGAACGCCGCGGAGCGCTCCTAAGAGGCTCGAGCTGTGCAGGAGATAGTTCTCTATCGCTGTCTAGGTAGCGCTCGTCGTCAGATTCTCTGCGCGCTCTCTTCCGTTTGTAGATGCTGCTAGCTCTGCCGGGAGAGTCGCGCGTCTGTCGGTTCAGCTTAGTTGCAGCTGGTTCATATTCTTCGGAATTATCGCGTCGCCGCCGTTGGCGTCGCTCTGGCTTCTCCTCATTGCCGGCCACAGGGCTCTCGCGACCGCCTTTCGAGGTCTTGTAATCGTCGTGAAAGGACGAGTGACGGTGTGATCGTCTAGCTACGGCCTCGTCAGGTGACTCTTGGCGAGGCCCGCGTCGCCGAGAGGCAGTCGTCGCTTGTCGCGGTTGCGCCTGCCCGGCTATAGGCCGAATGCTGTACCCATCATCGTACCGGCTGAGATCACGAGGTTTACGAGCACGCTCGTCTGATCTGGAGGATCTGCTAGCAGACGCGTGAGGCTGTCTGTCGCGTGCCTGCGATGGGGGCGCTCTCTGAGCGGCTCGATCGACGGCAGCCAAGAGTGATCTATTGTGGAAGTTGACGCTGGAGACAGTGTTCTCCAGGAAGCGCTGATTGACTCTGGCGCCTGGCTTTGGTCTGGCGTACCGCTGTAAGCTACCCAAAGAGGAATGCAAGGCGCGGTCTGACCTCGTAGCAGGCTCGTGGGATAGAAAGACACCGACACCTTCGCTAGAATTGTACCGTTCTTCGATCAGACGAGACTCTCTGAGGATCTTGTCTGCCACGAGGACATCGAGCTCCTGCTCTGACAGTCCATCTGCCTTGGCGCCGATCTGAGCTCGCAAGAGATCCTGAAGGGATGAAGTGAGCGGTCCCGGAGCACGAATCTCTGGTTGAGGAGCGTCGACATGCGCCGTGCTGCTCTTTGACTTGCCCATGTCGTCATGAGGCTAGAGAGCGGTACTCGATGATGCGGTGATGCGGTGATGCGTCGACGAGCGTGACGCGCGGTTTGGCGCACTGCTTGGACGACCGACCGACCACCGCTGGTTTGGCCGTATGCTCGGCACAGACGGCCCCCTCTCGCTTGCTATCGAGCGGACCTGGATAGTTTGGGGCAGAGCCACATCATGACGGCGTACAGACGCAACAGGGATCGCAGATAGCTCAGAGCACGATGAGCAATTCACCGCCCGCGCTTGCTGGTGGAACGGCTAGTTCTGTGCCTACCGCCCACCGATCGAAGCGCGATAGCTTCCGCTCGCTCGGCCAGAGAGCGTCGCCTCGAGCCGGTAGTTTCTATGATGCTGCCTTGACGCCTCAGCTCAATTTGCCAGCGAGTATTAATGGCACGGACGGCAGGCCAGCCGAACGACTGCTCACGGAGTCCCCGGAAGAGGAGCACAAGCCGCTCGGATCAGAAAGCTCGCCAGCCGGACCTGAGGAGCTCGAGGTCGACCAACTCACGCCCGCTTCTGCCCGTCGCGTCTACGCGAGCCCAGATCGAGTACATCAGTCGCAGCATCGTGGCACGCAGTCACCTTCGCCACCTCCGCTCACACCGGTCTCAGTGGCAGGCTCCTTTGGATCCTACGGCAGGCAATCGACGCGCTCCTTTCTTGTCGATCGAGCCTCTGGCGAGGCATCTAGCGACAGTGACCTGTCTAGTACGGATTCTGATTCTCAGGACGAGGCACAGACGCTCGTCAGACCCGCCTCACTGCGTGGAGATGTCATGACGAGAAGCTACAGTCAGGCCATCTCCCCGCCCTCTGCGAACCTGCCGCGGCGACCTTACGCAAATACTATCTCCATACCGCCCGCCCATGCCAACACGATCCCGCTGCCTCCATTGCATGCGCACAGTGCCAATCACGAGCACATACCAAGACAGGCACCTGACCCTCGGCTGTACGAGCTCGCGCAAGAGGAGGGCACGAGCCTGACGAGCCCATCGGAGTCGCGGCGGCCGTCAAATGCGACTGTCATGGCAAGCGGCAGACGGCGGCAAGGCTCTTGGGATTCTGCAAAGGCCGGTCGCACACCTACCCTCAGCCCAACATGGTCTCGTGCTGCCTCTCGCGCGCCCTCTGCTACCTACTTACACGATGGTCCCCATCCTCACGGAGCGCCCGGTCATATAAGAACGGATTCTAAAAATCGAAGGTCGATATCGAAACCTATTCTGACCGCTCCGTTAGATAAGGAAGCGTTCCTGTTTTCACGCTCGTCTGGGCTAGCTAGCGATCAACACTCATCCTCATCGGCAGGCGCATCCTCCGCCCACGTTGGGCTTGCAAGAGATTCGCCTGTCATCATCAAGCCAAGCTCGAGATGGCGAAAGCGCGCCAACTCTCACCTTTCGCAGCTACAGGGTCAGGAACGGATGCGCAAACCTTCAGACGTAGACGACGGAAGACCAGAGAATGACTTGCTGTCGCCCTTTGGTCTTGGTCAAGTCGATGCTCTTGCTCAGTACGCCAAGCAGGCATCTTCGCAACGTGATGATCCCTCTGCCCAAAAGTCCCTGCGAGAGCTTATTAATCAGGTCGATCTCAAAGGCGCCATGCAGTTAGTTTCTGCGCAATTGACGGTACAGGCTGCGGCTGAGCAAGACCGAGGCAAAAGTCCGGCGGTCAAGAGCCTGAGGGGCAGTGTCAATTCTTATGCTTCTCCGAGTCCGCCCGCATCTATGTTCTCGCCAGCGCATTCGTCAGTAGATGCTGGTCAGGCAGGCTCAGAGCTAGCACACTCTGCTACACGTCTGCTAGGCAGCGCGCGCAATCGTACGCATTCGCCTGATGGACGATCACTCGATGGCGTCAAGCAGACAAAGTCATCGCCCAAGAAAGGCCTGTTAGGGTCGCTGATCGCCAAAGCTAAGCCCGACAGTGCCTCTATGCTGTCACGCAAGAAGTCAAGCGGGGATGTGTGGGCGGATCGAGCCAGCACAGAACGTCGGCGATCATCAACCTTTGGTGCTCTGTCATACCCTGACAGGGCAATGCTTAGCCAACCGGAGCGTGATATGGAAGGTGAGCCTTTCGCTCTCCGCTGCTTCGTTCCTTTGACCCTTGCAATTCAATAGAGGCCATCTCTCGCGTCCATCTCGAGCTATCAAGTGGTACGGTAGCACGCGCGAGCGACTGTGCTGCATATCTCGAGCTCCGCTTCACACAGATCTTTGAGCCGCTGGATGCCGACGAGGCCGTGCCGAGTCTGCCCGCTGTATCTCGCTGGCGCACACGCCTAGCAGAGATCGAGGCTGTCTACACCGCAGCAGGCAAGTCGATGGCCTCAGTGCTCGTCAAGGAGAGCCGTCTTGGGGCAGATCATCCGCAAACACGACAGATGATTGCGGCTTCAAAGTCGTCCAACGAACCGAATGCCGACGCAAATGTAAGACGTGCCGTCAGCACTGTACTGGGACCCACCCCGCCTCGCAAGGTGCGGCATCGGCTCCTGCGTCCCGGGCCGTGGGAGGTCTATCCCGACGACATTGCGAGCTATCGTGCTTCCGCCGGTATACTGCCAGACGCGCTTGCGCCCGAGCCCGTGGTTTCGCAGGAGCGCTCTGTGTCGCCTGGTAGCTCCATGAAGTCTCCAATCAATGGCAGCGTCAACAGCAGACCGTCCTCTTTACGCAACGGTCATAGTCATCACGGCCGAACTAGGACGACGACTGGCCAAAATCTGAGTAGCATCATTACCAGTGAACTCCTCTCCAAGGATAGAGGACCCCATTCGCCAGTGAGATCTCCAATGCGCTCGCCATTGTCGTCACGTCCGAGCTCGATCAGACAGAAGCAGAGCTACCGGCGCTCGATGCTGGGTCATCCGCAAGATCTTGAGGTTCTCTCGGCCGCGGCCAGCCCCGAGGTCAGCGATGTCGAGCCCGGGCGCAAAGAACGAGCTCGCGTGCTCGGCTCGGACAGCGAAGGCGGTTATCCCGACTTTCTTCGCAGCCGCTTTGGGCGGAATAGAGTACATGATACGTTGCAGAGCGGAGACGAGACGGGCTCGTCTTCGAAGCGAAAACATCGTCGACCGCGACAGTCGATGTGGCAGCTGACATTCGGTCGCGACTCTCGCGCTGCTGTCGAGATGCCTGTCGTGACAAAGCAGGACGTACGTCATTACCGATCAGCTTCTGCCTGGCCACAATATGGCAAGACGATCAAACCCACGCAAGCTTCGCATGACTATTCGCCCGAAGAGGTCACACATAGGCGCAGGTCAGGACAAGTAGGCCCTGACAATCTGCATGGCTGACGTGCAAAGCAGTCTCCTGGACTCAGTGGAATCCGCATTGCAAATCGCAGCTGGACTCGTACCGCGCTTGCCCACAGCAATGCAGGAATACCTCGACGCAATGAAGCAGCTCGACCGAGAGACGCGAAGCACAGCCGCGCAGGATGCCGTGGTGGAATACGATCTTCCCTCGCTGCCAGCCGACGTCATCGACTTGCTTCCGAGGCCAAGAGGCGCGCCGGACGAACGCGACCGTGCTTCGCCTGCCGTTCAGTTGGCCTCCAAAGCGGAAGCACATGCGCCGATAGATGCTATCGCTGCACTGCGAACAGCGTTGGGCGATGTCTTTGCAACTGTGGACCACGCTCACGAAGAGATCGAGGACATTCGCGGCTTCCAAGAGTTGATACGGCAAGACATTCAGCAGACTGTCGACGAGTGCGATACTATCCAGAGCACGATCAACAATGCTGACGAGCAACATGTATGCTACGTAGAATTGTACTACGTCCGTATGAGCTGATGGCGTGTTTACAGCTCACTGTGCTCGAAGATCAACTCAATCGGTTGCGCCACGAAGTCGCCAGCACGTCCAACATCACCGAAGTGCTTTCCGACGTGCTCTCGTTGGCGGTCATCTTGCTATCTTGGCTCGTCTGGCTCGTGTACGAGCTCGTCCACCTGCTCTTGCTGCCGTTCCGCATTGTACAAAGCATTGCCAGAGTGGCATCACCATCACCATCCTCGTCATCATCACCAGAGCCTCAAGAGCGCATCAAATCATCCTGATACCATCAAGCAATGCGTGCATCGTTGTTGATAGATTAATGCATTTGTCGGAACAACTCGGACTCTGTCTTCGCGATTGCTCACGACAAAGCTCGAGCGCATCGAGCGACCAAAATCGCCAAAATCGGGATTCAATCAATCTACTTCGTCGCTTTCGTCGCGACGAGACAGAGCAAGTCTTGCCTCGCCTTGCGCCGTCTGCCGACTCGCAATGAATGATGAGCCGACGTTGGTCGTCGACAATGGAGCGCACTCGATCAAGACTTGCTGGGCAAGCTCGAGCGACGAGCCGAGGCAAGCACAAATGCAGATAGACCGTCTCGAGATTCGGCTGAAAGAGCAGCAGCATTGTGCCTAATGGCATTTTCCAATCCAAAGCCGACAAGCGGACATATGTGGGAGCAGACATCTCCCAGCTCAAGGACGCTTCCGGTCTAGTCTATCATTTGCCGTTTGAACGAGTCAGCAGCGATCATGAAATGCAATATTTCACCAAGCTCAGGCGTACAGACAGGGCATCCTGACTGATTGGAACATCGAAAAGACCGTGTGGGATCACACGTTCAATTACCAAGAGCCAAAGGCACGTTGCGCGCCTTGAACACGCTTGGCAGCGGTCTCACTAAACCTTCCACAGATTGATCCTGCTGACATTCGGCTCCTATTGACCGAACCTGCACTCAACCTGCCTGTCGTCACAGAGAGCATCGATCAGATGGTCTTCGAGGAATATGACTTTGCCTCTGCATGCGTGATGCCAGGCGAGTCAGGTTCTACAAGCCTCGTCGTGAATCACTGACGTGACGCGCGTTAGCTGCCGCTCTTGCGCCCTTTTTACCCCTGGATGACATCCAGCAGCGCACTCCAGAATGCACATTGGTGGTCGATGTCGGCTTCAGCTTCAGTCAGATCATACCGATATGTCGCGGTCAGGTGCAGGAGGCTGCCGTGCGGAGACTTGATATTGGCGGCAAAATGTTGACGAACTACCTCAAGGAAACTGCCTCCTTCAGGCATTGGTATATGATGGATCAGACTGCCGTCGTCAATGCCGTCAAGGAAGCTTGCTGCTACGTCGCGCCTACCTCTGGGGCTTTCTCGTCAGATCTCGAGCGAGTCAAGTCGAGCCGCAACGACATCGTGCAAGAGTACATCTTGCCAGACTTCACGAGCAAATCTGCCGAGCATCCTCTGGGCCATCTTCGCACTACAGACATGCCTATCGCGGACGAACAAATCTTGCCAATGGGTAACGAGCGCTTCACTACGCCAGAGATTCTTTTTCATCCCAGCATCATCGGTGTGTTGCTACAGACTCGCTGCTGAACTAGTCTGACGAACTACTTTCAGGTATGGACCAAATGGGACTGCCAGAAATCGTCGCAGATGCGATCGAGGCATTGCCGGAGATGCTCCGCGGACTATACTGGGGCAATGTTATCTGCATCGGAGGCTCAGCTTGCCTGCCAGGCTTTGTGGGCCGTCTGTACGTCAAATTCTACATACAGAGGAGAGCGCTGAAGCTTCGGTCCAGGCAAGTAGAGCTGCGCGAGCTAGCAACGGAAGACTACACGGTCCGCGTCCGTGCATCGTCGACGTAAGTCTACCGATTCGCTCAGCGTCAATAGCTCATCATGTGTTGCAATGACAGCCCTATCACACACGCAGCAAAAGCCGCACGGCACATCTTGCAGCACCCCGAGCTAGACTATGACGGCGTGCTCTCGCTCGAGGCCAGCTTCGTTACGAGGGAAGAGTACCAAGAGTATGGCAGCGAACTCTGTCGGAGAAGGTTCCGTCGGGACGCCAACACAGCCGATCTGAAAAAGACGGCAGGAGGGGTCAAGCCCATCAATCGCCGGCGGAGCAGCGGCAAGCACAGTCGCAGCGCTTCCAACTCGGGCTTGGCACAGGATGACGAGGATGAGAGCGGGCCAGAGAATGATGACTGGCGCCGACAAGCTGTTGCGACGATCATGTCGGGCGCGGCTAAGCCTGGCAAGCCCAAGACAAAAGCGCGCAATCGCAAAGGCTGGTAGTGTAAAGGCTCATCTCAGTCTACAGATTGGCAGACGATAAGAGCTGGCAACGTCCCAATAGCGGCGAGTGATGCCCTTCCATGTCACTTCGCCTGCATCCTCGACTGCTACCTCTGTCCATTCGGTCGACAGTCCAATATCCCGAAGCTCAAGCTCGCTGACGGCAGTGTAGACGTCGTAAAGCAGTCGACTCGTCGCTCCTAGACCATGGAACCACGAGAAGAGCGAGTCCTGGTCTCGCAGGATATTTGGCAGCTGGTCGAAGAATTGACGCAGATCGCGATAGTGCTCGCTGAACGTGTCAAAGTAAACTGCGTCGAATGCAAGTCCCTCTGGGAACTGGCTTGCCAGCTCGCCTTGCTCATATGCCAACAGGAAAGCCTGCCACGTGCCATGGTAAATGAGGACGCCAGGCTTATCGTGCCAGCCTAGCGACCGCATGTAGCCTAACACGTCTGGATGCGCTTCGATGATGACGTGCTTCGTCGGCTTGCTTTCTTGCAGAAACGTATCAACCTGCTGGTCGCATAAGCATATGTTGATGCGAGCAGTAGATCATGAGATCGCACGATGCCAAGGCCGAACCCGACGTTGAGCACGGCGAAGGGCTCGCCCTGCTTGCGCGACGAGCAGAGCAAACGAGCCGTTTCTGCCATGATGCCTTCCTCCCACCGCATCATGACTCCATTGCCTTCTGCATCCATGCATCGCTCGTTGCCCGGTTCGCCGGCAAATGTCAAGGGCGTCTTGAGGAACGTTTGCAGGTCCGATGCGCTAGATTTGTCTTGGTCTGTCTCGACTGCCTCGAAACCATTGAGAGCAGCTTGCAAGAGCTCGGCTCGCGTCGCTTCTTGCAGTATGAGATTGTAAGCTTCCATGTAGTTGAGCGAAAAGGCAATGTCCCCTGCGGTCCTGCCGGTCGAGTCGAGCAGATAGAGAACTGCTCCGTTTTGGAGAAAGTATTGCACAAGAGGGGCGAACCCCGTCTCTGCGGCATAGTGAAGTGCTGTCCAGCCTAGTGTGCGAGGATAGGGCGCATAGGGACAAGCTCCTGCACGGACGAGAGCACGAATGTCGTCGAGTATCGACTCGACGAACTCGTCTTGTGTGGCTGAAGTGCTGCTGCCGCGTTCAAGCCTTGCGAGCTCGAGCGCGGTCGGTTCGAGCAGCTGAATCCGCTCGACGAGCTGAGCGAGAAGCGCTTCATCGTGCTCATCGTTCATCGGCAGGCGACTGACAATGCCCGCCCGCAGACGTGGCACTCAACTCAGCCGCGAGAACGAGAAAGCGTGTCGGCGTCACGTCGGTCGTGCCCTGTCATCTTGAGGCTTATGCTATGGCAGCTCGTGGCATCGTCCTTGCTGGCGAGCATTCTTCTGCTCGTCAGATTTGTCACCGTCCTTCTCAGCATCCACGACAGCCAGCAGCGAAAGAGGACCGCCACGACGCTCACCGATGACGTCGTGCTCGGCATCTTCCTTGGCTCGGGTCTGTTGCTTCCTCAGATCCGGCGGACACATGCTCAAGACTCACTGTGAGCTAGGTGGCCATACAGCAGAGATGTTCAGACTCATCTCGACGCTTGACACGGCCCGCTTCCCTCGACGTCGATATGTCATTTCCTCAGGAGACACGATCAGCCCGATCAAGGTACGACAATACGAGCAAAATGTAGCGCCATCTGTGAAGCCACAAGTCGTGGGTAGCATTCCGGAAGCGCGGTATGCTGCTGAGACGCTGCACAGTATGATATAAGCCTTGTGCCTCGCGCGCGTAGAGTACACCAATCCTTTCTGACGGCGCCCCTGTCGACCTATCGTTGCTTCCAAGCTTGCGTCAAGCTGCTCTGGTCGACTTCACCATACGATAACTCGACGCGACGGCCATTCGCGGACCTCATGCTCATGAATGGACCTGGCAGCTGCTTACCATTCTGCCTCGTTGCATTCTTGGCCAAGGTACATTGAGATTCGATGGGAGTCTCCGTCAGCTTATGTAGTACAGGCACTCGGACGACCCTCTCCTCGCCTGATCTACATCGAATCATTCGCGCGCGTAAAGACTTTCTCACTTACTGCCAAGCTCATCCGACCCTTTGTGCATCGTTTTATCGTGCAATGGCCAGATCTCGTCCCGACATCGCAAAGCGGCATCATATCACGCTTCGTCGCCACGCCAGAATACACAGGATGGTTGCTCTGACTTTGCCGCGCCAAGCCCTTTCTGCTTGCCATCTGGCCTGAGCAATTGCTCGTCGCACAGCCTGCACACCCAGCCAGTCGCTGGCCGCGCGCATTGCCTGTGTACTGTTTCCGGTCAGCCGCTGCACTCCGGTACAGCACATGTTCAGCCGGATGCTGACGGCATGGCTCATGACATCGTCCGTGATCAGACCATAGAAGTAGGGTCGCAGGAGGGGAGATGATTGCAAGTTGCTCTTCCGGCCTTTGAACGCAGTGCAATGAGCTCGCGTCGGTCAACAGCTTGCAGTTTCCGCTCTGAGCTCTTGAGTGGCTAACCTGACGGCGCCCAAGGCCAAGTCGTATCGCATTGTGTCGTACAGTCGTACGTGACTGCGACCGCAGATTAGCGATACTTTAGACGAGAGAGTCCACTGACACTCTTCTGGCCACATGGCCGCACACTGTGCTCCCCTGGAAGGGTAGCAGACCACTATGCCCTTGCAAGTCTCGTTGACCGGATCCTTGCGAGGCCATTGGATGAGGCTGGTGTGCTGTGCAAGTGGATCGCAGCAGTCTCTGAATAGACGACCTATTTGGCTCGTCGTCAACGCATTACGATGATGACTTTTTTCAGCTCACCCATCTCATCATCAGGCAAAGGCTTAAGCCATGGCTCCATGGGCGTCTGTATGACGACTGTGCGCGCGATGACATTGTCGGTACTGTGATCCTTATTACCTATCGCCCACACTTTTGCGTTTCTGGCAACGGGCGATCTCGGAACCCAGTCGGCCCGCCAGTACTCTCTGGTCGTGCTGCGAAGGTGTCAGTGGCCGCACGAGAGATTGAGGGGTTGCACAAACACCGATATGCCTATCTGAAGTCTGACTTTGGAAGTACCGGATGTCTTGAAGACGAAGTATGGCTGGCCCGGAACGAGAGTGCAAGAAGCGATTGCCATCACTGTCGCGGTATAGGTGCATGATCTCGATTCCGAGAGGCAGATCTGAACCAGGCCAAGCAAGGACAAAAAAGGCCACAGCAAAGATCTCATCGAGGCTGCCGACGCATGCCAAACTCCTTGCGATGGTGGTGGCTTATCGCGACGGAGGCTTTGCATTGTTTCCATAGAGATGCGCGCGATCTTTCGATCACCATTTTGTTGTATAGCATAGCGCTGTGAGGCGATATACGTCTGCGAAGATGAGCGCGAGGTAGTAATTAGCTGAGCGTATCGCTCACGGAGGCCTCGCCAATGCTCCCGGCAGAGGGAATGGTGAATGTCGCAGTGACAGAGCATTTCGCAGCCTTGCTCGATAGGCTCAGCTCTAGGCCAATGTATCTTTACAAAATGTGTACTCTCGCAGATGCAGCATGTCGACACAGCAAGATCTAATCGATATACGTCAGCACATGCGCGGACTGTATGTACGGCTTGACGACCGATGGGGTTGTTTAAGTCAAATTGACCTTCAATGTCCGCTCTGATCTCGACGGCGATCACGCGACTCATCGCCGTTGCGGTGTCAATGGCTAGCTCCTTGATCGAATGGGCGTTGACCTTATCGGAGCTTTGTCCTAACCGATCGAAAGACCAGCCGGCTAGCGTGACACCAGGACCAATTTTGAGAACGACACGATGTTCTCCTCCAGATGTATATGAGAATTGCTTGCCCAATATGTTGCCGAAGCCATCCCCTTTGATGGCTGTGCGATATTGAGATGTCTGACGAGGTGCGCACGCGCAGGTCGAGAGCAAGAGGGCAGACAAACTCAAGTCGAGCAGCGTCACACGCATGGCTGAGCTGGAGGAAAGGTGAGCGAAGACTAGGAATGGTCAAGAGTGAGTCGCCAAACAGCCGGCGGACGCGCATTGGCAAGTCGATCGCAATAGCCGACGCCACCCGCGCTTACTGCTGAAATCCGAGCCGAGTCACTCTCGCAGAGGACACGCACGACACCCACATCCACACAGCATGGCACCCTCATTCGAAGCAAAAGAGGACAAGATCTTCGCAGACGAAGTCGCTGCCGTCAAGGCATGGTGGCAGACACCGAGATACAAGGGCCTCCTGCGACCCTACACGGCCGAGCAAGTGGTCAGCAAGCGAGGCACGATCAAGCTCAGCTACCCGTCAAATGATCAAGGCAAGAAGCTCTTCGCCTTGTTGTCCGAGCACGTCAAGAACAAGACGCCCTCGCACACCTATGGCGCGTAAGCCGGACTTGCCGCCTTTGTACGAAAGCCGTACTGACCGAACTCCCCTGCTTCAGACTTGATCCAGTGCAAGTCACCCAGATGGCCAAGTACCTAGAGGTGAGCATTCACTGAGCTGTACGAGTCTTCGACTGACACGGCATTCCGTAGACGGTCTACGTCTCTGGTTGGCAGTCATCCTCAACAGCCTCATCCACCAATGAACCCGGACCTGATCTTGCTGGTACGCACTAGGCAAAGCTTTCAGAGGCAGAGCTGACATCACTGCAGATTATCCATACAACACTGTCCCCAACAAGGTCGAGCACCTCTTCATGGCGCAGCTTTTCCACGACCGCAAGCAAAGAGAAGCGCGTTCTCGCCTGAGCGCAGCAGAGCGCGCAAGCGTGCCATTCGTCGACTACCTGAGGTAGGGTGGACTCATTTATCGTGCGCGTCAGATGCTTATCATGCTCACAGGCCAATCGTTGCCGATGCTGATACTGGTCACGGCGGTCTGACGGCGGTGATGAAGTTGACCAAGCTCTTTGTCGAAAAGGGTGCAGCAGGCATCCACATCGAGGACCAAGCAGCCGGTACCAAGAAGTGCGGTCACATGGCCGGTAAGGTGCTTGTGCCCATCCAGGAGCATATCAACCGCCTCGTTGCAATCCGTCTCCAGTACGACATCATGGGCGTCGAAAACATTGTCGTCGCACGAACAGACTCGGAGGCTGCAACGCTCATCACCACCAACGTTGACGAGCGCGATCACGCCTTCATCTTGGGAACGACCAATGCCGACATTGGCGATCTGCCAACACTCATGAGCAAGGCCGAGCAATCTGGCAAGTCTGGCGCAGAGCTGCAACAGATCGAAGACGATTGGACGCTCAAGGCGAAGCTCGTCCTGTTCAACGATGCAGTCGTCGAGGCCCTCAAGACCCAAAAGGTCAGCCAGAGCAAGATCGACAGCTTCCTCAAGGCGGCAGCCCACGTCAGCCACAAGGAAGCTCGCAAGCTTGCAAAGGACGCCGGTGCAGGCGAGCTGCATTGGGACTGGGATGCGCCCCGTACGCGCGAAGGCTATTACCGCTACCAGGGCGGCACGCAGTGCGCTGTCAACCGAGCCGTCGCCTTTGCGCCCTATGCCGACCTCATCTGGATGGAGACCAAGTCTCCCATCCTTGCTCAAGCGCAAGAGTTCGCAGCCGGTGTCAAGAAGGTCTACCCTGATCAATGGCTCGCATACAACCTGAGCCCGTCCTTCAACTGGGACGCCGCCGGCCTTTCCGCAGACAAGATGGAATCCTACGTCTGGGATCTCGGCAAGCTCGGATTCTGCTGGCAATTCATCACGCTCGGCGGTCTGCATTCGAACGCCTACATCTCCGATCTCTTCGCCAAAGAGTTCGCCAAGAACGGCATGCGCGCCTACGTCGAGACTATTCAGAGACGCGAGCGCGAGATCGGCTGCGACGTTCTCACACATCAAACATGGTCCGGTGCTTCCTATGTTGATTCACTCTTGCAGACTGCGACGGGAGGTATTAGCAGCACGGCAGCCATGGGCAAAGGTGTCACAGAGCACCAATTCAAGCACTAAGCGTCCTCTCATCAGATGCACGTCCATCAATTGCAAGCCAACGCAAGACTGGTTTCGTCCTTGGCTTTTCATAGACCGAGCAAATGCATTGTCTCATTTGGTTTGCAGTTCGTGAGCGGGCGGACTGACTGTGACGTGGCAATTCCATGGCGCGCGTCGTCGAGCCTTCGTCGAGGCGCAGCGTCAGGCTTATTCAGTGCGAGCCTTCGTTCTCATCTTCTCTCTGACGACACGGTAGCCAGCGGACCGTGTTCAGGAGCGGACGTCACGTCAGAAAGCTGACGATATGGCGCTGTACAAAAAAGACGAGGAAGCGGGCGGTACGCAACAGGGCTGAGGCCGTTGGCCAAAGAACTCACGCTCGCGCTGGATCTACAGTCGGCTTCTTCCTGCAAGATGTCACCACAGTGCTGCAAGAAGCAAGAGTCTTCAACGAGGCAAGCTCGCGCCTCTTGCGCTGCACGCTACCGTGCCTACTAACGCACGGCAACAGTCTCCCATCAGCCCGCGCAAGTGCAGGATCCTCCTCACAAAGGCAAGCAGCCGCGAGTTGCTCATCACGCCGATCTGACAAGCTCCGCAGATCATTTACCTGCTCTATGCCGGGGAGACCTTTGGCACGCAAGAAGCGACGACGTTGTTCTTTGGCGTCACGAAGCTGTTCCAGCACAAGGATGTAGGCCGAGCATCATGCAACGGGCTCGGACGCGTGCTCATCTCCTGTGTCAAATTGTAGCCCGCATTGCGCCAGATGGTCTACCTGGTCATTAAGGAGCTAAGCAAGATCGCCGACGATGTCATCATGGTCACTTCGTCTATCATGAAGGACATGCAGCCCAATTTAGAGGTCGTCTATCGACCCAATGCGATCCGAGCACTCTGCAGGGTCATAGACGTGTGTCTGACGCGCTTATTGCTGCACAACCGCGACTGACATGGACGCGATAGGGATCTATGATACAAGGCGTCGAGCGCTTCTTCAAATCTGCTATCGTCGACAAGAGTGTGCCCATCTCTTCAGCTGCCCTCGTATCATCATATCACTTGTCGCCAGTCGCGCGAGATGTCATCAAGCGCTGGGCCAACGAGGCTAACGAAGGTATCGTCGCCAAGACCTCTTCAGCCACGATGGGCGCGCCTCCTTCTGGCTATCAATCTGCTCCTTCGTCTTCCTACATCACACAATATCATGCTCTTGGTCTGCTCTATATCATCCGGCAGCAGGATCGCATGGCCGTATCCAAGCTTATCCAGCAGCTGAGCGGCGCTGGACGCGGTGGCACGAGCTCGCTACGAAGTCCACATGCCATCTGCATGCTCATTCGATTTGCTGCCAAAGTCATGGACGAGGATCCAAAGTGGGTCCTTCATAGCGTCAATTGAATCAGCCAGCTAAACCGTACATAGTCTGCATCGGCAGATGTACGAGGTACTCGAGGGTCTTCTGCGCCACAAAAGTGATATGGTCAACTACGAGGCAGCGCGGACGATCTGCGAGATGCGCAGCGTTAGCTCATCGGAGCTTGCACGGCCGATCCAGGTTCTCACTGCCTTCCTGGCTTCGACAAAATCGACGCTCAAATTTGCAGCCATTCGAACACTTTCACGACTTGCACAGGTTCACCCAGGCCCGGTATCTGCCTGCAATCTTGACATGGAAAAGCTCATCAACGACGACAACCGAAGCGTTGCGACTTATGCTATCACCACATTGCTCAAGACGGGCAACGAGGCGTCAGTCGATCGTCTAATGAAGCAGATCAGCAGCTTTATGGGCGAGATTTCTGATGAATTCAAAGTCATCGTCGTCAACGCTATCAGATCGCTTTGCCTGAAATTCCCAGCAAAGCAGTCTGTCATGCTTACCTTCCTCAGCGGCGTGTTGCGAGACGAGGGTGGCTACGATTTCAAACGAGCCGTCGTAGAAGCCATCTTCGATATGATCAAATTCATCGGCGATAGCAAGGAGGCTGCGCTTGCTCAGCTTTGCGAATTCATCGAGGATTGCGAGTTCACGAAACTGTCGGTTCGCATTCTGCACCTGCTAGGCGTCGAGGGTCCAAAAGCGCCTCAACCGACAAAGTATATCCGATACATCTACAACCGTGTCGTCCTCGAGAATGCCATTGTCCGAGCTGCTGCCGTCTCTTCGCTGGCCAAATTTGGCGTCAATGTTGCAGACACGACTGTCAAGACGAGCATCCGTGTCCTACTGCGACGGTGAGGTCTCTGCTACCTGCTTCGTTCATGGCTGATCCTTCTCGAGCAGATGCCTCGATGATGTCGATGACGAGGTTCGCGATCGAGCGGCCCTCTATCTCAAAGTCCTTGACGAAGATCTGCTTGCGGAAGCTTTCGTCCGCGATGGTGCGAGAGCCGTCTTCGTACCATAGAAGAGCTCACGGGAGGTTGCGTGCAGAGTCTACTTTCTCGATAGCAGCGCTCGAAGATCAGCTTGCAACTTATATCAGCCAGCCAGCAGGTCTAGACAGTCCTTTTGACGTCGGCGCAGTTCCTCGCATCAGCCGCGAGCAGGCTCGCGAAGAGGCTTTACGTAAGCCTTATCTCAGAGTCGCACGATCGCGCTGATGGATTATATGCAGGCTCACGCAAGGAAATGCCGATTGGGGATGCTTCAGCTGCCCAGGCGCATATCGGCACATCCGACGCAATCGCTCCTGCTGCAACCGCTGCCGAATCGCAGTCGCTCTATGCTCAACAGCTCGCAGAGGTTCCAGAGCTTGCTTCTTATGGCAAAGTACTCAAGAGCTCGAGCAAGCCTATCGAGCTCAGCGAGAGCGAAACCGAATATGTGGTCACGGCCGTCAAGCACGTCTTCTCAGAGCACATCGTCTTCCAGGTAAATCCACCATCATCACAGTCTGTAGGATCGCGCTGACCATCACGGCAGTTCAACATCCGCAACACGCTGCAAGACACAATTCTGGAGAACGTATCTGTCATCATGACTGCGACGACGGAGACTCATCTAGTGGAGGACTTTATCATCCCAATCGACAAGCTCGATGCGACAACGCCTGCTGTCGTCTACGTCTCGTTCTCGCGTGCATCAGCGACCGACTTTGCGATGGCTTCGTTCAGCTGCTCGCTCAAATTCGTCAGCAAGGAAGTCGACCCTTCGAGCGGCGAGCCGGAAGAGGAAGGCTACGAAGACGAATACCAAGTCGAGGAAATCGAGCTCGGAGCTGGTGATTATATCGTGCCAAGTTATGCGACCTTTAAGAGCGAATGGGAGCGACTGTCGACAGGCGCGACGGCGACGGAGACCTTTGCACTGAGCGCACTGGAAAGCCTCAAAGGTGCGCAGGCTCACTGAGGACACAGTCTATCGGCTGACAGCCGTATGACAGCTGCGTGCGATACTCTGATAGAGATCCTCAACATGGAGCCTCTTGGAGGCACAGAGATACCGACCTCGAGCTCGGTCCATACGCTCACTCTATCTGGCCTCGTCTGCGGCGGAGGAGGTCCTGTCCTCGCCCGAAGCAGGATGACCTTCTCAAGCGGTAACGGCGTAACGATGGAGCTCAGTGTACGGGCGGAGAAGGAGGAAGCATGCGCGCTGGTACTGGGCGCCATCGCGTAATGACTTTTATGTGAAATTGCAAGTCTTTGCTCTTCTACTGACACCGAAGCAGTCTACCATGCCGGTGCGCAAGCGGATCCTTATCGAGCCAAGCGAGTCGGACTCCTCGTCCCCGCAACGCCAGTACGAGCAGCCAAAGGACTGGGAAGAGCAGTCGATGCTCCAGATCGGTACGCTTGCTCCGATCGAGTCCGAGAGCCTCGTGCTCGTCTCTCCAAGCTTTCAAGAGCTGCCACTTGCGCATGCTCGAGTGTCCGCGAGTGCCCTGAGTGCCCCTCAGCCGTCTCAGACACTCATCATCAAAGCCCAAGACCCTTCCGCGATAAGATCTCCCGAGAGCGAAGTCTTCGTGCAGACGGTCGGACGGTCGTCCAACTGCCATCTGAGCTTGCTCGACCCTCGCGTGTCTGCCATCCATTGCAGGCTATCAACAGTGACAATCTTCGCAACTTCAAAGGAGCATCAGCTGAGATCCGCGAACAGCTTTGTCTTGACAGCGGTGAAGCCTTTGTGAGACTTCAAGTCCGACGTCAGCCACCCCCGGGGATCAGCAGCTGATGCCTGCCTCAGGACGTTTCGATGAATGGCACAGTCCTCAATGACGATCGATTAATCCACAATCACTCTGTTCTGCTCAATGACGGCGATGTCGTCGCATTCGCTTCTCATCGTAAGGGCCCCGTCTGGGATATGGGCCTGCTCACTGCGAGAGATAGGCTTCGTCTTCCGACAGCTCGTCGGCGCGCTCAGCATGTCCTCAGCAGATCTCATATACGCCCAGGTAAGCCAGGATATCGATCGCTCTCGTCCTGGCTGACGCGACAGAGAGCACAGCAAGGCGACTACGTCATCTACAATCGCGTGCTGGGACAGCAAGTCGGTAACTTTGCGGGCTGTATATCGGGCTGAATCGCGCATTTCAGGGGCAGCTTCGCGACCGTGCATCTTGCCTACAACACTGTGCTCCGCCGACAATGCGCCTGTAAGATCATCGATCGCAAGAAGATCAACGCGAGTAATCAAGCTACTTTGCAACGTGAGCATGTCATGCTTGCTCGCATTGACCATGTCGGTTTCGTTCTTCGATTAGGCAGAGTCTGACGCTGGCGTAGCCCAACATTAGCAGATTTTGGGACCTCTACGACACGCCAAAGCAGTCGCTTGCTTTCATAGAGCTGTTGGTCGCTTCATCAAAGTATAGCGACAGCTGACAGCTGAGTCAGCGTCAATGGCGGCGATCTCTTCGATTATCTGATCCGGCGCGGCACGCTCGATCGCGTCGAAGTCAAGGTGATCGCTTATCAGCTCTTCAAAGCGCTAGAGGTGCGTACGATGCTCTGCCAATATGCGGATCTGACCGATCACTAGTATCTGCACTGTACGGCCAAGATTGCACATCGAGGCGAGCGCCTATCGCACTGAGCTGAATAGGGCTGATTGACCCGAGTAGATCTAAAGTTGGAGAATGTACTGGTCGACGGCGATGGACCCTGTCCTCGCATCGTCCTCGCCGACTTTGGCACTGCTCGACCTTCTGGACAGCTAGCCGGCACACTCTGTGGCACATGTACCTATATGGCGCCCGAAGTGCTCTCTTCGCTCTCGCGCAACATAGGCAGGTCTGTCTGCAGTTCGCACGCAGAGTTGGCTGACGGCCTGTCACAACAGCGTACGACGGACAGCTTCAAGATTGCTGGGGTGCAGGACTGATGCTCTTCATGCTGGCAAGCGGCGAACACCCTTTCGACGTACCCGATAAAGCAGCAACACATGCGCAAGACAACTCGAGCTTTTGCGCATTTCTGAACGACGTCGTGCCGGAGCCGAGCGGTCAAGCTTATCTGGCCCGAGCCAGAAGGGGACAGATCAATTTCACGAGCGCGGTCTGGCAGCGACACGATCCAGACAGTCCGTCCGGCCAACATGCTCGATGCAAAGATGCTGACGTGTCCGGCAGTCATTGATCTGGTGAAGCAATTGCTGTGCGTCGATCCGGAGAGCAGAAGCAGCATAGCGCAAGCACTTGAGCATACATGGTTTGTCAAGAGCAGGTCAGAGCTCGAAGCGATCTACGATAGGCTAGCTTGTTGCCAGCGTGTCAGGCATGTCAGGGGCCAATTGCAAGCAGAAACGTGACTTTGTGACATTTACTTTCGGAACCGCGCCTGTCCCGCCTCGGCTGACTATTGACGAGCGGTGATCAGCAGCAGGCCATCGTGCATCCATCCTCGTCCAGCCGACTTGTCTGGAGAGGTCGACAGGCATCGGTGATCACACATACCGACCGGCAGAGCGCGAACAGGCCCGTCTTCTCGGAGGCAGTGCACGTGCGATTTGGGAGTGAATCACCCCGGTTGCGCCTCACTCGGCTCGGCTCGACAGAGGAGGACAAGATCCAGCTGACCTGCTGAGCGGTCATCACCTCGTCTCTCACGCGGTCTACTCGTCATCTACAGCCTCGACAGGTCGCGACTGCCTCTGCCGCCTGACCAGTCTTGTCCGCATACAGTCGTGTCTGACCCGCTTCGTCACACGCTGAGCCGGTTCACAAAGAGAGTCTGAGCAAGCACTCGTCCCACCGAGACACTGTAGCCCGCCATGGATCTCAGGGTAGGCAACAAGTACAGGATCGGCAAGAAGATCGGCTCAGGTTCTTTTGGTGAGTCAACCTCCCGGTGTCCTCTGTTGCCACGCACGGCCCACTGCCTGCTATCTGCACTCTCCACGCTGATCGACAATGGCTTCCCCTGCTGTCTCCGTCCTCCTGTGCATCATACTGACGCGTCATGACTCCTCCGAACAGGCGATATCTACCTCGGCGTCAACATCATCTCGGGCGAGGAAGTAGCCATCAAGCTCGAGTCCATCAAGGCCAAACACCCCCAGCTAGAGTATGAAGCCAAGGTCTACAAGACTCTTGCGGGAGGTGTCGGCGTGCCTTTTGTACGCTGGTTTGGCGTCGAATGCGATTACAATGCCATGGTCCTCGACCTCCTTGGCCCTTCACTGGAAGATCTTTTCAACTTTTGCAACCGCAAGTTCTCCCTCAAGACGGTCCTTCTCCTCGCCGATCAATTGGTGCGTTCACTCTCCTGCACCGACTCCCTTGCTGATCCGAAGCCGAGTAGATCTCGCGTATCGAGTATACTCACTCGCGCAATTTCATCCATCGCGACATCAAGCCCGACAATTTCCTCATGGGCATCGGCAAGCGTGGCAATCAGGTCAACGTCATTGGTGAGTCCCTTGCTTACTCCACACGAGGCCTCGGCCTGATGCACCGCGTAGATTTCGGACTTGCAAAGAAGTACAGAGATCCGAAGACGCACCTCCACATTCCCTACAGAGAGAACAAGAACCTCACGGGCACTGCGCGCTACACCTCAATCAACACTCATCTCGGCGTCGAGCAATCCCGTCGAGACGACATGGAATCGCTTGGATATGTCCTCATGTACTTCCTCCGTGGCTGTCTACCCTGGCAGGGACTCAAAGCGGCGACGAAGAAACAAAAGTACGATCGTATCATGGAGAAGAAGATGACGACGCCGACCGAGTTCCTCTGTCGGGGTTTCCCGAATGAGTTTGCTATCTACCTCAATTACTGCCGCTCGCTTCGATTCGACGATAAGCCAGACTACTCGTACCTGCGAAAGCTCTTCCGAGATCTCTTTGTTCGCGAAGGCTTCCAGTACGACTACATCTTCGACTGGTCCGTCCAGCAACGCAACGGCGACGAGCAAGCCTCCGAAAAGGCAGCCATCCAGGCCCAGCAACAGGCACAAGTGCAGCAATCCCAGCACCAGATGCTCACGGGAGCGCAGAACACTGGCCAGTCAGGCTCTAACAATGGCAATGGCTCTAGCATGCAGCCTAAGCGTCGCGTTGTTCAGGCGCGCCAGGTCACCAACGAAGGTCTGGGGCAGGATTCCGATAGAATGTGAGGCACAATGCTTGCATCCTCACATGTCCGCTGACAAGCACTGCCCATACAGGCTTCGCAGTGGTGCACCACGCACTCGCTCAGGAAACCCAGGCGACGGCTGGAATAATTGAACGATCAGCCCCTGCGAATGCGTTTCCAGCAACCTGTGACACATTCGTCACATGTCCGCAGATACTCATCGTCGTCACCTTCAACGGCCTACGTGCAGATTGAAGCAACCTGCCGATAGCGTAGCGCTCAGCCCTCTGAAGGCTTCCTCTTTTGTTTCGCTGTCGTCATCAATCGTCAGCCCTACTCTCAGTCTGCAAGATCTCTATACTGTACAATCTATCCGACATGAATGCTGCAAGTCTGAGCTGTCCGGCGCAGGGGCACGCCCGAGCCGTACGTCACTATCGTGCTAATGTCGGTCGAGTTCGCCAACTTCGCGTCTGTCAGTACGAGCCGATGCCTGCCGGTTGTGCGACTGCTTCGCTCGAGCTTAGACAAGCTTGCTGCCCTGCGCGATCAGAGCGAGCGGACCGATCGTTCCTCAATTGCTGTATCCATAGAATCACGACGAGTCAGCCTCGCGAGCGTGCCAGTATTTGCGCGCGTCGGTGCACGATACAAGCTGCCCCGAGCCAGGCGGCCGGTGTCCTGCCGCGTCCATTCGATCGACACTTTTCATTCAGATTGTTCCTTCAATCTGAAGCGCCCTAGCTTGTACGGGCGTTAGTCAGTCGACGTGATGGCGACACCACTCATAGGCGCCGGAAGCCGACGCTCGGGATCGTCAGAGCCTGCTGCGCGAGCACGCAAGTCTGTTTCTGCTTTTCGATCCATTGCTGTCGACCAACCAGATCCTCACTTTGTTAGGTACCTGTCAGAGCCCGCCAAAAGGTCGTTACGATCTTTGGCAGAGATGCGTGATAAGCAGGAAGAGACCAACATCCCTTGTTCAGTGCGACTAGCTTGTACGTCGCCTCGCAGGTCCTCTCCTGTAATATTGCAAGTAATCTTCTCGATTGTCTCTGCTTTGCATCTTCGACAACAACAGGCCACACTTGTACGCTTTTGGGCTGACAACGTCATCTTGTCTATGGCGACGGCACGTCTGCATAGGGATGCATGTTACTCATCGCGCCGGCAGCCTGCTGCCGTTTGAGCGTCTCTGGATCGCAAGCGAGGGCATTGCTGAGCCCGGCCGTACGGTAGATGACTTCTTGTTGTATCGTCACGACACCTTGTATCTCGCGTGCAGATTCTTTGGAATCATAGGCCGCACCGTCTTCGAGGAAGATAAGCATCACATTACTGTTGCCGTCCCCGGCCCTATCGAACCTAGCATGCAGGGTTCGACGCTCAATCTATGCAGGATCTGACTTCAGTCCATGATGACTTCGGCGTACGAAGCTCCGCACCTCTGCTTGGATTCGAGTAGCAAGGTTCGTCAGATCCCGGCCGAGCTGATAGCCGAGACTATGTGAGATCGTCGCAAGGGGTACTGAGATGTAGTGTTTAGACAGCAAACGGATGGCATGAGTATCGAGGAAGAAGAGGCATTGCTGCGCCAAGCCCCAGTTGCCGGCCTGCACGAGCATAAGCGCGACAACTTTAGCAGCTGGCCCGTAGCTACCTTGGAAAGGTCGGATCTGGCCTTGTGAACGAGCTGCTGACATCGTGGCACGTCGCCATGAAGATAGGCGCCCGAAAACTCGGAGTACCAGCTGCACTGGTTTCGAATAGCTTGCGTAACAGCAGGACTGGTGTATTTGGGTAGCTCAAGGGCCTGTCTATATGCATTAGCGTGCGTGCACAATGCAGAGCTGGGGCTTTACCTTGTCGTCCACGGCTGAAGAGATGAGATGGAGCAAAGACAGTTTCTGATAGGCGTCTATCTGGATAGCGCTGGCAGTGAGCGCAGGGGCGGATATCGCCTGAGGTACGATCAGCATGTGTACGCTTGAGAACGCTGGCTAGACGCACTCTCTCGAAGTGGCGACGAGCGAGTTCATAGCGACCGGTAGCTGTGAGGATGATGCCACCATATAGATGGTAGAGCAGGTTGTCACGGTAGCCCAGAACGGACTGAGATCAGCACGTCAGTGAATCGCCATCGAAGCAGGCGTGCATGACTGACCGTATTGTCGACGTCCATTATGGCGGTTTCCAAGAGGCTAGCAGCAGGTGCATACTGACCCGCGCGCAAAGCATGCTGCGGACATGCACGTCAGGATGTGTACCCTGGCGCAGCGAGTGACTTACGTAGAGGTAGGGCACGTGGAATCCAGTGAGTGTGCTGAAGCCGGTAACGTGGCGGCACCAGCGATGGAGGATATCGAGAAGGACCGGAGCAGATCGGGCAGACTGCATGCGCGGCAATGAGCGTCGAGATGGCGACATCAGCTTAAAGTGCGACTCACGTCTGCCTGAACGCGCACGATCTGATTTGACCAGGACGTCACTGAAGGTAGCGTGTCAGCTCTCATGTGATCCACGATAGCGCCGAGCTTGCCGAGTCCGGGCAGAGCGGCAAGTTGATCGGTGCTATACGATCTCGCAGCGAGCGCAGAAAGCTTGAGAGGCAGCTCGAGGGCTTGCCCGCGTCCTGTCTCCAAGCGGGCCTGTCTAGAAGCAGCAAAGCGCTCAGATCGTCCACCAGATCTGAGGCGTGGCCGGCTCACAGGACCAGGATGAACGCAAGACTGTGAGGCTCTGACTTGGTAGCTTGACCAGCTTGTTCCTTAGTGGGAGGCGCGAGCAGATCAAGCGGGTCTGCACCGTTGGCACACATGCTCGAGAGCCAGCTAGACAGGGTCTCGCCCGGTCTGCGTCGGTCCTGGAAGTAGCGTTCGAGCCTCTTGATGAGAGGTACGACGTTCCTGACGACTTGTGCGCCTGTCTGCTGGGTCTGACAGTAATGTACAAACTCATCGATCGAGCTGGGTAGCCAGCCTTCCTTCTTGCCGCTCCCGCTAGCAGTGGAGCCCTCGTAGGCCGACGGGCTCGCCTCTGCCTCGACATGAGAGGTCAAGGAGCCACTGAGATTGCTTGTGCTCGCGATGCCCTGTCGGGTGCGCATCGTGCGTGCGTACGAGCCTGTCGCAAGCGAACCGCTCGCATCGTGCACGCTGTCGCTTGTGCTGGCCATTGTCGATGGCCGCCAATCAAGCCAAGGCCGGCAAGGGAGGAGGTCGGACACGGTCGAAGCAGTCGCGCGCGCTGCTCTTTGGCCGTGCCGTGCCGTCACTGCGAACGCTCGTAGCTCAGCCATGACGAGTCGGGGCAGGGGCAGACCGCCAGCATGGGACAGTGTAAGCTTCCACGCACATCTCCCGCCCTGACACCGCCTGACCGATCGCGAGCAGGTCCTCGGGTACCGCAACAAGGCTCTGTTGGCGCCTGTCCAGCACTGGGAGCGGCAATGGGTCTCCCCCGCAGGATGTACGACTGCCTACAAGGTCCTCAAGTGGGTCATGGTCGCCTCTGCCGACACGGAGCAAGAGGAGGCCAAGCTGGCCGATGCGGCGACGGTGGCAGAGCATGCAGAGACGGAAGCAGTCGCCAAGCGGAAAGTAGAAGCCGAGAGGGCAGAGGCAGAAGCGAGAGAGGCCGCCGCACCGAACATGTCGCTGCTCTCGACCATCCAGCCCCCCAAGGAGAACGGACTGCCTGCTTCGACAGGCGCAGGCAACCAGCCTAGCGTTGCCCCGACGGCGGAGGGCACCCCACTCGTAGACGTCGCCGCTGCTGCTGCTGCTGCTGCTGCTGCTCTTACTCCAAGCGGCACAGCTACGCCCACACTCTCAGACGCAACAGATCCATCGCAACGTACCATTGGCGTAGTGGAGACTGCCGCGCAACTCAGGCATCCGCTCGCACAGGCCCTCGTGGTCTCTGAAGATCAGACAGCCGATGTCACTGCAGCAGAGGCAATGCCCGTCGAGGCCGATGTGCCGATGACAGAAGCGACAGGTGACGCTTTTCCGGCTCATCTGCACACTGCGGTCAAGCCGGCAGAGCTGCCGCCACAATGAACGGTCTCCTCGGTATATGTTGTAGCATCTTGCACGGGCTTGGTACAACAGAAACACCCCACAGACCGGCTCCACGTCGAGTCAGATATCCATACCCATGTCATAAGGCGTCATATTGCCCTGCATACCAATCGGGCCGCATTTGAGTGACTTGGCCATCGACTTTTGATGCAGACTGTCTAGCTCGCTCGACCAGCTATGCAGCGCTCCATATCGGCGAGCATCGACGGCAGCCCTGCAGAACCCGATCGGGGTCAGCTCGCCGAGCAAAGTGAATGGGATCAGAGCCTGCCTCTTGTCAAGCGTGAGACGCTGAGTGACCTGATCGATCTTGCCATTGATCTTGCCGTCCATGATGAGCGTGGTGAGGATGCTCTCCATGTCGACATCGGCAATGCCGAGCTGTTTGGCAAAGGAAGGAATCGTGATGGCACTGTACGACCGGATGACGTCCACGATCCATTGTGTACGGAGCGAGCGAAGGACGTCGGCCAGATGAGAAGCGATGAAGGGATCGTCCATAATATTCTTGCGGTTCTCCCGGAGAACCTTCTCTGCTTCGTGCACGTTGTTTTCCTGGTATGCTCGCACGAGATTGGTCATCGGCAGGATCTCCGTATGGCTCGCATAGGGTTTCGTCTCTTGTGAGTCAAATGGGTTGATCTTGCTGCCCATGAGCATGTGAGCTAGGACGAGGTACTTGAGTACGACGATCCGCTGTGGCGAGCCAGCCTCGTCGTAATTCCTGAACGAGTCGAAAAAGGCTACTTGCGCCTTGGCCCACGCCTCTGGGGTTATCCTGTTCAGCTTCGGTCACACGCAGAAGCGTGTGCATACTTTCGTACATGAACATCTTGCCGCCGCACTCCTTGATGACGCCGCTGATACGTGGATGCGGGATAGCAGAGCGCACCTGCGTTGTCGCTTCGTAGATTTGCTGCAGTACAGGTCAGGCTCCTGTTAGTCAATTGAGATGCGACGTACTCTCAGCTTCTGGTTGTTTTTCATCTCGGTATGCATCTGAATCTCGAGCGCATAGATCTCCAGCAGGAGTGTACCGCGCGTGTTATCGATGGCTTCGGAGTCATTTTCATCAGGCGACGGTGCGACGGACGCATGCAATTCGCGTACGCTCTGGATATCAACGAGCATGTCAGGATCAGTCTTGACCGAGAGGCTCGAGTTGCAGACCTTTGTGAGCTGAGCGTACTCCTTGCGATCGAGCCAGAGTTTCGCAAGCTTGACGTTGGTCTTTGTCCGCAGGCGCTGCGTGAGCACTGCGTCTCAGCACACCGGCGACGGGGTATCCTGTGTTGGCTACGTTTGACGTACCTCATTCTTTGACTCGGCGAGCGAGACGAGGGTGGCTTCGTAGAACTGCTGCATGGTGGCAAGATCGATGTCTGGCGAGGCAGAGACGTAGTCGAGTATGCCGTTAATCGCTTTCTCGGCCACACTGGTGGGGAACGTCCAATCTCAGCGACGCGCTTAGAGAGGGCAGAGTGGATCCCGAGCTGACTTTCGCGTGACGGCCGATTTGATGTAGGTGAGCAGCTGGGTATAGTATGCAAGAGCGACGTCGAAGCGCTTCTGACGGAATGTGAGCTTGGTGAGCTGCTTGAGCGCCTTGAACCCCCTGTAAGTCCGATTAGCCCGTGCGTATGAGTTGATCGATGCGTTTGGAAAGACTTGCCACTCGCCGGGTCCAGCGTCGTCTGCTTCTTGCTTGACCAGTGCTTCAAAGGCTGCTATTGCTTCCTGAGGCTTCTCCGTCTTGAGGGCTGCCCGGGCTCGAGAGACATCAGCACTTGCCCGTGCACGATGCCAACGAGGTCGACTGACATTTGGCGGTGTAGTACGTGTTCTCGACGTCTGCACCTGCCTCGTCTGCACCGTCATCGTCCTCGTAGTCGAAGCCGTAGTCCTGCGCGAGCCCACATAAGCGGAGCACTAGCATCGATGGCGTCATTGGCAAGCACCTCGTCGTCTCCGTCATCCATCATAAAGTCTGACAATGGCGCACTTTCGAAGTCAGCAGAGCCTCAGACGATCACAGCGAGACGCCTTGCCATCGTTATCGCTCATCGTGAGGCTCTACCCGTCCCTGCGAGCTGAGGGAAGGCTCGCCCTGTCGGCGGAGTGGTGTCAAGTCGCGCGCGTCTTTTCTGATTCCTGTAGGCAGCAAAGCAGCAAAGCTAGCAACGATTCCTCGAGGCCTCGCTTCTCTGACCCGATGACGATGACGGCGACGACGGTCTGGACGAGAGCGATGTTGCAGGCGAGTACGAGCAGGGTCAGTGGACTGGACAGGTGTACATGCCGCTTTGCATCGTCCTCCTCAGCCGCGGCCCGCCGACCTGAATCGACCTCTGACCCTCGAGTGGAGCAACTGAAAAAGGCGAGCCCTCCTTGCCTCTACCGGACACAGGGCTCACACGCACGTCCGGCTCCTTCAGCAAGTCTTTGCGGGACAGAGCGATCCACTCACGAGCCGGAGTCAGGAACACGAGCGACTTGAGAAATTGGCGAGCGTTGTGCCGTCCATTGAGGCTCACGAGACCATCGAACGAGCCTGGCAGCTCGTCAAGAGGCAGAAGAGAGAGGCAGCGCAGGAGATGCTCGAGAGGCAGTACGCGAGCATGCAGCGGGCCCTCAGCGAGCTGGAGACCGTCAGCCCGAGCTTGTATCGGGCAGCGATCTCCCAGGCCAAATTGGATAACACGTCTACCCTCAAGGGTGACGAGGGCGCTCGCCTCAGTCTCGAGGGAAGGATACCGAATCTCTTTCCTCGTCAAACCAAGGTGCCTTCTGCCTCTGTGGGTGACCAGGTATGGGACAGCAGTTGGGTCTCAGAGAGGAGCAAGGCCGACGACAAGGACGGCAAATGAAATGAGGGCAGCAGCTCTAATGCATGTACTTTCTATGCTGAGCTCATGCCCATTCGCTCGTATGCTCTCTCGTGTCGCAGGAGTACAGCTGCAGACAGGTACCGGTCAGCAATTCATCGCGCGAGACTTCAGCCGACGCGACTGACGTTGAGGTGTCCGTCGTCTGCGCCTGTTGCAAGTAGCATCTGATGAGGATGAAATGCCATCGAGCTCGTACCGGTGATGCGTTGCGTGAGCAGACCGGCAGAGTTGCGAAATTTGCTGATCGGTTCTGTGCCCGTCATGTTCCATACCTTCACCACGTCATATTCGCTCGCTCTGTTTATGTTGTCAGCGGGCGTGAGTAACCCTGAGGAAGGATCGACCGACGTCGCAAAGACAGGTGCATGCTCGTGGGTGGCCATGCAGACCATCCCGCCTTGATGCGCTTGGACGATCCTCAGCGGCTGACTGTACCGGATGTCCCACACGCAGACCGTACCATCTCGGCTGCGGGATTCATCAGCTTCGCATCGAACGACGTGAACTGATTCACCTTCCAGATACAAGCTCGCGCGTGCCGCCCTTCTGCAGCGAGACTTGCTGGACCCAAGCGGGATGGAAACCTCTCCAGACGACCTTCATGATCGTCCGGGGTCCTTCCCTCCGATCGTAGACCCGCACGACGCCGTCTCCGAAACCAGCGATCAGTACATTGCCGCCCACTTGATCCGACGTCAGCGAGGTCAAACACGAATTCGATCGAGTCGCGATATCCTGCACGCAGACTTCTTTGGGCGCATCCCAGATGCGAATCGTTTTCGAATTGCCGCCCACGACGAGATGTCCTCTGCCTTGCTGCCAGTCTGTCACCAAGCCAGACTCGTCATGTGTACTCTTGATGATGTCAATCAGCCCCCTGAAGGCCGTCACAAGTTCCGCTTTCGTGCTGTAATTCCTGAAGATGCGTACATTGCCATCCGCTGCTCGCCGCATTAGCTCGATATTACTGAAAGTACGATCAACATAACGTACAGCTGCCGGTAAGCAAGAATGCAACATCGTCTTCGTTAATAAAATTGAGTGAAGTAATGCGGCTGTTTGATCCTCCTGGCACCGAGCGCGGGTCATTGCTGAATCGGTGCAGTCTCGCGTGCGTCTTCCAATCATAGACGCTGTTGAGAACGTCAGCGATGCACCACGCAAAGCGAATTACACTAACGTCAGACGACGCGCACTATCGCTGGCCACAAGGTGCGATTCGTACTGATGGAACAGGATTGACGTCGGCGGCATGTCGTTGCCCCAAAAGCCAGTCAGTTCGTCCCACCGACTTGCAGCTGCAGCTTCGCGCAAAGGTTGGGTCGACATGACGACTTTCTCGTTACGCTCTCGTCGCCAGAGTCTCTCGTTGTAATTTACGCTCCCTGGCTCGTCTGCCTCGGCGGGTTTCATCTGAGGCTCGGTAAAGTAGCGGCAGCTCCAATCGAAAAAATCACTCCGCAGCGGCAATTCTGCACCGCTAGGACTTTTTACACCTGCATGTGTCACAGTCGGGCTGCTTCGTCGCTGTTGTAAGCGTTCTTCATCTGAAGCGATGAGCTGAGCTTGCGCTTCTTCGATCGTCAAGCTATCAGGACTGCCGTTGATTGCCGCTGCCGCTTTGCGCAGCTTTGCCTGCGTCTGAATGAGCGAATCCGCGGAGATGTTTTTGCGCAAGCGATGCGTCTGCTCCTCTTGTACAGCTTCTGGACCTCCGTTGGATTCTGCTCGACTCGGTGGCTGGGTCCGCGCATGATCTGGCGAGCCTAATCCTGTCAGGGACTTGACAGCGGCCGCCAGCGAGGTCGCCCGTTTTCCAGCATGCGCAGGCGTCGTCGTGCCGCTCGGTGTCGAACTGCGAGGCCGCGAACCTTCTGATGGCGTTCTCTGGATCGCGGTGTTTGCCGAAAGACGTGCAGCGGATCGTCGAACGATGGGTTCGAGCGCAGACTGGGCCGCGTAGACGAACGGCGAAATCAAGAGCTGGTCGTGAACAAAGTCGATGACGATCCCAGCTTTATCAGCCACGTCGGGATGAGGATCGCTTGCAAGATCGAGTAGAGTTTTGTAGATGCACGAGAAGATCATAGCGCGAAAGTGAGGGTTGGACGACACGTCCTGGGTCTCTGTAGCATTGCGCAAGCTCTGTTCTAGGGCGCGTTGGCGCTCCTCCGCCGCATGATGTACCGTTCTCCCTTGCGACCGTTTGCGTTCATCCTCGACAGTCTGATAAGCGGCGACGACGAGGTGACCTTGATGCTCAATAACGATCGCGGACAGGAGAACGACAAGCTCGCTGCGTACCATCGGAGACCCGTCAGAAAGCGCTTTGAGGACGGCCATCGCGACACCAAGCTCGATATCAATTCGTTCTGACGCCGAAATGTCGGTTCGATTGGGCGAGCAGGAAGACAGACTTTTGCCCGCGACGCGTTTGCCCTCTCCTCCTGACGCACCCACTAGAGTGCCGAGTGCATAGAGTGCTGCTGCTCTGACTTCTGGCACGGGATCGCTGAGTTTCTGTGCAAGCATTTCGTGCGCGCCACTCTTGAGACCTCGTCCCTTTGCTTCGTCGAAATTGTCCCAGAGCTGGGCAATGACAAGTGGCGCCCATTGCCGCAAGAGAGGGTCAAAGTCGCTCAGGTGCGCCAGACAGACTTCCATAACGTTTGCACGTGGATCGAGACAGGCGGCCTGGCCTGTAGGGAAGTCACGACAGAGAATCGAGAGAATAAAAGCACACATGGCTCTATGCTCAGAGACGTTGGGAATCGGCAGAGAATTCTGATGCGGCGCAAGTATGTGTACAAAGTAGTGGAACGGCAGATCGGCTTCTCTGCGTGTTGGCTGCACGACCTGACGAATGAGATCCTCCTGACATGTCCGGTAGACGCCAAGAATGCGTGCCCAAATATAGATCAGCGGCGGTCTTAGGTCAGCACTCGGGGCCTGCAACAGCTTAAGTACATATGGAAAGATGCCAATCGATAAGGCCAGATTGACTGCCCACGGTCCAAGGTCGAGGAATTTGCAGAGTAGGATCAGTGCTCGTAGTCGGTGCGCTTGCGACAGCAGGACCTGCAAGACGATGGGAAGCTGCTCTGGATGTGTCGACAGTGGCCTTAGAGTATCACTGAGTCTGCCATTCTTTGCATGCTCGGAAGCGGTCAAGCCGGTCGTACGCGCTGTACCGTGATCGAGCCAGATCTCGAAAGCGGTCAACTCGTCAGAGAAGAAACGAGACGGCACGAACGGCACTTCAGGTGGCAGAGGTCGCTGTTCTGATGCAGCTTTCTCGCGTGCAGCGCTTGCTTCCAGTATCGCAGGTAGCTGGACAAGACAGCGATCGACTGCGAGATCCCAGCTGTCCCACAAGGGGTGATTATGCGTCGGCGGTAGCTTGGGCACCGAGACTGGCGTGCAGTCGTAATGGCGCATGATGCGCTCAGCCAGCAAAAAGCCGCGAAAGAGCGCTGCAACGACTAGATCGTGTCTGAACAGACGCAAAAAGAGCGGCGCCGGTAGCATGTTCCATGCTATCGTGTCTGTGACGGCTGTAAAGATCCATCCGAGCTCGCCGAGGGGTGTCTTGCGATCTTGTAGCCGACCGGGTATTTTGAGGGCCAAGTCAAGGCTCAGATTGGTCTTGAGTGGATTACGCAGAATGAAGAACTGCAGCGCAACCTCGATGGGCGATGTCAGACAGGACGTGAGCAGGTCCGCTGGCAGATCGGGGTTCATGGGCAAGCTTTGGTGTGCCTCGCAAGCAGCAAGCTGTAGCGTTTCTGCAAAGGGCGCAGAGGGCGCGATGGAGCCATCTGGCATGACGACCGGTTGAGACGGCTGTGGCTGGGGTGTACTACTGCCGGGCCCCAGCGGAGGGGGAGGAGGTGGTGCAGCTGCGCGTTGGGCAGCAATCTCTGCATCCTTGCGAGCGCCAAACTCTATCACCTTGTTGACGATATTGCCCGCCGCAGAGCAATCCCAGACAAAAATGGTCGGACTCGATAGCCAGGAGAGTAGGTCGAGGAGTGAGACGGGTATATACTGGGTGTACATCTTATTGAAGACCCAGATCTCTCCTGAAGCTGTCGGCTTTGGTACGCCATGGCCGTTGTAGTGGAAGAGGACGCGTTCGTTCTTGGCTTGCTTGCGCATGTTGACGCACAGTTTCTTAGTATCTTCCACAGTCGGATCGGGATAGAACTTATAGCGCGTCTTGCTCGTGCCGGCCAAGTTCTCATACTGTAGCTGGAGGTTGCGGCCTATCGCGTCCATAACTTTGTCCTTGTTGAGCGAGAAAGGGTCTATCCAGCACTCGGTCTTTGCGCACGGGTCTGTCTTGACTGCGTCTGGCGGATCGAAGCCTATGCGCAGGCAGAGCAAGAGAGAAGCGACTGCCGTCTTTAGACGGTCTCTATTGCGCCAATCTGGCGTGCCTTTGGAGCCCATAGTGAGCACGTTGCTTCGTGATTTCGTGCCAGCGCTCTCGTGGCGCAGCTGGTCAGGAGGTCAGCCGATCATGCGCGAGAGGAGAGTCAGCGCCCTTGTGCGTACATCGTTCCAGTACAGAAAGTAGACGCCTGCATTGCTCGTGTGAGCATGAGCGAGTCAATCAGGTGCGCCTTCACACGCACGCTCGAGCTGATTGCGGCCCTCCTCGCTGATGTACTGCTCGGCAAAGCCGTGCCGCATCTCGCCTTCGTCGCTTGCCTGACTGCCTGCTCTGACCGTCGTGCTGTTCCGCTTGCCAGAGGCTACTTGCTTGCCGTTCCGCCGCCTCGCTCGGGGTATAGCCTCCTCATCCTCGTCTATCTCTTCCTCAGCCTCGTCCTCAGCCTCGTCATCGTCATCGTCGGCCTGATCTGCTTCCTCTGAGGGCGTTCGTTGGTGTGACAGCCTGTGGCTCGGCATGACTCTTTGTGCCTGACCATTCTGAGGACGGTGGCCGAAGTGGAGATCTCCATTGAGCTGTCGTGTGTCTACCTGGCGGGACGTACTCGCTTGCGGCCCACGCCGGCTGGTCGAAGCCAGCATGACCTGCGCAAGACGGCACGCACGCTCGTTGACGCCGACGGTCTTCTTGTCGCGCCGAGAAGCGAGAAGCCCGACAATCCCCCCGACAGCCCATCAAGCGCTCAACTACTCGATCGGCCTCGAGCCGCATCTCGCGCAAGAGCTTCATCAGCACGTCCGTCTTTGTCCAGCCTGTCGAGATTGATGCCCTTCTGCCTTTTCCCGTCGAAAAGAACTGTCATCGTCCCTAGGTAGAGATGGCTCAATGACCTCGAAGATCAGTTCGCACGCTGACGTACGTCTCAGCCAATCACACGCATGCTGTCTGTAGCTTCTCACTGATCTCACGTGTTGCCGAGCCTTGCAACGTCGAACACAGCAGCGTCTCTGCCGCGTGTTGCTCGCGATTGGCCTCGGTTCTGCCGCGGGGAATCATTGTCAGGACATTCGCCAAGCCTGAGCGGTCATCAATATTCCAGCCTTCGATGCAATGTACTGTCTTGTCCTCGTCTTCTTTGTTGCCGCTGTCATCGCACCTCGCAGACCTATCAGTCGGTCATAGTGCGGAGCCTTTGACGCCTGTGCACTGAGTTGCTCTAGCTGAGATGGCCAGCGATGGCCATTCACCGCCCTGACTGGGCGCGAGCGGACATTTGGCAAGATCGCCCTCGAGCCAGTCAAGTCTCCCGTCAAGAAGGCCGGCTGTGTAAGACATCCCAAGGACGCATCCGCTCGATCTCAAGAGCACCTCAGCCACCATCGATGACATGTCGTGCCCATAAAATACAATTGGCTCCCGGCAAAGTCGTTGGCACTTCTGGCTCGACAATCAGCAAATCATCCACAGCATCTTCGCCGCCGTAGTGCATGCAGATCTCATCTGGCTCTGACGCGAGTGTTTAGGATCACCTTTGACGAACGTTTGGGAGCGAGTGAGACGCTGCGTTTCCGGCACTGAATCTTTGCAGCTTCGCTCGAGCATCTCGGATACGACTATAGTCTCCGATGGAGCCTGAATGATTGGCCAACCGACTTCCAATATAGCGCCTTTTGCAGTCAAGAGATCTGCCAGACTTTGCTTCGTCTGTGTGAGCCTTCACTGCTCGTTCAGAACGGCTGAGCTATTCGACCAGTCCCGCTAGATTGTCAGGAAAGAGTGGGCATGCGTCGCTACTCGACTGGTAAGCTACTTTCGGATGCTCCGCACGTTAGTCACTGTTCGCTCAAAGCTCGCCTCTCATAGTCTCGCGCAAAGGCAAAGCAGGCTGTATCTGGCCGGCAAGCAGCGCGCAAGAGCCAGCTGAGTGTCTCTATAGCGGTGACGACGACGATTAGGGCGGCGCCCACGATGATGATGCCTCCTGTTCGTAACGTGCAGTCTGGCGCTCTTTGCATCTTCTGCAATGATGATGATGCAATAATCACAGGCCACGCTACGTTTCTTGCGATTTTTTTTGCTTATGTGAAAGTGCAGCCTTTTGGCTGTTCCCGGCAGGTGAGTCTACTTGCACAAACCGGATATCCGAGAACGAGCCACGTGAGAGATGCTTGACAATTGCCGTTGAGCTTGGCCGAGGAAGGAGAGGGATCTGGAAGCGATCGTCTCGAGAAGCCGAATAATGCAGGAACGCTCGATTTCCTGCTTCGCTGTCTTGACAATCAAAGACGATGATATCGTCAGGTGAATCCGCACCGCGTCCTTCCTGCTCTGACGTCTTGCATTGCTCAGAGACGTCGACGACCAGGCCTGCCTCCAAGGGCTCGACAGACGCGCGCTGCTGCTCCCATGGCCGCCATCCCAAAGCTTCCATTGCGGCTGCCATCGCCTCCGGCGTCGGGTCGATGCGCGATCGTTGCTGCTCTAGTGATTGATCTCGTATGGACATTGAGCGCTTGCCTAGCGTGAGCTTGTCGGACCCGAAGGAGAGTGGCTCGATAACGGGCAACTGCATTGCCGGCCAGGACGCCCGAGAGATGCGCGAGAGACGCTCAGTGTGTATCGTGCGAACGCTGCCCGAGGCGACTGTGGAGCAGGATCGTACCGAGACAGAGCGTGCGACGTCGACCTGATCTGCGACAGGCGGCGTGCTATAGCGTGTTGACATTGTCCGAGTCGCTGGCAGGCTCTTCGGCCGGGCGACTGTCACTTGTACCAAGGTAGGTGGGGTGACTTGCCGTGATTTGGCCTCGTGAAACGATGCACCTGGCAAACGCCGGCGAGCGAGATGTAAATGCTCATTGTGAGGGTCCTCAGCAGGAGCGAAGAGCATGAAGCTTGACAGCATCCAGATGAGCCAAACCAGACCTGACAAGATCAGATGTGCTCGAGGACTGGGCAACGTAAAGAAGAACGTCCGCGGTGCTCGTGGAGACAACTCATTGGTTGAGAGCGAAATCGCAATCGTAACGATGATCATGACTGCTATGGGCAGCACGGAGAGCTGTGTGACCTTTCAGTCACTGCAAGCTTGTGAACACATGGCGCACATCATGGGCCTCCGGTCCCTTGTGAGGGTATCGTAGGCGATCGTGCCAACGATCCGGTCCGAACTTTGACTTTTCTGAAAGTGCCATTTGCTGTATACTGGGTCAGCAAATCATCCGGGTACAGCAGCCACTCACTTTGATGGCAAACGAGGGTGTTTGGGTGTCGTTGATGACGTTTGCCCACAATTTGAGACAGACGCAGACGATGACGAGAAAGGCAAAAGCGCATTTCACAGTCGACATGATGATAACGTCCAGTTGCAGCTCTCTTGCTGCCGCAATGGTATCCAACCTTGGTTTCGGATCAAACTCGACAGCAAGTGTATCGGCTACGGCAGCGCCTCTTGCCTTAAAGAGCACGTGAGTGTGTAACGCGAGACCTAGTGACCCGTCAGCTCTCCCCTTGGCTTGATATGCAGACCTACTAGCAAGTCCTAGAGAGGCCAGGAGGAAGCCCATGACCCATCGCGCGATACGCCTGCGCAAGCTACATTCGTATCGCGGAGCTTGCCAGATGCCTGCGACGCTGCATAGCGACGCGCTGAAATTGCGTAAGAGTGCAGAGGTGACACAATCCCATGCAGTGATGCCAAGTAGGACGACGTGGCACGCCCAGCTGGAAAGCTCGAGAATTGCCGGGACGCTTTCGGACGAGAGGTCTAGAGTCAGGTACAGGAATCCGACACTTCCATGCAACGTCATGCCTAGCAAGACGAACAATGGTTCGAACCAGAAAAGCAGGCTCGGATGCGACGCAGCGCTCGACGACGCGCTGCTCCCTGGCAGACGTATATGTGGATACACGTGAGCAGCTCCAGCGGTCCCGCCGGTTGGCAGATGTGAGTATTGCTTGACTTGTGACGAAGCAAGCAAATGTCCTAGATGAGTTTGTTGCTGCTGAGCAAAGGAGGACTCCAGCGTTGGGACGGGCGATGGCACGGGTGAGCCATACGCATCACCCGAGCTACGAATTGAACCCGTCCAGGGCTGCTGGCGCAAGAGTGCGGCTTGACTTCCAGACAATGACGGGTTGGATCGTAAGGACGGGAACCGACGAGAATCTAAGGAAGGAGCGAGATGATACTTGGCGTCATTCCGGGCGCTTGTATTGCTGCTAGCCCGGACGACGATGGTCTCCGCTCCGAGCGCAGAAGAGGACTGTGATCCTGCCAGATCACTGAGAGTGTAAATCGTCTTCGTCGCGTCTAGGTTGCGCTCGTCCACTGGAAAGGCGCCTGTTGTGTTGGCGCTGCTAGGGGGTGAATGCAGAGGCGCGTGCATGTGATGTGTGCTATGACAGTGTCGGTAGCGTTTTTGCTGTCGATGGTGCAGATTGCTGACAAAGAGGATAATAGCTGCCAGAGGTACGAGTGTTGCCGTAATAGTGTGAGAGATGACCAGGATACCTTGAGCAGATGCGTCGTCGGCGATGTCTACTGTGCCTGGCGCGACGAGTCCGTTAGTGTCCATATTATAATCTTTGTAACGAGTGTGCGTAGGCAGTCGCTTTGCGGTCTCTGAGAAAGCGATCGATCCCATAACGCGAGTACCGCAGCCTACGCGTCGAGGGCGTGCCTCTCATGGAGTTCCTTGTGACCGACGAGCATGTAGGACCACGTTGTAGGGCACGTAATGGGATCGCTTGGTTGCATGGATCTAGACCGAAGGAGAAGCTTTGCTATCGTCGTAGTCCGTCTCGTCTGCGTCGTACAGCTGTATCATCGTTGTCGTCGTGATCTGAATGCCGGGCACAGGTGTGAAGCTGTCCGTCGAGGTGAACAAGCGGTCATCCTCTTGCTCCTCATCAAGCTCGTCACCCTCTCGCACGGTGACGGCGTCAGCCGGCAAAGGTGGCAGCCGTCTGACCGGCGGTCCTGTTGAGCCTGACGGAGCTGTCGTCTCGGCCTGGGCGCTTTTGCTTGCTTGGCGCTTCGGCTTCAACTTTCCCACAGATTGCTTGACCCACTGGTGCGTCTCTGGGTCCCACATGCGCTCGACGACAGCTCCCGAGTGTTTCTGCGTCGCCTTGACCATCGCCTTTCGCTGCTTCTTCGTCACGAAAGGCTGAGCAAAGACGAGTGCTTGCTCGACTGCCTTTGCCGGCAGCTTGCCCTTGGCGAGCTCGACTTTGATTCGCTCATTGAGGCCATTGAAAGGAGAGGATCCGGTCGATGCGCGTTGTTCTGGCGACGGCTCAGGCAGAGGATCCGACGCAGATACGCCGCTCACGATCGACGCCGACCTCGCTGGGACCTGCTTAGCCTGAGTGGACCCGACATGAGTGTCCCTAACCAGATTGGTGATCAGAACTTCATAAGCCTCTTGGCTGTACCAAAACACAATCCTCGCTCAGCTTCGGCAGTGCCCGACACCACGCACACACGAACCTGAGCTGTCCAGCAGTGAAGAGATAGTCTATGCCACTTATCACCTGGGCAAAGACAAAGTCGATGCTGTCCATCCAACTGACTCGCTCGCCGCCTGCAACTCGACCAACTCGGTCACGCTCTCCGGCGTCGTGACATCATCACAATCGGGATTTTGGCCGTGTTTGAGATATCAAAGTCAAACTGATCCAAAGAGGCATAAAAAGAGGCGTCCCTGGTCTTTTCAGTCCGCGCCTGTCCGTCGTGGACGTCGTCGTCCTCCTTACGGCTCTTGGCACACCCCAACCTCAAGCAGGATCTGCGCCTGGCATGACAGACTATGCACGCAAGTATAAGAAGGGAAAGGTACTAGATGCGCCTGCGACACCTACACCGGCAGCTGCACCTGCCAAGTCCTCGGCTGTAGATTCGGATGCGCTAGATCAGACCGCGCAAGAGAAGTCAGCCAGCGACCGGAAGCATCATCACCCAAAGCACACGTCCCGTCATCAAAGGAACGATGAGCCCAGGTCATCTCGACACCGTCATTCGCACCATCGCAGTGAACGAGATGATGGCCGTCATTCAAGACGAAGCTCGCGGCCTGCCGAGGAAGACAGACACAAGCGGAGAAGCCGCACAAAGGACGATGATCATGAGAGGCACTACATCGATTATGCCACATCGCCAGCCAAGCCTGATAGGCAACCGCGCACAAACCGACCAGATCACGAGGCTCGGCGCAAGGAACGCGAGCAGAACAGATTGAGTCGGACCTCTTCTGTCGCCGAGTCAGCGACAGATGCGCCAAGCGACACTCGAACGCTTTCTGCAATGGCCGAGGAGGGAGATGGCGCGCAGACGCCCAAAGCGCCTCAGTCCTCTGGCCAGGATACGCCCAAATCGGCCAGTCTTTTGGTTAGCATCTTGCCAGCTTCCTTGTTCGGCTCAGGCGTCAATGTCGACGATGAGCCGACGAGTCAAGCTGCAAAACAGCCAGTTGCGACACCTCATGAAGCCGATCAATCCATCTCCGGCACGGAGGATGATTCACGCAGTCTCGTCACTGCGAACGACGGAGGCAACACGGATGACGACGAGCATGCAGCGCAGCCTTTCGCAGCGGATGAAAAAACAGCTTCTGGCAATACAGATCGTTCGGCGCCCGACGCTGAAGATGGCCCATCAAAGGACAGCAAGCATGTTCGCATGGCCGAAACCGCCGCAGCTGGAACAGCTACAGGCATTGCTATCAAGAAGCATCACCGGAGCAAACGCACGAGCAGAGCTGAAGAGAAGCCAGAGACGACAGCCACAGCGGCGGCTTCAGTACCTCCGACCTTGCCTAATTCGGGCTCCTTCTCGCAGCCAAAGTCAAGCTACAAAATGACCGGTGTGGACTCGATGTTGATCTACATGGAGGACAAGACCTACGCTCCCACTTGCTATTCCGTGTATTCGTTCGTCAAGCCTCTCGATCGCAAGACCGTCGAAAACTTCTTGGTCGGCCTGACAGAAGCATTCACAAAGTACCAATATCGGGTCGTACGACGCAACAAGACATTCAGAGGGCCTCGATGGGAGCGCATGCCAAGCAGCTGGTCGCCCTCGCAGAACCTAAGAGAAGTCAGGCTGCATTCAGGTCGCAATGGCGATGCCGACCTGTTCAAGCGTATCGGCGATCATATCGCCGGCCCGTTCGATCCATCCCTGCCGCCTTGGGAGCTCATGCTCTTTCAGAACGTCAATGGATCCGATGGCACCGTGTCTGCGCTGGGTATCAAAGTTGCGCACTACTTGAGCGATGGGCAGGGCTTAATTCAATCATATCACATCGTGCTACAATCGATGGCCCATCAGCAGAACATTGCCGACATCAAGCGAGACATCGCACATCATCGCAGACCTCCAAACAAGACGCTCGGACCATTCTCAGCGCTCTACCCCGGTACCATCAGGCACATGGCACATGGCGCGAATAAATTATTCTTGGCAAAGTCTCGCACGGCGTTTACGTACAAAGACAAGAAAGCGTCACGCGCGACTGGCAGGCTATACGCTCACTCTGCCGGAATGCCATTGGACCAGATCAAGCTCATCCGCGAAGCCTTCAAGCATACGCAAGCCTCGCTCAACGACGTGGCCATGGCCATCCTTGCCCGAGCCGCTCGCCGTACTGCATCTACAGAGAAAGTGGCGACGAAGGACAAGCACTTTTGCTTCCTCGTTCCTGTATCGTATCGACCAGCGGATAATTGGGAAGTTGCAAATCTATCGACCGCCAGTCTGGCTTGGTTCGACTTCAAGGATCCCAAGGTCTACACGATTGAGGAGCAAATCATACAGGCACATCATGAGATGAACATCATCAAGAGATCAAACCTGCATTCCATCGCCTTCAAATTCTTTGATAGTATGCCAAACGGACTTCCGATATGTCCGCACACTGACATGCTTCCGTAGTCTTCTACAAAGTTCCGGCGTTCTATACGCCCAATTGGCGAATCTTCAAATCGACGTACTACAAGATCTTCTCGCAGTATCATGTCGCCTCCAATCTACCCGGTCCTCCCAAGCCTATCAGTTGGATGGGCAACGAAGCGATCAGCTACCACGTCCTCCCGCCTTCGAGTCCTGGCAAATCTACGCTAGCCTTGGGCATGATCTCGTACGCGTCCAACTTCTCAATCGCTATCTCTTGCGACGATGTGCCAGAGTTCCGCAAGCTGCCACAGGACTTTTGCCGAGCCTTCGACGACGTCGCGCGTGAGTTTGTCTCTGAAGCTAAGAAGAGGCTCGGGTCGCTCGAGAAATCATCCGAGAAGCATGACGAGCCGGCCATTGCCGAGCCTGGTCAAAAACCTGCCGACATCACACATCATGTGCATGCCAGCGACGTGCAGACCGACTCGCAAGAAGAATCGGATTCAACTCAGGTAGAACCTGCAGCCCCGAAATCGGAAGCCTAATTATCGCAAACCTCTGATGTAAAACCAATAGACTGTGCGTTGCATCATCACAATTACATCAAAACGAGAGATGATTCGCTTGTGGTCATCGCGTTCCCGACTGATCTGTCATGCGATACTGCGCGAAGACGGACGTCGTTTCTAGCCCCCTGATCCCATGACTGTCGGAGAGATGAGTGGTGTGTGCGTCGCGAGACAGCCGAATCACCTGCCTTCGTCTTGATGCGTATGAGAGATTCGGACTCATCTGTCACGACGATCCGGCTATTGAGATTGTGCAGCAATGTGGCGCAGTAGATTTGGCCTGTAGACAATCTTCGCTGACCGCCCCGCTGCATCACAAGTCGCGTACCTATGAACAATATCCAAGGATAGCTGACATTGATAGGGGCAGCCATAAGCAATACGACCGTGACGATGGCGCAGATGCAAGTGAGAAGATTGCTTTCGAGGCTGAAGCGTAAGAGTCGCAAGAACAGCCCAGAACCACTACAGCTGTCCGAATGAGCATGTATCGTTGAGCTGACAGGCGCATACACTTTCGTAGAATGGAGTTGCGTGATACGATGCAGATAAAAGACCATTCCGAAGAATGTCAGCAGATCTGTACCCGCCTGGAGGAACAGACAAAGCGTCCTCTCTGCCATGGTGTCCGGACCGGCGCTGAACCTCTGCATGTGGAGCAGTCGAATGCTGGCTTGCAGAGCAGCAGCGCCGCTGACACCAGCAGCAAGTACGACGAGCATAGGTAGCGCCCATGCGCGCTGGGAGAGAATCCAGAGACGATGTCCGTACGCAAGCTGGACGGGTGTGCTGATGGCCCCGACCAAGGCTGAGCAGGATCCTGGTTCAACTGAATTGTTTGGCAACCTGAGGCAACATACCCGGATGGAGACTGTATTCGAATCCGAAGCGATCGAGCTCTGGCAGAACGCCGTTTGCTCTGATCAGCCATCGATCTGCCAGGGAGAGCAATGCGACGTCGTCCGCAGCAACGATCAGGGTGACAAATGCGACCTGCGCGCCAGTGTATCAGTCGATACCAGATGTCAGGGTTCACCCGGGTACCAAGCTCTTTAGCGCGAAGGAGTCTTGATGAGATCTTGCACAGAATTGCGCGAGCATGTGCGCATTGACACCGGACAGGAAGCACTGATCTTGTGAGTTGGGTCAAATCCTGAGCGTGGATAAACCGACAAGCATGAAAATCCCGAAACAGAAACCGGACAAGCTGAAGCCGATTGATGAGGCTAAGCTGTCAGGGTCGAAGGTGAGACGCACGATTCGAGGCCAAGTTGCTCGTAGGCAGCTGATTCTGCAGGACTCATTGCTAGTGACCGAGCAAAGGAAAAAAAAACCTGCAGAGCTGTGTCACGAGGCTGCAGAGTGTCAGGTGAAGCGATCGAGGGTGCATTCAAAGCACAAAAGAAGCAGGCGATACGCGTGGAAACTCCGCTGACGAAACGCTGTCGTTGTCAATCTCGAGCGAGAGACGGCTATTGAGATTCTGCAGGAGCGTCAAGGCGTAAACTGAGCCTGCGGCATCAATGAGCAAGGCGCAACAGCAATGCTAGCGAAGGCTCGTCACACGCACCAATGAAGAGCAGCCAAGGAGAGCAGACTCGCGTTGGCTCGGTGACGAGGAGCATGGCTGTGATGGTGGCGAAGATGCAGGTGACAAGGTTGCTGCGGACTGCGAGCTGGGACAATCGACCGAACAAGGTTTGATACCTGACGCTCGCCCTAGTCAGCAGTACCCATCAGACAGGAGAGCTCCTGTCGCACGTCGCGAAGCCCAGATGGGAGAGTATCTTGCGGAGATAGAACAGCATGCCCGTGAGCGTCAACAAGTCGATCAGAGCAGGCACAGACAGACAGAGCCATTTTTCGACTGGCGACAGGTCATCTTTCGAAAAGTAAAGAATCGAGCACAGTCGGATGCTCGTATGGACAGAGATGATGATGCTGACGACGGCACATGCACTGATGATGATCGGCAGCCAGGCCGATCGCTGTGAGAGGACGTAGACACGATAGACATATGTCAACTGGATCGGAGTCTCTACGGCGACCACGAGCGCCGGGTGGATGGCGTAGGTGAATCCAAAGTAATCCAGTCCTTCGACGCTAGTCTCTGAGACGAGCCAGGACTGTAAGCGATACAGAGTCGCAAGATCGTCCGCGACAAGGCTGGTCACGACGAAGCCGACCTGGTTCGCTTGTCCGCTCAAGCTAGCGGGTGGCAAGAACTGAGAGCAGACCATGAGCTTGAGGGAGACTACATCTTCTGGAAAGCTGTGATAGTACCGCGCTGTCTGCTGTAGGACTGCGCCGGTAAGCACAAGCTGGACGACAGTGCCGGCCCAGAACGACGACAGGCTGGCTCCGTCAACATAGCCGGACTTGAGACATGATCAGTGGCGAGCACATACTTGGTGAGCCCTTCTTGCAGCGACATGACACAAAGGCAGACCAAACGCGGTGCAATCAACGCTCAACGCTGCAAGACAAACGATGCGGGTACGTTTCGAGGGCGTGCCTCTGCGGCAGAGCGGTAGAGCTCGATCGGTATGAAACCAATGTGATGTGTGTCGCCAAACCCTCCGAACCAGTAGACGTCTTCTACGACGAAGCGCGTCCAGATGCTCTGCCTCGCAGGTCAGTTTGTCCGTAGCTCGCGTGCTGCTTGCCCGCCCGGGCTCACATAGTGAATGTTGTGTGGCGGGAAGTAGAACTTGCTATCCGGGTGAACTCGTCCATAGTCTTCAGCAGCCTGTGCAGCTGCTGGCGAGGTCTCATTGAGGAGCCGAAAGTGTCCGTAGAGGACGGCTCGGTTGCGATTGTTGGCCCAAAGGGAGCCGTTGGCCTTGCGCTCTCCTACATTGTCAAAGAGAGACACGGATGCGCTGTTCTTGCCGCTTGGCTCGTGTAGGATGTTGTGGACATTGGGCGAGATGGGCATGAGGAGCATGACGAGATCGCCCGGATGGGCGGAGTCCGGGGCAAAGTACTCTTGCAGGCCCGTGATCTTGCCGTGCATGCGCTCGCTCGCATCATCGCCGAATTGTGACATGAGTGTACCTATCCCATCACTCCGCACGTCGACCAATCGACGAGCATGCAGTGCAGCCTCTTCAATCGTCTCCTTGTGTGCTCGTGCCGTCAGTACAAAGCACAGCAGACTCAGATTGATCCATCGCATCCTTGCCTCTTGTCGATCGAGCGCACAATTAATTGGAGGCTGCTCGACTGACGCGCATGCAAAAGTAGGCACGGGAAAGGGAGAATGCATGTCTGTCATCCATGCAAGCCAGAGCAGGAGCTGCTGAAGTGACCGCTCGTACTGCTGTGCAGCATAGTGCTGCTAGAGTCCAGTCGCGTGTGCTTGCGGCCGAGCAAATGCGCTTCCGAATTTGGCTAGGCACAGTAGAGATCAGCATACGCTTGGGCGCGCGCCACTTCGGACGGCACTTACGTCGCTCTGGCTCTCATCCAACTCGATATCGTCTTCTTCTTCTTGAAGCGTACCGGATGTTGCCAGGCGGGCGTTGAGATTGTAGAAGATCGTGGACGCATAGATATTTCCTGATGTGCTCACGAGTCAGCATGGAGTCTCACTGGTCAAGAGAGACACTTGCCAAGGATCCAGCTGATCGGACCAGAGACATAGGATGGCGCGCAGATGAGGAGGGCGCTGAGCAAAAATGCGGCTAGCGAAGTCACGAGATTTGTCTCCATAGATAGTCGTACGACGCTGCGCAATCTGTCATTGAATGCGCCGGCACATTGTCGGAATCATGTACTGACCGCACAAAGAGACTGAATCTGCTCGGCCAAGCTTTAGCGCGGCCATCGAGTCGTGTTGTGGGAGATGCTCACCCAGCTGTGCCGAATTCTGACATGAGCTTCCGCATGTAGTAGATCATCCCCAGGAAGGTGAGAAAGTCGACGACGGCAGGGAAGAGCATGTACAAGCCAATGATGTACAATGGCACGTGATCATGCGAGAAGCGTTGAACACGGAACAATCTGAGCACCCTCTTCATGGAGAAGAGGACGATAGCGACTGCACCGACGCTGATGATAGCAGGCAGGGTCCAGGAGCGTCTGCCGAGGACGAAGATGCGGAAAGCATAGAACAGCTGGACGATAGCTGCCGTCATGGTGAGGACGACGTTGTGGACGGGCCATGCCCACGTGTAGACGTCGAGCGCGTCCGGGTTGCCCGACCCGGTGATGAGCCAGTGATCGAGCAAATGACATATAAGCAGTGTATCGGTCACCGTCAGTAGCGATACGCCGATGACCTGTGTCCTTTCCCTTAGCGCGTGTGCCGATCGTTCGTGGCGGACGCGCTCACCAACGCTCGCGGCCGCCAGTCGTCGTAGCGAAAGTTGGCGACATAGCGGCTGTTGTAGGGCTCCGTCAGCTCTGCATGCTAGATGTGCCCTGAGCGATGACTATGCGCAAGACTGACGATAGCTGGTGGGCATTGCAGCCGAGGATGAAAATCTGTCCACCATCAATCACCTGACGGAGGGCTACGGAGCCGCGCAAAAGTGACCGACATTGATAGTCGCACAAGTCCATACGCTCGACAAGCTAGCAATGGAAGGCCGGATGAGTTTGGCCAGCTGGGACGCGTTGCAGATTCCTTGAGAGCTCACAATTTGAGTGCATTCTCGAGGGCCTGATGAGCAGCAGTGGCTTGATTGATCATGTTCGAGCTGTCTGCAACAAGTCTGTCTGCTACTTTCACAGGGCGTCGCCGAGTTCTCGGGGAAGTGTCATGGTCGAGGCAGGGCTATGCAAGGGGCTCAAGTTTCGTGTGACAAGCAGAGATTTACGCCAGACGCATTGGCCTACGCGCGTGTGGCACAGATCGACCAAGCACAGGCCAAACAGCAAGCGTGCCAGAGACGATGTGCCATTCGCAAACCTGAGCAGAGCATGGCACGGAGACCTCCGTACGTCGCCGTCTCGCTCTTGGTCCTACAGAATGCCGCCATCTCGACCCTCACCCGACTGTCTCGCGTCAAGGCAAAGCAACCCTACACGCCTTCCGTCGCCGTGCTGTCTGCAGAGGTCATCAAAGCATGCCTTTCCTTCGCAATGGTCACGCGCGAGCGCTACCATCTTGCTCGAGGTCGCGCGGATAAGCCAATCACGCTCTTGGGTGCAGCTCAAGCTGTTTCACTCAATCTCTGGCGAAACGAAATGCCGGAGCTCTTGAAGATGGCGGTCCCCAGTCTGCTCTATGTCGCCCAGAATCAGCTACTGGTATGTGTCGATGGTGAAGAGATTGCACGCCGGCTGACAAGGGCGAGCAGTATCTAGCGCTGAGCAACCTGCCGACGCCGACTTATCAGGTCACCTACCAACTAAAAATCTTGACGACGGCCTTGCTGTCCTCACTCTTTTTCAATCGCAAGCTCAACGCATGGAAATGGCTCTCCCTCTTCCTGCTCATGGCCGGCGTCACCATCGTTCAGCTCGAAGGCGCAGGCTCAGGCAGGGCGAGCTCATCATCGACCGATGAAAATCGCGTGCTAGGCTTTGCGGCTATCCTGTCTGCTTGCCTCAGTTCGGCAGTAGCAGGCTGCTGGTTCGAATCGATGCTGAGGCCAGACAGTCCAGTCCAGACGCCAGCGGGTGACGACCATGACGAGAAGGCAGATCCGATTCCCGTCGCAAAAGTCTCATCGCCCGCACTTTCCATCTGGACACGCAATCTCCAGCTTGCACTACCCTCGATCGTGTTTGCCTTTGCAGGCTGCATACTCGACCCAGCGCTGCCATCACTCTCACCATCGACGATGCTAGCCGCATTCACAGGCTCCTATGGGCCCTTGCTAGCATTTCGTCACGAAGCGCTCGTCGGCTTCACTGAGCTAGTCTGGCTCGTGGTCATGCTGCAAGCCTTAGGCGGTCTGCTCGTCGCGCTCGTCGTACGCGAGGCGGGCACACTCATCAAGGGCTTTGCCACTTCTCTATCTATCGTCGGTGCGTTTGATTCCTTTGTCATTGGCTCATTGCCTAATCATTGATCGGCAGTATCGACACTCATTTCTGCCTACCTGTTCGGCTTTGTGCCGGGCGCGCAATTCTTGGTTGGCGCTACCTTTGTGATGGCAGCCACGGTGCTCTTCGGAATCTCCTGACTGCGTCTGCGATGGGGTTGATACAACACGCTGGCATAGTGCTCAGCTTTTCATCGTCGACTTGCGCTTCGGTCTTTTAGGTCGTTTGCGTTCTGCGGGCATCTCGCCACCATGGGCCAGTGCTCGAAGCGTCTTGAATTCTTTCTCGCCCGTACTCTGACAGAGCGCAAAGAATCTGGATCGTTCGTTGTCGATGAGCGTGCCTGGCGCATCGAATTCGACGACCCTGCCAGCGTCGAGCAGCAAGACGCGATCGAATGACATGATCGTTCTCAATCGATGTGCGATAGCGATCAGCGTGTTACCCGCAAACTCGCTTCGGATTGTCTTCTGGATTAGGCGATCAGTTTCGTAATCGATCGATGCAGTTGCTTCGTCTCTGCTCGCCACCATTTCAGCATGCGGTCCTCACGATAGCTTAGCTCACGCACAGTATAAGCACTTTTGTACGCTTCAGGAGGGCACGGCACATGCAAAGCAGTTGCTTCTGTCCTTGCGAGAAATTGTCTGCGCCTTCATTTACCGAATAATCGAGATCCCAGAAGACATTATTCGAATCTTCCGGCCGTTGCATTGGCTCGTCCGAGGGCAGTAGATGGACACGACGCAAACAATCGTAGATTTCCGAGTCTTCATGCTCGCCAAAAACATCGAGCGTTGTGCGCAGGGTGCCCGAAAGTAGCTGAGGGTCTTGCGGCACGATCGTCAGACGTGACCTATACGTGCTTGTCAGCGTACCCGCGTACGGTTATGCGAGACATACCTCAAGTCTGCTAAGCCGATGTGCTGAATGTCCTTGCCGTCAATGATGATGCTACCGTGGCTGATCTCCATAAGTCTGAACAGGGACTGCGCCAGCGAGCTTTTGCCGCTGCCAGTGGAGCCAACTATACCCACGCGCTCGCCAGGCTTAATGCTGAACGATACTTCATGCAAGACCTCGGGGAGGTCAGCAGCGTATCGTACAGATACTTCATCGAAAATGATTTCGCCAGCGTGTGGCCAGTGCGCAGGCGGTCGTGGCTCGACAAAGTCTGCTGCTTCTTGATCGATCAAGGAGTACTCTCGAATGCGTTCCATGCCGACCATGGCAAGTTCCAGTGTAGTCCAACGCCTGACAAGGAAAAGCAGGTCGTTTGACAGTTCGAGTGCAAATGTCAAGGCAAAGCCGGCAAGTGCCGCATCGATCGCGCCATCGGCCGATATCAGTGTGAAACCAGCGATGCCGACAATGACTGCCGACAGAATCTGGAAGCGGACTGACAACCATCGCGAGACTGCCCAATTCATGTACTCGAAGGTGATGTTTTGATCGACACGCTGCAAGAGCAGGAACATGTATCGAGCGCTGCCCCCAAACGCGCGCACGATAGCCGCACCATCCTCGCTGACGATCTCACCGTAGAGGGAGAAGACGGGACTTTTGGTCGTCGAGCCCAGTCTGCGTAGCTCCCTGGCTGTGCGAGAGTATATACGGCCGAAATAGACATAGATTGGCGCCAGCAAGAAGAACACAAGCAGGAAAGCTGGCGTCACGAGCGAAACGGTCACGACCGTGACAATCATTGACAGAGCATAGATCAGGCTACGGCCCTCATGATCCGCCAGCTCGCTGTCCATGACCTCACAGTCTTTGCCGAATCGATTGAGCAATCGACCGATAGCGATAGTGTCATGAAAGCGCAGCGGCGCCTTCAGAACCGCATGCAGCAATCCCTTGAAGATACGTGTCGATGCGCGTATACTGCCATTGTATAGAATCAGCCATCGTCCAGTGCTGATGACGACACTGCCGATCGTCAGCAAGGCATATATACCAAGATAGAAGTTGATTGAGTCGGCTTGCGAATCCTGCAAACGCACAGCATTCTCGCCTGAGCCAGTCCACCTTGCAAGCCACCCAGTTCGGGCGATCTCGAGCGCGTTGGTGCCAATGAAGAGCGTAGCAAAGCAAGTCCAGAAAATTGCGCTGCCCTGCGCGCTGATGTGCATCTTCCACACATCCCGCGAGACGGCTCCTACGGCACGAGCTTCGTCTTCGATGAGCTTCCGCGGCGCAGAAAGTAGGCCTTTCTCGTCTTCGCTCTCGCTCTCACTACTACTGTCAGAACCGCTATCGGAGTCGTCATCGTCAGCTTGCTTGTTGACGATGAGGATTGACGACCGCCGAGTCTGCGCCTTTGGACGAGACTTTGCGTCCTCAGCAAGCGTTTTGGCTGCGTCTGACTCAAAGAACGCGTCCGGTGTGCCGGACCATGCCAGTGATCCATGTTCCAGCGCAAAAATCTGATCAGAGACGGGGCCAACCAGAGCGACATGGTGTGTGACGAGCACGATAGTCCGGCTTCGCATGAGTCTGCCTCGCAGACACTCCTTAACAATGGTCTGCGCCGTGTGCGAATCCACTGCGCTCAAAACATCACTGCGATGCGTCAGTTTGAGCGATAATCGCCGGACGAGAACTTACTCTAGATAGACATGCCGAGCTCGACTGTATACTGCACGCGCAAGGGAGACCCGTGCCTTCTGTCCACCGGAGAGTGTGACGCCACGCTCGCCTACTTCAGTGAGATCACCGTCTTCCATGATGCCGAGGTCTGCCTCCAGGCTGCAAACACGCAGCACTGTCCTCAAGCTGTCAGGTATTCTATTGTTTCACCGGAAGGAACACGATTTACCCTCTTCGTAGCGATCCTGGTTCATTGGCAATGCAAACAGAATGTTGTCACGAATGCTCGCGTTTGACAGCCAGGGCGTTTGTGGCACGTATGCGAGCGACTCTTGGAGCCAATCATCGTCCCCAATCGGACGATACTGTCCTGGCAGTGGCAATCCATTGGTAGGGGACTTGGGCGCGAGGATCTGCCCAGCAAGAACATCTGCCTCACCCAGCAAAGCATGTAGCAGCAGCGTCTTTCCTGAGCCTAGAGGACCGCAGACGACCGACAGTGAACCAACGTCGAAGACGAGGTCAAGATCCGTCAGCATGAAGCGCCGTCGACCGCCTGGCGTTTCTGTTTCTAGCTCGCCATCATCTTCTTCCTTAGCGGGTATTGCGGGCCATGCAATGGTAGCGCTACGGAACTCGATCTTTGCTTCGGTCGGTGAGGAGAATGTGGGTGGCCGCGCCTTTATCAGATCGACCTCAACCGCAGCGTCCTCTGAGATGTCCGGCGAACTCAGATAGGCTTCAATACGTCGCAAGCTGACCAGGGTCGATAGCAGTGAGACGAGGGTGTCTGGCAAGCAGTTGAGTGCATATTCTAGCTCTGTCGAGACTGCCAGAAAAGCGAAAGCAGTACTTGGTGTCAAGGTCTTGCCGAAAACTTTGGTATGGAAGTAGAAAGAAATGAGCACGCCAAGCATCGGTGTGACCGACCAGATAAAGTCGAAAGTGGCCTCGAGATAGTAGTCATACTTTTGATACTTGAGCTCTTCGCGCCGTGTAGCCATGATGCGCTCCTCGATTGCGCTCTCCCATCCGTTATACTTGAGCATGCGTATACTTTTGAGGACTTCGCTCATCAGCGATACGCGCTTGTCTCTAGCTGACATGAGCTTGTTCTGAACAACGGCGAATCGCTTAGCCGCCCAATGGTTGAGTGGCAGGAAGAGAACGTTGACGAGTATGCCCAAAATGGCAGAGACACCCAGCAATCGGTATAGAAAGACAGTGCCAATGAGCAGCTCTAGAGGCGCATCGACCAGTGAGAATGACCAAACGCCAAAGTCTGATATTCGATCGACGTCGACGGAAAAGAGGTTCATGACGCTTGCTTTTGATTTAAAGGCCTCGATGCCTACGACTGCAGCATCGTCGTCCTTGTCAGACTTTTTCTGCAGATCCTGCTCTTTGCCAGACTTTTTAGACGTGATAGCATCTTTGGCACCATTCTCAGATACGACTCGATCGCCATTGCGGGCACGGGTGTCATCTGATGCTGTGCCAGAGGAAATATCCTTACGCCGAAGCGTCTTTTCGAACACGATTGTGTTGAGCTGCAATCTGAACCGCGAGCAGATGACTGCGTTGCAGAGATACCAGCTATGCGCGAGTCAGCTTTGCTTGGCAGGTGACAGGTTGAGCTCACAGGGCGCCATTGAGGCAGGCGAGTACTGTGAGGGATAAAAATAATCCGAGACAGTAGGCATAGCCGTAACGTTTCTGTTCCCTGCGAGTGTCCGCGCCAGAAGATCCATCTGCCGGATCCTCGAGAAAATGAACGACCTTTTGCAAGAAAAAGGCAGGCAGATAGTAGCATAGCGCGGTGATGCCAGCCAAAATCGCTTGCGCGAAGAAAAGCTCCTTGTTGACGACGAGCAAGCGCCACATGAGGCGATTCCAATATAAAGGACATTGACCCAGCTCTCGCTGCAATGCAGCCTCTGTTCTTCCCGCTTTGCTACGTGTATCGCCCCCAATTGACAGCCGAGCAGATGCACGCATGCCCAGGAAGAGGTTCCTCGCCCTCATAGACGGTGTCAGGTAGGGCACGTCCTCTGCATCGATCTGTGGCTTTCTCTTGGCGACCTTGAGCAGTGGATTGACCCACGAGAACGAGATGAAAGCCAAAGGGCCGGCGGCGGTCAAGGGCACGACGTCCTTTGGCCTGCCATCCTGCGAGCTCTCTGTACGGTACAGCGGCGCTTTGTCGATAGAACCTGCCAGCCATGCAGCCACTGTGATGAGGGCGGTCTCTGTCCAGAGTAGACCAAGTTCGACTTTGCTCCGTACGACGAGCGACTCCGTTGGTGTCAGTATGCTCGCCCAGATGGACACAGTGGTCAGACTGAGAAGCACGAAGACATGTAGAGTAGCCCTCCAGTGCTCTTGCAATTGTCTCGTGCGCAAGCTGAATGTGGTGAGGGCGGCGATGACGATCTCGAGAGCAAAGGCGAGTGCGTCCAAAGTGATCAGTAGAGCACGATCGCTGCCGGCTCGAGCGAGGGCGATGTGGTAGCCAAGCTCGAAGGCTCTCAGGCTGGCAGCAAGCGAGAGCACTAAGATCAAAATACTCCTGTACAGCCTGGTCCTCGCCCAAAACTGAGGCGTATTGACGGCTTCGTCTTCGTCAAGTCGCTCGCTTCTCGGGCGTTCTGGCCGATGCCGAGCCAGTCGGAGATATACGAAACTGCTGCATGATGCGAGCAACAGCACCACAGGCACGGTCACCACAGCAGCCGAGCTCATAGCGCCCGCACGCTGGGTATGACGCGCGAGACTGGTCGACCATGATCGCGTTAACGAGCCAGGCGCTAAAGAGTGGACATTGGAGAAAACGGAAGCATAATGCATTGCTCATGAGATTACATTGAGCAAAGCTGGACCGCACCTTCATCCATATTGAGCGTCAGCATGATGATGTCGAGCTTTCTGGGACGCACATCGGACAATGCTTGGAGAATGTGTTCGATGCGCATGCTTACCACGAAGTGGCGCGACAAGCAACAATGCGAATGCCGGAAGCAAATCGATAAAGCCGACGGCTCTCGTCGTCGACTGTTTGCAGGTGGGTGATGCGACTCGACAGAAGCAGTGCTGAGAGCCACCTCTCCTTGACGAGCGTGTGCGTCTCGACATGACGTGCATGTGCAATGTGCAGCATGCAGGCAGCGTCTCTCGGCTGACACTCCCGGCCGCTGACAGTGCACAGTACAGAGGCGTCCATCATCAGCATGTTGCATGGTCTGCCTCTGGGCTGTATCTATGTTGCAAGATTCGAGACTGACTTGTCGCCTTCTTGTCGACCGCGTTCGCGATCTATCGAGCGAGTCCGCCTTCATGTGACAGTCTATGATGCAATAGAGCGTGTCGCGAGCCGTCGACAAGTACGTGATCGCTACATCACATTGACGCGGAGGGTTCCATCCTATGACAGATGGCCGTTCTGCCGCTTGAGGGCCGCGCACATGAGCATATATAAAGGCACAACCACAATTGTCGCGGTCTTGCCGAGCCGCTCTCTTCACCGAGCAAGTATGCCTTAATCTGAGGCCTTAGACCCGTAAACCGCTTCGGAAGTTCTCTTGTACCATCGGCGACACCCGGCCATTCGCTCCATCTTCACTCGATCAGAGTTCTTGGGAGGCTTGATGGCGTGGGTCCTTGCACGAGTCTAGAGCGACTGCATCGTCAGATTTGATCGCCAGACGGCATTTTGGGTTGTGCTGACTTCGACTTCGTCTTCACGTGAGCGTGAAAGGCGGCGCGCTTTAAAGTGATCCAACCAAAACGATCGCGTTTGACTGCGCTTGCGTGCCCCGTCGTAGAGCGGATGGTGTATCACCGTATATTTTCCGACCAGCCTCTTTTGACTCTATCGGCATATCTCAGACGTTCGCCGGCGCTACACGCATGCGACGGCCTGGCAGCAGAAGCATATATAGAGTTTTTGCTTAGATGGCATTGACTGCAAAGCGTCATAGTGCAGCGGTTAACACGTCTGGCTCATAACCAGAAGATCGCCGAGTTCGATTCCGGCTGACGCTTTTTGCTCTCGTTCAGAGCATCGAGCATCATCCTTTTTTGCTCAGAACTTGCAGTAATGTGAGATGCATAATGAAGAGCTAGTGGACAAGCTTAGATGGCAGCGCCGCCTGCGCCGGTGTTGGTCGCGCCAGCACCTGCGCCAGTCTGGCCAGAGGCAGAGCCTGCGAGGCCTGCGCCGGAAGTTCCAGCACCACCTGCTGCGCCAGCNCCGCCAGCNGCNGTGCCAGCAACGCCCGCGGCACCGTCTGCCNTNTGNCCTGCTGCACCTGATGCTCCGAGNGAGCCAGCACCGTTNGCGCCAACGCCAGCGGCGCCCTCGAGGTTCTCGCCCGCCGCGCCGGACATCTGTCCTGCCGAGTTCTCGAGACCGGATCCATGGAGATCGCCCGCTGCGCTCGAGCCTTGGCTGGAGCTCGTCGTGGCAGTCTGGTATGAGTTTTGGNTGGCAGCGCCGCCAATGTCGCCACTGTTTGCCACTGATCAGTCATAATTCCAGACAAGTCACAAGGAGCACGTACGCAGCGCCAATGCCTTGCGAGTATGAACCAGCCGCGCCGACTGCGCCGTGCTCACCACCGGCAGCGATCGCAGATCCTTCGAGACCCGCATAGCCGTTTGCGAGGCCACCAGCCGCTGTTCCCTCGTTGCCGAAGACGTTGCCGGCAGCAGTGCCTTGNGCGCCAACTAGGCCAGCACCACCTCCGCTGACTGAANCGACACCGCCAGCGCCGGACGCNTGCGAGCCTGCAGCACCACCTGCAGCGCTAGCTCCGCTTCCTCTGCTCTCAGATGTTAGCTCGTTGCTGGCACAATGCAAGGCTATGACTTGCCCGCCACCGACGATGGGCGAGGCAGAAACGTAGGCAACTGCGAGAGCCGAGAGAACGAAGCTGAGCGTGACCTTCATNGTGATGCGAATGNGATGCTAGTGTGATGAGGTGGTAGTGATGGCTGTGAAGTGATGGATGATTAGATCTATACCGCTTGCTTGTTAAACCATTTGCAGAACGTCCTCGGACGGTTTTGTGTTCTGAGAGGGCCAGCAAAGTAGAGCTCAGGGAATACCCAGAGGCTGACAAGTGCCGAGGAGATCATTCAGAGAGACTCTCGATGGGCGCTCCTGATCTCGAACGAGGCGAGGTCCGAGCGCGCCTCGCGTCATTGCGCAGAATCCGGCTGCTGATGATGGAATATGTAGAGCATACTATCTTGCTTTGATGACTAGGTACTGAATGCTGTATGTCTGGCGCACTGCNACGTTTAGGACTGCGAGTGTGGTGAATTGCCTCTGGAGGTGGCACTGGCCACCTACGGATTAAAAGGGCCTTCTCCACACGTAGCCTGTCTCATGCGGTCTTCGTGACCGCAGCAGGCGCAGTAGTCCTTTTGCTACAGTATGGGCCAATCAGACAGCGACTCCATGCGTTGACGACTGTTACTAAGGCATCGAAACTCAGNGCAGCGNTCTCGTGAATATGATGTCGTACTGCAATCTGCTGTAGCAGCGCAAGATCTGTATGATGGCTGACAAGGTCTTGCATTGGGATCGGAGACGTTTATGAGATATGACATGCGAGCGAGTGGGCGGACCCGGTTTATAAAGGCAGTTCGAACGTCATGCCATGATTGCAAAGTATGCGAGCACTTAGGCCTCAGACAGAGAAAATAGCATTAGAGATAGGCGATGAGCAGACTGGGGCGTTTGTAATTGTTCACTTATGGAGGACTGCCCCGTTGAGCTCAAAGAACCAGTGAGGTGGGTGGAAAGGTGCGGCGTGAGGATCGATGTGGATCGATGTGAGAAGCATTCTTCAGATCGTCTGCTATCGCTTTCCGGCCCTTCAAAGCGCTAGTATGGTCTTTTTGTAGCTAAGGTCTTCAATTTTGTATAGCTTTGCACTGTCTATGACCCTTGCATAATGTCCTGTAGATATTGAAAATTGCTAAACGTAGGGCCACCATAATCCCGCACATCTCGCGCATCTAACCACCGGAAGATTTTTGCGAGTTGAACCCGATTTGCCCTTCTCTTGTACAAAGAGCATTGAGGCCTCACAAGCGTGTTCGACCTATATCACGTAGTATCAGCTTCAATCTTGAGCATCTAGATCTTCAAGCAGAGGGATGCTCGAGACAATATTTGAGCAAATGTACTAGGGTGCGCTCGCTGTCTGCTGGAACTGACAATGGCTAGCAAGCTTCATCAAGCCTGGCACACGCTTGCTGCTAGGATGAGAATCGTCCAAGGCCGTTGAATGAGCGTCCTGAGATCACATATGCCGACTGCCAGACGAAGATGTGCCCAGGGCCTTTACCCTTTGCTCGAGTCAGAACGTCACCACAGATTCAATGAAAGGAGAGTGATGAGCAGCAAGCTTTGGCATAGGTGATGCGCAGGTTGCTCGAGCAGTCAGAGCGCTCGTAAGCACGCCGACGGGTAATTGCAAGTATGCGGACGCAAGTATGCGCGCGCAAGTATGAGGATTCGGACCTCGATATCGAAACGCCACTGGATCCCCAATTGCCCAGGTAGGTCTCGCGGTCATGCCGCAAAGATACTTCAATTCAATATTGTGGGGTGACTGCTGAGCTCTAATGCGCGAGGCGAGCGCTACAGGGCTACGTCATTCTGTAGCTCAGGGCCAACTTGGGGCGTAGGTTCGACGCGACAGCAGAGCCCAGCGGTCCGGCGCCCAAGCTAATCTATCTCAACGAGCATCTCCTTCCGAGTCGCAATCGCCATTGCGTAGCAAGTACATAGCACTGACTTCAATATGAGAGCGTCACAAAGCAGCTCTGAACGGGAACGATTGCGCGGCATCGGAAGCAACGACCAAAACCGTTCGTTGCACTATCTGTTTCTCAGCAATCTTCATCGTTCTCACGAGCCTCTTGAGCTACCACAAAGCCAGCCGGTATCCGTACGGATAGTATTGCAGCCCTCTCGATGGAGGTGGGCGCATTATGACTCCGACACGGTGCATAGTATCCGACTGTGGTGTCACGACGAGACAGCACGCTGCTTGAATAGTCAGCCTTCACGGTACTCTGAGCGGGCTTCAACGCTCTTTTCTGGTCGAACAAAGGCCGAGGGAGCAGTTTCGATCAGACCATAGACTACGAACATCATCAGAAGTTGCCTTGCAAGTCACATCCGCTGGCCAGCAGCGAGACACTATGGAATGCGTTGAGCATCTCTGCAAATTGCTGAAAGGCGATATCCAGACATTTGTACCATTTGGGTTCATTCTGGCCAGCGCTACATGTTCACTAAGAGCCCTATCAGAGGTTAGCTTGTGTCCGCGGGAACGCCATCTTGTCTTACGGTAGATGGAACTCGTTTACTATGGCAAGGTGGGCAGGTCTTCAGTACAAACCTGCTTTGGCGATCTAACTTTATCGGTACGACAGGTTGGATGCGTCGGCTACAATATGATGAGAGCATTGTCAAGCCTCTGAGGAGAGTTACCATCTTTACTGCGAACAGTACGGTTTAAAATTCGACTAGGTGAAAAGTCTTCCTAGCTTCGCACGCCGCACATGAGTGCCAGACGGAGCTGATTCGAGTGCGCGAGCATGCGATCTCGGTCTGTTCTGGTCGCAAAATCTGTTTCGACCGGCGCTCAGGGCGTCTAGCTTGGGTATATAATCTACAAGCGATATTTTCGTGCTATCGTCCTTGCTAGTACATCGGCTAGTATTTCCGCCTTTCACTCCCATCAAAGATGATCGCGGACGAGCAGGGTTCAACTCCCTGGCATGGAAATCATAATCTTTTTGCATCTTGTACATGCATACTTTTGCTGCATGCGAACCTGCTACGCATCCCAGGAAGCGATGCAAGGCTTGAGCCGAATACTTTGCGATTTACGCTGGTCGGGGCATTGGCGCCGCGCGAAGTCCTTTTTTTCCGGTATTGCCACGTCTCTTCGAAACCGAAGCGAGCGTCTGAGCCGGCGCAAGCACGCCCACCTTCGTTCAAGATGGTGGCGGGAAAGTTAGACATTGCAAAGAAACAGCACAGAGAACGATCGCAGCCTGTACAACGCAAACGGCTGGGTCTGCTCGAGAAGCATAAAGATTATGTCAAACGAGCGAGGGACTACCATGCCAAGAAGGACAAGATCAAAGCACTCCAGACGAAAGCAAGTCAGCGCAACAAGGATGAATTCTACTTTGGCATGATCAAGGCAAAGACAAGGGTGCGGCCATCGACAGCGATACCTCTCCTGTGCTAAGATCACAGCAAACGCAGGGCGGTATACATGTGCAGGATCGAGGGAATACCGCCTTGCCGCAAGAGCTGGTACAAGTGTTGAAGACTCAGGACGCAAAGTATATCGAGCGAGCGCGAGCGTCAGAAGCCAAGGTGCGTACTCGCGAGCCTGAGGAGCCCGGCTGATGCATCAGCTCTGACGCAGAGGATTGCATCCGTCAAGGCGCAGCTGGCCGTCCTCATCGATGTCGGCAGAGATGAGGAGACTGCCCGCTTAATCTCTGGCTCGGCAGAAGCAGGGCCTAGCAAGCCAAGCAAGACCATCTTCGTCGACACACTGGATCAAAGTAGGTAGCTCGTTGCATATTGCAAGCCAGCTCAATGCGCTACCAGTGAAACGCTACAAGCCGCAAGAGGTTCGCAGCAGCAAGACAAAGCCAGGGGCAGCGCCCGAGGACGAAGATATCCGGGCAGCGCAAGCAGCTAAGCATCGGACGAGGCTGCAGCTAGAACTCAAGGCGCGGCTCGAACGCGACCAAGGACTCGCACGAGCGCAGAGAGAGCTAGAGCTTACGCGGCAGCTGATGCGCAAGGGGTCGAAGAAGCTCTTGGACAGATCGAAAGCAGCCGGGGAGGAGTCGAGCATTTCGCGCGCAGAGGAAGAAGATGATGAGATCGCGCTGAGACAGATGCGCAACGGAGCAAGGCTTGAGGGGCTACCTCAAACAAAGCTGCCCGAGCCGCATCAACGAGAAGGCGTCACGACTGGCGCAAGAGTCTGGGTATGCGCTCAGAGCTGTTTCGGCAGCGTGGGCTGAGACAGTCATGCAGAAATGGAAGAACGTGAGACAACGTTGAGCATACAAGATCGCAACAACAAGGCAGGTCTTCATAGAGTTGACAGTGTATTCTTTGCGTGTTGTCGTATCGCTGCAAACGGGTTGGCCGCAAATGCTTTGTGATTGAGGATTGCCGGCAGTCGCTTCGACTCTGCTTCACTGCGCTACCTCAGCACGAATTACTAGAGCTTCGTGAGGCTCACATCATCTTTGCTCGCTTTGCAGTGGTGAGCTTGGCAGTAGACTGAGCGGGAGACTTTGCGGCTAGGGGCTCAGTCTGATGCTGTCGACTTTGCTTAATCTTGTGCTGTCTTGCATGATCTGGCGTAGGGGCAGGGACAGTCTCTGTGGTCTGTTGCAATGCGTCTTGCAGCTCGCTCAGGCTCGCACCGGCCAGGTTGGTCTTTTCTTTTCGCTTCAGTCGTCGAGCGTGCGACTTCGAATAAGGGTGCGGCTGTGTTGAAGCCTGCACTTTTCGTAGCAAGATCTTCCTCCTTTCTGCTCCTTTGTCTACTCTCGACGGTGCGGCAGGCGGATAGGGAGACGGTTCGCTGGCCTGTAATGGCTCCTGAACGAGCATCGGTGTAATTTCCTCTTTCGCTCGATGTGAGCCTAGTGTTGCCGCTTTGAGGTGCGTGCGAGCACTGTTTGCTTTCTCTGCACGAGGCTGAAGCAAGACGATCAGCTTCGATCAGAAGACAGGCAGCTAGAGCTACTGACCATGCTTTGGGCGTCGGTGACAGCGAGACGCGGCACGCGACCTCCTCAATGACTGATGACCTCATACTTATCAGCATCATACTTTCGACCAATCCGTGCTCTGCGTCGTCCGGCAGCTCGCGATGTACAGACACAATGCATACAACATGATCTGCTGGACATTTGACATGGAAAGGGGTGTGACCTCTGCGGACTCGAATCTGATGAGTGCGCGGAATGGAAAGACAGGGTTCTGGCGAGGCAGGCTGCTCTGTGCGCGACAAAGCAGACGCTGTGTCGGCGACGCTACGAGCAGCGTAGCTGGCGCTCTTCATATCGCTGCCGTGTTGATCTTGACTTTATCCCCTGGAGAGGCGTCGACCGTCTCGTAGAGCGTCTGACTGGAGGTCTGTCTGTATGCATTAAGCTGGCTGGCTTCCATCGATGATCGATGGATGGTCCGTGGTTGCTGTCCGACTCGTCATCACGCTCAAGCAAAACGACAGCTCACTGCAAAATCGCTCGGGCCTGCATTGTCGCCGATCGAGACGAATGATCCACGAAAGCATCGATGTGAAGCTCGCCGTGCCCGACATACGAATGGAATTGAGATGTTGAGATGGTTCTTCATCAGGATGTTCGCGCTCTGGATGCTCGGATCAGGGGCCAATAGCCCTGGAACAGATACTGTGATGGAGCACTGTCAGATCTTGCAAGGTGAAGTGCAGCGGGTGTGGGGAGTAGATCTCAAGACCGAGCCAACTGGCGTCGAAGCATGTCAGGGAAGAGAGCCGTGCGACGGCGACCGAGCTCGCATCTCGCTTGACCTCGAGCCCTCCCTGGACCGCGTCGAGGCCAGCTTTGACAGGCAAGTCAACGTCATCGCGTCATCGATCACCGGTTTGCTGGCCTTGTTTGTTGTAGACCGTCCCAGTCCGGCCAGCGTGGACATCCCCGCGACGGCTTACTAGCTCGCCAAGATGGGCCAGAGCGAGTACCTGGCCGCCTTTCTCGAGGCTGCCGACAAGGAAAAGGCAAGACAACAGCACGAGACCGGCCAGAACGGGAACGCCAAGCCAGACGAGCATGGGGGGACAGAGGCTGCCGGCAAGGGCGAGCACAAGAGCATCTTCGGTCCTGGCTTTGCCGAAAGAGTCAAGAAGCAGCAGGCCAAGGAAGATGAGGCGGCTCAGGACGGCAAGCCTATTCGTGCGCCTGCTTCATCCAAGGACAGGGAAGAATCCTCCTCAGCAGCCGCGACGCAAGATCCCTACGAGGCCGGCAAGGCTCATCAGCTCTTCTCCAAGGGCGGACCGTCCGCTGCTGTCACCCTGAGGGGCCCGTTCAGCATCTCAGAATCCAAAACGGCAGATGCCCTCTGGTCTGCGACAAACCAAGATACCTCGCTCGAGCGTGACGACGTGAGACCCTTCACGAAGCAGGAAAAGATTGCTGCCGAGGTGCAGAAGAGGCGCGCCAAAGGCGGCGTACAGGCTCTGCTGGGCCCAGTATATATCAAGAGCTCCGCGACTCTCTTCAATGTTGTCCCGAGCTCGGCGGGCACGCACAAGTTCGAACGGGACCGCAAGAAAGCAGAGCAAGCTTTTGCGGACGATGGCCGTGACCAGCAAGAGATCGACGCCGACAACGAGAAGAAGGAGAACGAGAAGAAAACAAACGGAGACGCGAGACCGCAGTCTGACGCCCATGAGGATAGCCAAAGAGACGACGATAAGAACGCGTCGGCAAACAAGAGCAGGTGGGCTGCTGTTCGCCAGAAGCTCGGGCGAAACGATGGTGGCAGCGCAAAGACGCCAGAAGATATGTCCAGAGCTCTCGGCGGTCACGAGCTAGTCACTGAGCTCGCAGTCGGCATGCTCAGGTCGGTTTGCGAGCGCCTTTCGCGATATCACTACTGATGTGCGAAACAGCATGATGATGATCAAGATGAGCATGGACAGGGATGAGCATGGCACATCGCGTATACCAGGTACGATGACTGCCACTTATGCGGAAGACTGTTCTGAGCTTTCGGTCAGTCTTGATGAATTATCTCAAGCTTCGCATTTCCGACTCTGTCTACCCGCTGCATGCCGCACATGCGCTGTTTCGCATAGAGCTCGAGTACGGCGATGGTCTGCTCAAGTGGGTCATATACCGTGAGATGCGTGATTTTGGTACGCGTCATTCTGACCGCTCGCGCCGCAAAACTTATCAGGCGAGCAGTCAATCTGCATGCGCATTACCGGGTCGCCAATCTACGAACGCAGATGGACCGCTTTCCCAACTTCCCTAAAACCTCGCTGCCTTACTTCAATTACCTCAAAAAGGAAGGCAAAGACAAAGATGGTAAGGAAATCGGCAAACAAGACTTTGCGGAAATGCAGCGACGAGCACTTGAAAACTACTTGCTCAAACTGATCCGCGCCACCATGTTCAGAGCGGATGCCAATCGGCTGTGCAAGTTCCTCGAGATCTCTGCCCTTGCAGTCTCGCTCGCTGCCGCGCAAGGTCTTCAAGGCAAGCAAGGCTACCTGCGGGTGTTATCTACAGGAGCATCACGTCGTAAGCGGCCTGGCTTTCATCCAGTGGACTTCAAATTCCGCCATGGACCCAAATGGTTCATCGTGCGCGAAAGCTACGTCGTCGCAGCCAACGATGCTAACTCGTCAGAGATTTTTGATGTCTTCCTCATGGATATGAACTTCACGCTTGAGCGACCCAGGCGGCCATACCGGCAGATGCTGACCTTGTTGAAAGGCAACAAGGGCGACGAGCACGACGAAGACCGCTTCAAGGAGGAGCCCGATGAGGATCAAATGACTCATAAGCAGTTGAAAAAGCAACACAAGCGCGATATCACTCCAGGCGGTGTCGGCGACCCTAATGACCCTTCGACGACCGACGCACAAGAAAAGGATGGCAGATCGCTTCAGTCTACTTCGAGTCACGTCTTCTTCATCAGGAATTCGGAACGCAAAATGAAGCTAGTGGCAAAAAACGAGCGGCAGATGGATCAATTCATCGCGTCCATCGAGCGCATGGCTGCCAACTCGCTCTGGTCAGGCCAAAATCGTTTCGATAGCTTCGCACCCATCAGAATGAATGTGGCCGCGCAATGGCTCGTCGACGGCCGAGATTACTTTTGGAATCTCAGCAAGGCAATCGCAATGGCCAAGCATACCATACACATACACGACTGGTGGATCTCACCAGAGCTTTACTTACGGCGACCGCCAGAGGAAAAGTGGCGATTTGACAATCTCTTGAAGCGCAAGGCGGAAGAAGGCGTCAAGGTCTTTATCATCGTGTATCGCGAAGTCTCAAACGACTTTACACCTGTGGACTCGACGCACACAAAGACGACGTTACTTGGCTTGCACCCGAACATACACTTGCAGCGATCGCCTGATCATATGGGCACAAGGACCTTGCTCTGGTCACATCACGAGAAGATGTGCGTCATAGACGGCGCAATCGCCTTCATGGGAGGCTTCGACATCTGCTTCGGTCGATGGGATACACCTCAGCATCTGCTCGTCGACGACGATGACGAGGAGCGTATCTGGCCCGGCAAAGACTACAGCAACTCGCGCGTATCAGACTTCTCGAATTTGACAAAGCCATTCGAGGACATGTACGATCGCAAAGTGGTTCCTCGTCAACCTTGGCATGACATCGGCCTACAGCTTATTGGTCAGCCAGCACGCGATCTCGTTCGACACTTTGTACAGCGCTGGAATATGCTTTTGCGAACCAAGAATCACACTCGTATGATGCCGTTCCTACTGCCCATGCCAGACTTCACGGCTGCGGATCTCAAAGAGCAGCGTATCACCGGCACTTGCGAGGCTCAGATCTGCCGCTCGTGTGGTCCCTGGTCGATGCAAACGCCGGATCGGGTTGAGCACTCGATCACCACTGCTTACGTGAAAGCAATCGAAATGTCAGATCACTATGTTCACATCGAAAACCAGTTCTTCATCACATCAACGCAAGTTGAGGGAGCTACGATAGAGAATAAGATCGGAGACGCACTCGTCAGCCGTATCCTGAAGGCACATGAGGAGGGCACGCCATGGAGAGCTTGTATTATCATTCCCCTTGTGCCGGGATATCCGCTCTCAATGGACCATCCGGACGCAGGCTCGGTTCGCATGATCGTTGAATGCCAGAACCGAACAATCGGACGAGGCGAGCACTCAATCTTTGCGCGGCTCAGGCGGGCAGGCATCGATCCGGACGAGTACATCTCGTTCTTCAGTCTACGCGGCTGGGGTCGCATGAAGAAGACTGGCTTGCTCGTCACTCAAGATATTTACATTCATGCAAAGGTGCGCCGCATGTGCTTTCCTTGGCATGCCTGGCTGACGATGCCGCAGTGCATGATCGTGGATGACCGTATCGTGATCATCGGATCTGCGAACATCAACGAGCGCTCACAACGAGGTGATCGGGACTCAGAACTTGCCTGCGTCCTGCGCGACACGGACCTGATTGATGGCAGCATGGGTGGAAAGCCTTATAGAGTCGGCCGTTTTGCTCACACACTACGCATCCGTCTTATGCGCGAGCATCTCGGCTTAGATACCGACGCACTTGAGGCGGAAGAGGCCAACATGGATCTGCTGGAGCGTCGTGCCGTGCAACACGAAGACGATGTGAAGCCGTGGGACCCGAGCAACGAGCAGAACCGTGCGGATGAAGACGGGGAAGGCGGCGGCAACTCGAAAGTCACCCAGTCGACCGGTTTCTTCCATCACGTAAAGTCAGGCGCTCATAAGGCATCTCGCGAGACTGCTTCCTTTGGCGAGGGTCTCAAGGAGACGGCCGCCAACAAGCTGCAGAAGGTTGACCAGTCGACAGAGCATGCAGGCGGTGAGGCTGCGGCCGAAGCGATGGAGCATATAGATCCGAAGCACAAGGAGAAGCAAGACGAAAAGCCTCAGAATTCAGAGGCTGTCGATATTGCTGCCGGGAAAAAATCGGGTAAAGCCTCTGCAAGCACGGTCGTGCCTACGCTCGAGGAAAAGGTCATGGCTGAGGGTCGACCTGTCGATGCTCACGAACCCGGGCAGCATCACAAGAAAGCGCCGCTTGGCCTCAAGCCGCCCAATACAGACTCTGACAGCGCGGAGCCTGGCCAAACAGACCGTGAGACTTCTCAGGGAGAATCATCCGCCCAGCAATTCGCCAACCGCCAAAGCAAGACGCCTAAGCCTAAGCATACGAAAGACACCACGCGACAAGGTAGCACAGACAAAGAGAGCGGAGAAGCCGAAGCAGACGAGCAGGAGGAAAGCAAGAAGAGCGACATGACAGACCTTTCCCAGAGTCGCGACCAAAAGATGACCCAGTCGAATACAGACGCTGATGACTCTCGCAAGATCACAAAGTCAACCATGGGTGCAGGCGCCGGCGACCCCTCTGATATTGCCAATGCTGGCTCGGTAGCTGACAAAGATCGGGACGACGAAGAGAAGACCTCGGCTGAAAAGGAGGAGGATCGCAACGAGGCTCGACTTGATGGGGCTGCGCTCGAGCGTGCTCGGGAGGAAGGCAATGACGCTCAACAGAAACCAGGTAAGGACATAGCTGGACAGCTCAAAGAGTCGCTCGGCTCGAAGATGTCGCCTTATGCCGTGCCTATACAACCGCCGAAGATTGATCCTAAAGGCTTTGCCGATCCACTTGTGGATCGCTTCTGGAAAGATACCTGGATGACCGTCGCAGTCAGAAACACACAGATCTTCCGTAAGGTCTTCCGCTGCGTACCAGATGATCTCGTCACGACTTGGGATGGTCTAAAGGACGTACGTTATGTCGATGCGCTGCTTGATCGGACGCGCTGACCCAAGGATACATTGCTGCAGTGGAATGCGTGGGCCCAGAGACACGAGAAGCCTCACAAGGATGGCAATGCACCATCTAGCGGAGGCGAGAGATCTCCGACGACTGCGACCAGTGGCAGGTTCAGTGCGCAGCAACGTTCAGGCAGCTCGCATTCACTGAGCAAGCAAGAAGGCTCGAGGGAGCAAGCAAAGGCAGCAGGAGCTGATGATCCTAAGCTCCTCAAAGACGAGGGACCCGGTGCCGGAACGGGTGGTACTATGCCGAGCTCGACGAGCAAACAGACAAAGAAACAACTCTTCCAAGAGCCGTTCACCTCTCAAGAAACAGATCAAATGCACGATGTCCTCGAGGAGATTCAAGGGCATCTGGTCATCTATCCGACACGCTTTCTCGAAGCAGAATCTGCCGCCGGCTCGTTCCTCTTCGCCAAAGATCGTATCCAGTCAGTCTCTCTGCTGATTGTCAGTGAGAATCATGCTCAATGACTTGCGCAACAGGCCCATCGCTATCTTTGATTGATCGGCTGAGCAGTGACTCACGAACACATTCATACACGCACACTAATTTTGTATCTGTCATTTGCAAGGCGAGCTGGGTATGCAACGTGTCTCGACCTATGGAAGATCGTCCATTGATCACGGGCAGTATATTGAGTCGCCCCGTGCGCGAGCTTGCACGAGTCGCGTCGCCACTTGCCATCAAGTACGTATCAGGCACTGCGCACGCCGCCGTGCTGCTGGCCTACCGTGATGGACCCAGAAGGAAAGCTGATGGTGGAGCTGCATGTGAAGTATATTCAGTCGCTCGATCAGGTGCTTCGAAGCGGCCATCGTAGCCGTCGGATGCTGAGCAATCAAGCAGCGTCGAAATGAACTGGCTTACCACTTGACGGAGCACCTGCGAATGAACGGCATCTACTGGGGATTGACAGCGCTAGCATTTCTCAACAGAAAAGATGCTCTCCCACGACAAGACATGCTCGACTGGGTGATGGCCTGCTGGGACGACAAGACAGGCGAGTGGTTGTCATACTCTTTCGACTGTCCCCAAATCTTGATGTATGACGCATGTCAGGCGGCTTCAGACCCCATCCTGGCCACGACGTCAATGTACACTGCACGCTATCGGCCGTTCAGATCATTGCGACACATGATGCATTGCACATCCTCACGCCACACCATGTCGAGCTCATCGTTCAATGCGAGTCTGACGCGCTGCCTGTTCAATCCATCCAAGCTCACACGCTCTGCGACAGATATCTTGAGCCTGCAAGACGAAGTGACGGGCTCATTTGCAGGTGACGAATGGGGCGAGGTCAACACCCGCTTCTCTTACTGTGCCGTCAGCACACTCGCCCTGCTCAATCAGCTACATCGACTGGACAAGCAGAAGACGGCCTCCTGGATCGAACGTTGCCGCAACTTTGATGGTGGCTTCGGCATGACAGAAGGCGCAGAGTCACACGCTGCCTATGGTGAGGCCTCAGTCAGGCGTCAATGGCCTTTGCTGAGCTACGCTCAATAGTGTGGACTTGCGTCGGCGCGTTGGCTATACTGGGACGCTTGGACATTGTTGACCGGGATACACTGTCTTGGTGGCTCTGTGAGCGACAGCTGCCCAACGGAGGTCTCAACGGAAGGCCAGAGAAGCTCGAGGACGCAAGTCGTGCCTATGCATTCGAGGAGCAGTACTCAAGCGAACGATGCGCAGGTCTGCTACTCCTGGTGGGTCATCGCCACACTGGCCATACTGGATCGCACAGACTGGGTCAATGGCGACAAGCTGTCAAGATTCATATTGTCCTGTCAGGTTCGCGCTGCCGTGGCGTGCTCGATCACAGCTAAAACGCACACAGGATACGGACGATGGCGGCATCGCAGATCGACCGGAGGACGTGGCAGATGTCTGGCATACTGTCTTTGGCATTGCAGGTGGGCAATGGCTCACTGCAGGAAGGCAGTAGCAACATCGCTGACAATCGGGCAGGATTGTCATTACTAGGCCATCCAGGTCTCGCCAAGGTCGACCCTGTCTTCTGCATGCCGCGCGCTGTCACTATCAAGACGTCACAGACCTGAGCATCTGATTATTCGAGCTGCCTCCACGGAGGAAACTCTTCGTCAAGTCGCGCTTTGATGCGATCGCGATGCGGAAATCTGGCATTGTTCATCTGACGAAGGTAGACGGTGATCATCTTCTTGGACACCGGCGGCGCTTTGCCGCGTCCGAGCTGGTCGAAGATGACGCCTTCGATCTCCTCGAAGAGACCGAGTCTGCCCATGGCCTCGAGCAAAGTCTGCCAATTATGCTCAGATGGCGGCAACGGGGACTGCAGCCAGACGTCATAGATTTTCGCCTGCGCCCAAGGCAGCATATCCTGATTGTCACTGACGTGATGCGAGATTGCGTCCAGGTAATGGCTCAGCATAAAGTTAGCCTTCGATGCACTGTGTCTCGGCAAAGCTCGATGTGCCTGCCAGATCTCCTCCGCTTCTGATAGGGCACCGCATCTGCCGTAAGCTTGCAGGAGCGGTACATACAGAGTCGGCAAATCTTTGCTGAGCTCAACATCGATTCTGATGCGCGCATGGAGTAGCTTGAGCTTCTGCAGCGCCAGCTTGCCTTGGCCTGATTCTGCCAAATCGCTGTAATATATTGTAAGCGAAGCAGCGGCAGCCGATGGTAGATGGCCGTAAAGTGTGATCATGTCATCGACAAATGCGTCCACAAGCATCTGATCCGGCAATTTGCGCACGCCATTCGGACTTGACCTAAGAAACGCCACAAAGAGTCGGGCGTGAACGTTAGCAGACCACCTCTCGCCCCTCGGAAGCGCTTTGTGAACAGCTCGGTACAGCGAGAAAGCCTCCATATGATCGGCTGCGTTCTTCATGAGGCCTTCCAAGTGGGCTGCCGAGAATTCGGCCGTCATGGGGACATCGTAGGCAGCCATGTCGCGCAGCAGCTCGCGACTGAGTGCGGCATCACGAATGTCGCCAGCAAACCGCTGTATGACCATGTAATCTCTAGGTTGCAGAGGCACGATGCACTCGTCGGGCTGCTTGTGCGCCGTGTACAAGCCCAAGATGATCCTCTTGGCATCGATTGGAGAATGCCTTGCGAGAGCTCGCTGAACGTACGAAATAAGAAACATCGCAACTGCGCGATGCGGTGTGTACGTTCCTCTCCGGATGATGGTGTCGTAGTACGTCAGTGGCTCTGCGAGGATTGCTCTGGCACGCATCTCCGTAGCCGAGTAAGCGTCTTCGCCATAGCGGATCGTCAATCGCTCGAGAATGCAGAGATGAAGCCAATGAAAGTCTGCATCGCGAATTTTCCCGACGATGGAGTCATCGAGCAAGGTATCACAGAACTCCGTTGCTGATTCGGCAGAGGTGAAATGCTCTGCGGGCGCCCAGCAGATGAGATCCGCGACTTGGGTCTTGTCGAGCAGGATGCCGCCAATGTTGTGGAGCCGTCTGGCTTCGTCCAGAGCAGCTCGATATCCCTCAAAGGTGTACACAGCTTCGAGATGAGCTGAGAGGAATGCGCGAGACCGGCGACAAGCATCATCAACACTCGTACCGAGGTGCGACAATAGCTCGTTTCGCCACGACGTATATGCCGACTGCTTGACCGGTGCGGCTGTCAACTCAGCCTTCCGAAACGAACTACGGAGCTTGGCAGCGACAATATCGAGCGTGAGGGGAAAGCCGTGGCGCTCGACCTGTGTCAGAAGGGCGTCGAATTGTTCGGCAGCCTGTATTTCTCTGCCACGCTCGTCGCTGCTGGTACTCGCTCGGCTTGTGGGAAACGGTCGCGCAGACAATTGCGTCAACAAGATTTCGTAGCAAGCTATGGGCAGCAAATCGGGACCCGCCATTGCAGCGATAGCATCTTGTGTCGTGGTATCAGCCTGATAGCGCTCTCTGGACGGCTTCTGCAAAGCCAGCAGCCATGTGTCGAGTCTGAGGCGCTTCAAATGCTGTTGCCTCCTTTCATTCCCTGTCGCAGCAAGGAACTCGCGCTCGAAGGATGCATGCTGCGCGCGCAGCACACTGATGACACTGTTGGACGAGTGAAGACCGTACAACTTGATCCGGAGCAGATCGTGATGCTCTGCGGTCTCGAAAACGCAGGTCCACAAGGCGCGCAAAGCATGAAGCTTCACGATCGCCGCCAGCATCTCTTGTCGACGAGGGCAGATGACATCTCTGTCTAGTCTAGCTGCGACAAATGAAAGGAGCGCTGTAAGTCCGTCCCATTTGACTGACCGATGAGCAGATGCTTGTATCCTGCTCGACGCCATTCAGCTCGCGTCCAGCGTCGGCTTGCAGCGCGGGCTTACTCGATATGTCGAGATGTGGTCGTGCCAGTCTGGATGCCGTACTTCCATGGACGATCTTGCAAAAGCAAACGCAGCAGCCCTTGAAGTGAGTCAAGTAGGCCGTCCCAGTCCTGGGTCTGTACGCCCTCGTCAATTTGCTTGAGCCAGCTCGAGTGATGTCGTGATGTAAAGGGCAATCTGAGTAGCGAGGCAAGCGATGACTGATGCCGTACGTGAATGACACCATGCCGATGTAGCGTTCCGGAGACGCCGTCGGTCAGGTTGTTGACGGCACCTTTGCCAGACGATCGCAAGAATGCATGAAGAGCTGCTTGAACATCGAGTCTCGAGCGCCCGTAGAGGCGTTGTTGGGCATAGCTCAACCTGCTCAGTGCATTCCGACGTACCACTTGCAGAGCACACTGCATTCAACCTCAGCAAGTCAGCAGATCGGCCTGCCGCTAGGCCCTTGAGCGCTTGAGCTCGGCGTCTCAACGTTGCGTTGCAAAGCGCGACGCGCACAGCGCTGTCGCCACAAGCAGCGCATACCCCGAGCTGGTGTCCCCAAGTCGGTGTGGCTCAGCCTGTTTGATCAGGACATCATAGTGGGAAAGTACACGAGACGTTTTGGCGCATCCCAATTGCATTTCGCTGCATACAAAAGCATGCATCGTTGGTCTCACTTGGCTCGTGGCGACTCGGGCGGCTCTGGCGAGTATGAAATTGCGAGCAGAAGTGCTCCGCCGCAAGCTGTCCCGTAGCGGGGGCATTCGATGAGCTGCAGATTCTGATCGCATGTCATCAGACGTCCGATCGCATCACGAGCTAGCTTCGCGCGCGCACGGCGAGGCGAGACAGCTGCTGTGTCGCCTACTGCCTGTGACGGCTCGAGTCGCTCAGAGGGGTGACTCTAATGATGGTCGTATGGAAAATATGTCGTGAGTCAATGGGCACGGCGAAGTTGCGAGAGAACCATCTGGTGATCGCTTGACTTGGGTCCTCTTTCGACCATGTTGGATAGCACAGCATGCTTGGTGACTGACCATTGTGCAGCATTGTCTAGCATGAGAACGTAGTCTATGACTTGGTAGCCAGATGTCGACGATCCAAAGTCGGTGAAGGTCGACGTTTCCCCATAGCGCACTCCTTTTGAATCGAGTGCGACAGAAGTATCGAGGAAGGAGAGTGACGGGACTGTATCCAGCTTTTCGTTCAGGAGTCGCTGAGCTTTTGCTCGTGCGTTGTCATCCGAAAGCTCTCGTATTGCGGTCAATGCCCTTTGTTTGTAGCGGTCGCCAGTCAGGACGCGGTACCCTGCTTCGTGAGCCTCAGAGTTGAGATCGCCAAGAAGGAGAACGAGCGGCTTCTGCTCTCTGGCAAGAGTGCTATACCGAGCAGGGAGTCCGGCTTGCCGATGCGCTGAAGGACACTGCTCGGCCCATCGAGCGCAACGGCTGCACTGAGGCGTGTTCAGCAAGTCGTTGATAATGCGCAGAATCAGATGTGAGCTCTGTTCCCTGGCTTGCGCTCCACGATCATCATAGTGTGTGTTGACCACCCAAATCTGCTGATCCCCAGAGCTGTTTCGGTTGGGCGTGGTGATGCGCGTGCCGCTGAGGATGTCGGCGCCCAGGTCAGGATCGGCTGTGTCTGGCGAAGACAAGTTTTGACTGTCGGCTCCGCGCGTGCCAGGCAGATCTGGTCCAAGTTCAGGATCGTGATAAATATCTCGCGGTGACGCAGTGGGGTTGGTGCGAGGGGGAAAGAATTGCTGCAAGTGATCTTGCAGTAAGTCCTCGCCGAGATCCGGGTCAGCATGTTTTTGTCTTTGCTGAGATACGTCTGCTGCTAAAGGCTCTGTGGTAGTCAGGGCTGGCAACACGCCGGCGATGGCATCATCGATGAGGCTTACAGGCCGTAGCCTCGCTAGGGTCATCATGCGCGGTTGGCCCTGCGAGCAGCGAGTCAGACATGGCTGCAGCGCAACAAAGTCGCGCTGACAGCATCCCATCCTTTACTGCCGGGTTTCTCTGGCGTAGGAGACAGCCAATGATGCTGGACGTCGATGAGCTCGAGCTTGTCACGTCGCCAAAAGATAGGCACGCTCTCGCCAGCTTGTTCCCCGTCATCTCGCCCGACGCCTACTGAGTCATACCCGCCCTGATGCTCGGCCGAGAGGCCAGCGACGAGATTGACATACTGAGGATGAAGCGTCTCCTGAAAGCCGATGATATCAGGCTGCTCCCAATGGACCTGCTCGAGTATCTTTGGCAGTCTCTCTGACCATGGCCTTTCTTTGCCCGCCCGGCGAGCTTTCTCCGCTGCGTCCTCGGCGACGGAGAGCTGTGCTGTGAGGAGAGTCCGCTTGATCGCAGCCGGGGACACTGAAGAGACGGTCCTGGGATCGTAGCGGATATTGAACGTCGCTAGCTTAAGGTCATCAAGTGTTTGCCTTATGAAGGGGTTGGGCATCGTCATCTGCCTTGCTGGCACGGGCGAATGAGCAGAAGCGAGAATGACAGAGGCTGCTGCAATCACAAGGACTGACGCTCTCATTGGACGAGCGAGATATCAGCGGGATACCATCGACACGCGCGTCACGCGTCAATCAGCTGCATGCTTGGCGAGACGCAGCTGAGTTCTAGTCCGAGAGCTCCAATCTCAGACAACAAACAGCTGGGGAGAATGATAGATTCTGCAGAGGCGAGCGAGCAAGCCGCTGAGCTGTGTAAGCGTCGAAACGCCTTCCAAGATACGCATATGGCTGAAGCCGATCTCCTGCGCGTCTCGCCCGTCAGGCCTTCGAAGCAAGTCTGGCGCGAGGTCACGGACCTTGATGAATTCGAGCTTGGTGTACTCTGGCAGAACATCTGTGCTCTTGGTGACTCTGAAGATGGTAGTGACAATGTCGACGGCAGAATAGCCTTGGTGCCAGAGCTTTTCGAGCATCTCCATGCTGACATCGATGTCGCCCTTTGCGCAAGCTTCGATCATCTTATTGACTGTCACCGGATGCGGCTGGTCGCATACTTTGAAGACCGCCTCGGAAGAGACGAAGCCAAAGCCTGAATAAGTCGATTGAAGGTTGTTGATCGCTTGTCGCATGTCGCCATCCGACGTAAAGATAAGCGACGCCAGCGCATCGTCCGAATACTTGACCTGTACCAGCGTGAGCAGCCTGCACACGATGAAGCTACAAGGCGGGAGGTACCTGCTCCATATCGCAGATCTCGACGATACGCTTGAGTAGCTGTTTGTCCGACAGCCGCGCATATCGAAGTATTGCGCACCTGCAGATATCACAGCGGATCAGAGCTGCGCAGCGCCACAGCTTCTAGCCTACCTCGACTGGATCGGCTCTATGATCTTATTGCTCTGATTGCAAGCCAGAGCAAAGCGCGTCGTGTTGGAGTAGATCTCCATGGTCCGACGAAGCGCTTGCTGTGCGCCGGGAGTCATACTGTCGGCCTCGTCGAGAATGATGATTTTGTGTCGCCCGGCGGGCAGTGTCACCTTCTTCTGAGCGAACGTCTTGATCCGGTTCCGGACGACATCGATACCTCTGCCGTGCGGCATGAGCGCGTGTCACATGCTCCAACGGGCCAGCCGCGCCTTTCATCCGACGCGTTGAGCTCGAGCACGCCCTCCTTGTAGGCTTTGCCGAGGAGCGCGTGTGCCAGTGCGAGAATGGAGGTCGTCTTGCCAATGCCAGGTTGACCCTGACAGAATGATGATCAGCGTGATGATGCTTACGAGCATGCCCGAATATTATGCGAACCGAAATGATGATATGAGGGCAGTTGCCATCTCGGGCAATGACTTTGAGTCGCTCTATTGTCTCCTCGTTACCTACGATATCGTCGAGCACCGCGGGACGGTACTTTTCCACCCTGTGTCGCGCGCTGAGCCTGCAGTGCGCCTCGACTCGGCGGAGATCGTACCATGGCATCTCGTATGCGACCGGACCATCGTCTGTGTCGCCATTGGCTCTGCCTTTGCCCTTTGACTCCGTCATCGCCATCAGGCTCTCGACAGGCGCAGGCGCGCGACACGAGGCCACCACCGCCATCTGCGTCTTCTCCACACCGGCGACTTCCTGCAAGCGAAGCCCAACGCGCGCCCTTGCCATCACACAGGGGTCGCGGCGGGGTATCAGCTGCCAACTGATTGCTGGGTCCCGGGGCAGTCATGGACAGCTCGGAAGCAGCAGACGCTGTCCTGTCAGCAGGAGATGCAGCAGCAGCAAATGGACTCGGTCCGCAACCCAAGACAGCTCGTCCAGCCGGCAAGGCTACCACCTTGACACCTCAGACTGCAGACCAAGGCGGTCCCGTCCGCAAGAGTGCATCTGCACCCCTTGCGCCTGCACGATCGACACAAGCTCGTGCGCCCTCGCCGGTCCCGAAGCAAGGCGTCACCGCGCCTCTGCCGCCGTCCAAGTCTGATGCCGAGCCGGTACAACAGGCTAGCATAGGCGCGAGACGAGCTGCGCCCAAATTTCAGATGAAGCCATTCACAGACATGAACAGCAATGATTCAGCCAACTCGTCTGACGAGGAGCTCAGCGCTACCACACCCAACCTGGCGGAAACGTCTGCTGCTCTCAAGCGTTCTTTGAGCATCAAAAATCTGAAGGATCTTGATGTCAAAGATGCCCTGCCGGCCGTCTGGCGTAAGCCAGGCGAAGGTCGCAAACGCCCCAAAGATCTCGAGCAGCTCCTCATTTGGTCTCTACGCGGCGGTCTACGCGCTTTCTTGACTGGCTACAGTTTACGATCAGGCGTCAATCTCGTCATGGTCCTCTTCGGCCTCATGCGTAACGGGTAAGCTTCCGAGACTGTGGCAAGCGTCATGGCTGACAAACAAGCAGCAAATTCAACCTGACAAAAATTCTCAATTCCGTCTTTGGCATTGACGCTTTCCGCATGGGCGCCATGTTCGGCTCATTTGCATTCTTGTTCAAGTCGACCAATCAAGGCTTGCGCATCTATAACCCTGGGCCGAGAGGGCCAGGCAAAGAAGAGATTTGGCATGCAGCCCTCGCGGGCGCCGTCTCGGGCGTGGCCGTCCTCGCAGAGAAGAAGCAGCGTCGTCTCACCTTTGCCCAGCAGCTCTTCGTTCGGTACGTTACCGACGCATCTGATCGTCTGTAGATGCTCATGGGTATCTGCAGAGGTTTGCAAGGATTGTATAACATTGGTAAGAGCAGGGGCATGCCTATCATTCCTCATGGCGACGTCCTGCTCTTTGGCCTTGCCTGCGGTCAGATTGTGAGTTATACGTCTCTTATAGGTCTATCGCGAGCTGAACTTGCTCGATGGTAGATGTACGGATGGATGGTGAGAAGATTGCAAACGCGGTCAGCGCGAGACTGACGGATTGACAGATGTCACCCGAGTCGCTTGCTCCAGGCTATCGCCGATGGATCACTATGGCTTCACGCGTACGTACAGCACTACCAACAGAAACCCATTTTAATGCGAGACGACAGGTGTCTCCACCGGCACTGCCAGTCAACCTGGCCATCGAGCGCAACAAACCGGTGCCCACCGAAGACCTAGAGAAGCTACTGAGATGGCCAGGGATCACACCGAAGAACAAGGCTATTCTCGAGGGCATCAAGGCTCAGGTCAATGACGGCCAAGTACAGTCATTCTTACCCTGTGCGGGCATTCACCCTTGGATCGACACATGCACGATGACTCAAGTAGAACGATGGATCAGCGTCTTCCGATGGATGCTGCCCGTCTACAGCGCACTCCACTTCATACCGCCCGTCCTGCTGAAACGCAAAGCATTTGCGCAAGAGTGAGTCCTGCGCGCGCACCTGTACGATGACTTACATATCCAGCAGTCCTTTCAAGTTCCTATCGCGTTCAGCCATCGGCACCTTCAGGTCTTGCTCTTTCTTGGGCACATTCGTCATCATATTCCAAGGACTCGTCTGTCTGAGTCGCAATCTACAAGAAGCCTTCCTCGGCAAGTTTGCCTTTTTGGATGCCATCCTTGGTCACCGATACTGCTACTGGGGCTACGGTATGTTGCTATCTTCGTGGTTAGCCGCATTGATCCAATGCGCCGAGCAGGCTTCGCGACCAGTGCAGCCATGTTCATCGAAGAAAAGCGAAGACGCGGCGAACTCGCCATGTACGTCTTACCCCGAGCGCTCGAGTCGGTTTGGTCGGTGGCACGTAGCCGCTCGTGGGTTCCTCTCATTCCTGGCGGCGAAGTCGTCCTCACTTCCACGGGTCTCGCTATGGTCATGTCGGCATATCACCATGATCCCGCGCGTCTGTCTGGTCTCGTTCGAATGCTATTATATCAATTTATAGGCAGAAGCGTACGTCATCGTCTGCTCTCTACGTGTCACCGCTGATCTTACGATAGTGAGTGCGCATATAACATTGCATTAGATCATTGGCACGCGTCTGTGCGCAAGCTTGTGCGCGTAGAGGCCGTGCTGTAGCTCCTAGTACATACCTCTCGGCACACTAACGGCGCCAAAGACGACCTACTTAGGAATCCTTTAGCACGCATGGTGTGTCCAGCATGAAGAGGTAGGCGGCCATAGGATATATAAGCTGATAGCGGTTTTTGTGGGTCATCAAAGCACCTTTCAGCACTTCTTCAACTAGCTTCACTCGCAACACTCGATCATCACGATGAAGGTCACATTCAGCTTTGTTCTGTCAGCTCTGGCAATCGTCTCGGTCTCTGCATCGCCCATCGTCGGCGGAGGGCAAGTACATCGCGTCGCGTTCAATCAGCATGCTGACTTGTCGTTGCAGAGGAAGTGGCGCTAGCGCAGTAGGTGCTGCTACGGGATCGCAGGCTTCCGGTGCCGGCGATGTAAGCTCGCTCAGCAGCGGTGGTGCTGGTGCACTTGGCGCACAAGGCGATGCCGCAGGCAACCTCTACGGCAAGGAAGGCTCAAAGAGTCATGGCAAGGCCGATGGCTACGGTGATTGGTCTGGCTCGGGCATGGTTGGCGCAGGCGAGAAAGGTGCAGTCGGTGCTGCCGGTTCGTACTCGCAGAGCACTGGTGCCGGGTACGTCCCAAATGCCTTCCATAGACCATTGGCTGACAATGATGCCTATCAGTGGCGATATCGGCGGCGCTGCAACGCAGAACTCGTACCAGTCTGCCACGACAAGCTCATCGCAAGGTTCCAGCGCCGCTGGCGATCTCCACGGTTCCGGACTCGAGAGCTCGAGCGGAAACATGTCTGGCGCAGCCGGCGAGAACCTCAAGGGCGCTGCTGGCGTTGGCGCGAATGCAGATGGTGACCTTGGTGCGTCGGGCTCGGCAGGCCAGAAGGCATCGGGCGCAGCTGGCCTTGCTGGCACTGCATCGGGCGACGCCGGCACTGTCGGAGATGCAGGCGCATCGGGCGCAGGCGCAGCTCTCGGCGCGACTGGTCAGACCGGCGCAGGTGCTGGCGCGACCAACACCGGCGCAGGCGGTGCTGCTATTTAAGCTTCTGTTCACGGATTATAATCACTCATTATGCATCTCACTTCCTTGCTCTGGTCTTCGCGCTTGAGTCTCTCCGCTGTGCTGACCGGGCTGATGTTATTGTCGCTTGCTCGATTTAGCTCTCTGCAAAGGAACCATGCAGATTTTACAGCAGACCCTCTAACGGCCCAGTCCGATAGGTGACAAGCAAGAGAAGAATCAGAGACTAGATCTTGACTTCCTTGACGCCGTCCTTGAAAATGCTAAGGTACGGCGTTGTGCCGTCCTCCTGTTCACAACTGCGTCAGGGCAGGTACATAACTTGCTGCGGATGTCTTACTCGGTAGTTGAGCAGCAAGACCATGCCGTCTGGGTTCATGCCTTCACCCGTGTAGAACTCGTAGTCACCAAAGCTGCCGAGAATCTTTTTGATGTAGCCTGCCGCATTCTTCTCAAACGCAGAGACACGGTCCGGGTTGTTCTCTTGCAGGTAAGCCTTGACCGCCTTCATGTAGCCCTATCCCGAGCTGTCAGCTCATGCTAACGACGATGCGTGCGATTGCGATCACCTTGATATATGTCATGTAAGACTTTTTGTCGAAGCTCGTTGACTGCAAGCGGAAGCTATGTACGACATCGTTGACCTGAGTGGCGCCATCTGCGAGCGCTTCTTCCTGTTCTTCTGCAGATGGATTGCCGCCAATGTCGACGTCGCCCTCCTTGACGAGGACCATGTTGCAGTCGACTTCGTAGACGACATCGTCAACCTCCTTCATCTGTGCACACGCCAGTCAGCAGAGGCCTATATAGCGCGCAGAGTGTGCATGCGGGCCGCAGGTGAGGACAAGAAGCCGAACGCAGCGTTGGCGCGGTCGCGACTGCACGTTGACTGCAGTTGTAGCTACACGTGCCCGCTCTTCGCTGCTGAAGAGAGCTATCGCTCAAGATGTGTATCCCTTGTCGCACGAGCCGACGCCCGACGGACGGTGTGCTGATGTGTGAACCAGCGCAAGGGCAACAAGGCAGAAGCGCGTCAAGATTGCAACGAGCCAGCGTCGCAGGGTTCTTGCTGATGCATGCAGCCGGCACTGACCTTGTAAGCATCCGACAGGAGCTCATCGCCGCTAATGACGTCTGTGTAGAGCAGCATATCGACTTGAGGCGACAGTCGCAAAGCAAAATTTTGATGGGCACTTCCCAAAACGTTTGACACGTTGGCACGCGCGTGCCGTGCGTCGCGAACAAATCGCCACGCAAGGTCGGGGTGCTCCAGCCTGATGCACTATGTGAGTCCGTCACGGCAGTGGAGGTGGAGCTGCTGACTGTGTGTGTCAGGCCGCTACCAGACGAGTCCCGGGCAACGAGGGCGAGCGAGTTGATCAAGCGCTTCCAGACGACCATCAATGCCAACACCGAGGATGACAGCAGCTCGGAGTCGCTCAGTCAGTCATCATCATACAAGCGAAGATCATACATACCACCGCTGGTCCCACAGCAATCATCTGGTCAGCTTGGCATAGCACCGGGCACCGTCCCCGTCAATTCTGCATCGCTACCCCTCACGCGACCGTCGCCGCCCCGACCAAAGGCATGCGCAATACCCTCGTTTGAGCGCTCCATCGGCTGACTGGTGCCGCTCGATTTTACCAGAGCTTCCATGGTGCCGTTGGTCAGGTTTGCAAGTCACTTGACGTGCCAAACCTCGCTATTGAGCCGTTGCAAAAGCATTCAAACAGCACAGCAGAGGCTACTATACTGCCTAGCACGGCCGTTGGAGGTGTCAGGCACGAAACTGATGACGCACTCTCCCCTTTGCATTCATCAGAAGCAGCACCCGACCTCCCGGGCAAAGAAATCGCGCACCAACAGGCGGATCATCCGGAGCCCGAGCCTGAGCCTGAGCCTGAGCTCAAGCCGGACCGAGACCAATCGCTAGAGCTCGCTCCCGAGCCTGCTCCAAAGGACGCCTCGAGCTCAGAGATGCTGACTCGCGGCCTACCAGCAAGCGACGACCGTAGTGTCAAACCCGCATCAAGCGAGCCTGCAGAGATCACAGGATTGACAGAGAACCTTGAAGACAAGCCTTTGCCGTTGCCGCTGCCGTCCACAGAACCAGGCAACGAGAAGCCCCTTCCCGTAGTCGCTGAGCAAAACGCAAATAAGGAGTCATCCTTGGATGCCCCACTGCCGTCAGAGCCTTCGGAGTCAGCCGCAGAGGTCGCACCGCCAGTCAAAGCTGCAGTCGAGCAAGCCCATGCGCCCTCGCCCTCTGCTGCTGCGGCTCGCCGCGCTGTCTCTGCCCGGATGGCGTCGACTCCGACTGCGTCCACGCTTGCCAAAGCTCGCGTATCTCCTCGACCGTCGCTAGATAAGCCAAGTACACCTGTCCGTGCGCCTTCATATGCAAGGCCAACAGGCACGACCAGCGCGAAGAAGGAAGCGTCGCCCACACTTGGTTTTAGCAAGCCATCGAGCGCCACAAAGAAAGCTCCTACCACGCCCAACGTTGGCGCTGCACGCGCAATGCCAAGCTCTGACAAGTCGGCGAAGGATTCGCCAGCCGCTCAACCTCGAGAGCGATCCCGCGCCGTCTCGGCTGCTAGCTCGTTGAAGACGAGCACGTCGTCGACGACATCATCAGTCAACAAGGCAGCGCCCTCGTCGACAGGCTCTAATGCGAGTTCCCCGTCCGTCAGCCGACTGGCGACAGCTTCGACTGCCGCTTCTCGAGCTCGCGCAGCAGCAAATGCAGACAAGCTGGCTGTCAAAACCAAAAATCTCAATTTGCCCAGTCCGCCTCCTTCGCGCTCTGGCAGTGCAGGATCGGTACGCAGCGCGACGAGCAGCAAGTCGAAGGACCTCAAGGCATCACCTCGTGCAAAGACCGATGCTACAGTGTAATCTACATTTGTTGTTGCTAAGATTACTGCATGCAAAGACGTCCAGCGTCTCTCATCTACAAGCGATAATATCGCGCACCGCTCTCTGCACGTAGCCCTCGCTTAGCGCTGAAGGCGTCTTTCGTCATTAGGTCGCCCATGCCGAGAGCATTGACTTCCGCTGTCACAGTGCTCTTTATCATTTCACGTGTCACAGTCTGGCCAAACAGTGTCAAGCGTTGGCCCAGCAGAACGGCAGTAATTCCCATAGTGGCCAGCAGCCCGTCCCCTTGCTTGTACGCTGCTTTAATCTGCTGCAGCAGAGCTACGCAAAATGGTTCAGCACACTTCGCTAGTAGAATCATATAGCCTCACATAATTCGCGCGGAAAGATGACAGGTAGGACGTCGTACTTCTCGAGCTCTTTCTTCAGGTCCTCAGCGTTCTCCAGCTTGGCCGGCGCAGACTTCTTGCCGAGCTGTCTGTGCTCTAATGTGGTCGCTGCAGCAATCGTCATGGCACCCTCCAGGCCAGCTAGTGCATCGACGAGGCCCAGTCCACGATGCTTTGTTTCTGCGCCCGTGGCGAGGGAAGGCTGGCTCGGTAGACAGTCTCCCGCGAGCTTTGAGATGACTGCGAAAGGTGAGAAATTGTGATCTTCGTCGAGCTCTGCATGTTGTGGACTGCTGCCTTGCTCCACCGCTCTTTCATCGTCACTGGACTTGGCATCGACGAACCATTGTAGGTTGCTCAAAAGAGCGGACGACCAAGGATCGATGTGATCGAGTTTCAGATTTTCCTTGAGTCTGAAAGCGCCAATGCCGGTGAAGACTCGTCCCTGAGCGACCTCGTGCACATTATCTAGAGGAATGTCTCGGCCTTGGACGACGCGAAGGAGAAAGTCGCTGTAAGTCTCATCGACGTGCCTTTGAAACCGTGCGAGAGCATCGCCTTCGAGCTCATGTAGCAGCGATTGTGACGTATTACCGGTCACAAAACTCTGCACATTGAGCTTGGCCCGGTCCAGCAGCTTTTGCGTAATGGTCGGTCGTATGGCAGCGACGCCGATGGAGCCAGTGATCGTTGACGCATTACAGAAGATGACGTCAGCGCCACAAGCTGCCATGTAGGCGCCGCTGGCGGCAGTGTTGCCGAGTGAAGCGATGACAGCCCTGCCCGTGGATTTGAAGGCTGCGATAGCTTCCCAGATCGAGTCGCTTGGAATGACCGCGCCGCCGCCAGAATCGATTCTGAGGATGAGCGCAACGATCGACTTGTCTCGTCCGGCTTGAGCAATGCCCTGCAGGACCTTGTCTGTCGATGCACCGGCGTTGATGCCGCCATTCAAGTAGCATATACCGAACCTGAGCTGCTCATCCGTCGCAGGCTTATTGATCACTTCTGTCGTCTTGCTTTTGAGAGCTTGGCTGAGTTGCTTGAAGCTTAAGACATGCGGCTTGATTGCATCAGCGTTATCGGTCTCGCTTGCGGTATTCGTGCCTGTATCTGAGTTTTCGAGCGCTGCAGTTGCTGCGGCAATCTCAGCTGTCAGCCCAGGAGGGCTCTCTGCCGCAAAGGGCGCAGGGTCTTGATCTGACTGCAAAGTGTCCAGGTAGGCTGAATAGGCAGCATAAGGCGTCGCTCGATTAGCGTCCCAGATGCCAATGGCCTGTGCGATGTCGCTCATGTAAGCGGGCCCTGTGATGAGTCCATTGAACGCTGCCTCTGTCGCAGAGTAAGGTCCATGCTTCATCATCTCTCTGACCTTTGCAGTCGCTTCGCTCAGCGGAAGATCTGGAAATCGGCCCTCGCCTATCATGAGTGCCATAGCGTCGGAGAGCTGCTGCATAACTTCTTGCTGGTTCTCTCTTTGCGCAAGCGGTAGCTCTTCGTGGACATATGGGGCCGTGACACTCTTGAAGCGCTCTCGTGTCTCTGACAGTATGCGCACCCCGGCCCAGTCCAGAAGCCGCTTGTAGAACGGGATCTCTGCGCTGAGGCCGGTCAAGCCGACCTGTCCGGTAGGCTGCATGTATATCTCATCAAAGGCGCAAGCCAGGAGATATTCCCCTTGCGAGTCAAAGGAGTCACTGAAGGCAATCGTGCGAAAGGGAATGCCTCGCTCAGTCTTTGTCGATTTCACCACTTGGATAGCGTTAAGGAGCTCCTCAATCTGCGCCAGACCAAGACCGCCTCCTGCTGCGGTCGGCACACCTAACGAGCTGAAATTGGCCACTAGCAATCGTACGTTGTCATCCTGAGCGATCACGGCAAGCGATGTGAGGGCCTCAAGGAGCGAGATCGGCTGTGCTGACTCTTCCGCATAGGGGTTTGTCTCGCCGAGCACTGTAGAGAGCGCGCTCTTGGATGACGCAGTCTCGACGATGGAACCGGGATAGATCTTCCAAACGACTGCAGTGTTGGGCTTGATCTGTGCGCGGTCATCTTGATAGTACTGCCACCTCTTCAGCTCATAGTAAATGTAGCCAGACGTGAGCAATCCGCCGAAGAAGAGCTTGCGATTCCAGACAAAGGCAGTCGCTTGCCATGCATACGATTGTCGTGCACGATCGTACCGCCCCTTCCACTGCGCCCTTCGGGACAGCTGCTGTGGAGCTTCTGATGCAGACGCAGGCTGTCCTCCCTTGGCAGCGGAAGTGGTTGCGGTAGCTGTCGATGCTTGCGCGCTCGCTGGCTTCGACTTCTCTGCGGCAGCGCCGGCGTATGGCGTCAGGCTGCGCCTTGCTTGCGCAAAGAGAGCAGCTCTGCTTGCCCGCGTGCGCAACCGCACTGCTGTCTTTGCCGGAATCATGAGGGATAGATGATGCAAACGACTTTCGAGTGTCGAACGAAAGTGATCGACGCACGCGGAACGCGGCCAACGCGGACGTGGCGATCTGGCCGGGATTCATGATGATCACGACGCTGTACACGGCTTCCTGATCAGTCAGATACTATCGGCCGATGTAACCAAAGTATCAATGCATAAGGTGAAGATACAGTCTCGAAAGCATAGCTTAGATAGCAGCGCCGCCTGCGCCGGTGTTGGTCGCGCCAGCACCTGCGCCGGTCTGACCAGTCGCGCCGAGAGCTGCGCCTGCACCCGATGCGCCTGCACCTCCGACAGTGCCGGCGTCGCCCGATGCAGTCCCAGCAAGACCAGCTGCGCCCGATGCCTTCTGGCCTGCCGAGCCCGACGCACCAAGGTCACCATCTGCGTTCGCGCCAACGCCAGCAGCGCCCTCGAGGTTCTCGCCGGCTGCGCCGGACATGTTTCCGCTCGAGCTCTCGAGTCCGGAACCGTGGAGATCGCCAGCAGCGTTCGAGCCTTGCGACGAGCTCACGGTCGCGCTGTGGTATGAATTTTGAGTAGCAGCGCCACCAATATCACCTCTGTAACGCTGCAGATCAGCAGAGTATCTCTGAGCGATATCAAAGGCGTACGTGGCACCGATGCCTTGCGAGTATGATCCAGCAGCACCGATTGCACCTTGCTCACCGCCGGCAGCAATAGCAGATCCATCGAGGCCTGCATAGCCATTGGCGAGTCCGCCAGCTGCTGTGCCTTCGCTCCCGACGACATTGGCGCCCGCTGCGCCCTGCGCGCCGACGAGGCCGCCACCACCTCCGCTGACTGAGCCGACGCCGCCAGCACCGGATGCCTGTGAGCCTGCAGCACCACCGGCCGCGCTAGCCCCGCTTCCTCTGTTGTTGAGAATCAGCGCATGTCTCGGTAGGATATAAGGCTATCAGCTTGCCCTCCTCCGACGATGGGCGAAGCCGAAACATATGCGACTGCGAGAGCAGAGAGAACGAAGCTGAGAGTGACCTTCATTGTGTCTTGAGGAGTGTTGTTGAATGAAAGTGAATGTAGTGAAGTCGAATGGATGCTAGTAGAGCAATCTTGCCAGCTTTTATGCCAGTCTGGACGGCTGCTAAAGCTCTTCGAGCGTGCCTGTCCTTGCTCCGAGAGGTTGGACGCGTCTATCGTCTGCCGAATGCAGGAATTCAAGAGCTCGTGCACGGACGTGCACGCCGTGTTGCGAGCATATTGGGGGTTAGCCAGGCTCGAAGCTGTCCGTGCTTGAAGACGTCGCAGACGGCAGCGGGAGCTAGTATCGATGCGATCAAGTGCGATAGAGTCCTTCGGCCAGAATGTAATCAAAGACTTCTTCGGTCAGCATTGTACTGAGATGACTGCGGCTCTGCTTGTCCTTGACAGCTTTGCGGATCTCTGTCGAGCTGATGCCCACAACGCTTCTATCTGAAAAGTTGATGATGGCGACAGGTTGATCTGGCTTCTCCGTCCATCGCTTGACATAGTGCTTGCTGAGCAAGTCGCGTTCTTCCTGATCAGGCTCGCTGTTCCCTCGCCGTGCGCAGATGATCCTTGCGCCCAGCAGATCAAAGTATGCTTGCATGGCTTTGCCTATCTCATCAACAGATTCGTCATAGTACCGCAAGGCGAAGAAGCGCGCTAGAGTGTCAAAGCCCAGTAAGTATATCTGTCTTGGTCTCAGCCTTGCCGAATGTAGTCTCTCGAGGCATTGGTCGATCAGGCCTGCTTTCTCTGCAAATGTGGGTGCAGCCAGGCAGCCGACCGCGATAGGATCCCGATCACCAAAGGCGTGACAGAGCCTGATCATCATCTCTAGCTTCTGCTTGAGCGTAGGATCTCCAGGTTGAGGCTTCTTGTCTGCATTCTTGGTGGATACGAGGACAAGGTAGGCCGTTGCCTTGGTCGCTCGCGTCCTTGCCTCTCGCAGCATGGCGAGATGGGCACGATGCGGCGGGTTGAAGGAGCTGTCGAGGACAATTAGCTCTTGAGCCTCAACCGCATCTATGTGGGGCCATGTCGCATGGCTAGTCCAGATGATCTCGCTGCGTGCTGCTCCTGTCGTGTCGTTGAGAGCGGCTTGGACTTGCTCAGCTTTTGCGCGGATGATGGCTGGCTCAGACGAGAGATTGAGGCCCGAAGAAGATCGCATTGCCCTCTGGAGACGTCGCAATGGCGTTGCAAAGGGCAGCCGCATGCGATGACGTCGACACCAATGGCCAATGGACCTCCTCGCCTTGCCGCCGCAACAACAAGAGGACGCGTCGTGGTGGAACCGGTGGAAGCCAGGCGGATGGCAGGCACGATACACACGGTCAGTGCTTGCACGCCAGCAGTCCACACGAGCTGATAGCACGCCAGATCGGAGCATCGCTCGATGCAATCCTCAATCCACTCGCAGCCACGGTCAATGACACGCTTCAGACGACCTCCAACTTTCTCACCTCGCCCAAGACTCACCGTGCCATCGTGAGATCCATCATCTTCTCGGGCGTCATCATCTTCAGCATCTGCGCTGCCGTCATCGGCTATCTCTCCTTCTATTGGCTCTACATACCTGAGCTTGGCCTTAGCCAGCCTGCATGGCTACAATACGGGTCCGCTCCTCGCTGCTTTACAGCTCTTTGCATCCGGCTGACAGCTGCCTGATGATGTCTTCTACAGACAGGGGAGACCGCCCTTCGCCATCGTGCCGCTCAAGGGCGCAGGCGAGCTCGCCAGTGATCAGCCGTACGATATCACGCTTGACTTGCTCGTGCCCGCGAGCGAACGCAACATCGAGCTCGGCAACTTCATGGTGACCGTAGAGCTCAAGTCCGCAGACAACACCACTATCCTCAGAGCCTCACGACCCGTACGTCACCCCGCACTGCTCCTAATCTGATCCAACGCGTCTTGCAGGCTTCACTCGCCTACGAATCTGCTCTCGTTCGCTCACTCCACGCACTCACGAATTACAAGACACTTTTGAGCTTCTCACGCTCGCAGATCCAGTACATCAACGTCCGCTTGGTCGACAGCGCCATCTTGCAGCACTCTGGTCGCAAAAAGATTGCAAACGCGATCGTCGAAGTCGGCAGATGGGATTCTCATCAGCTCTTGCTAGGAGCACCCTCTGCCACGCCGGTCAACCCAAACATGCTAGGCTCGCAAGATCAAGCCGTCGCATCCGTGCTGAGTGCCCTTTTGGCCGCTCAGTCGCGAGGCTCGACCATCAATGCTGGCGAGCTGCAAGTCTACGAAAGCACGCTGCGCTTCGATGCCCACTTTGAAGGCCTTCGGTAGGGGACCCCTGCCCAATCATTGACATAGCTCATCACCGAGGGCAGGTATATCATGTACAATTATCCCAAGGCTTCTTTCATCGTCTTCACGTCTATCTTCACGTTCTGGGAGATCTTCGCCGCCCTCTCTGCCTGGGCTGTCATCGCATATCGCAGAGGGACCATCACCCCCTTTGATGCCCCGTCGTATTCTCGTGTCAGCGGCAGCTCGACTGGCTATGACGACGGCAAGCCCGGCCCAGGGATGACTTCCTCTGGCATGCGGAGGATCAAGCGAGATCGCGAACGAGCGCAGACAGAAACTCGCAGACGGTTTGATGAGATCGACAGAGAAGAAGCTCTCGAGCGCGAGAAAATCCAGGATGCCTACGAGCGACGGCGGAGCAATCGCGAGAGGATGGATCCCGAGCCCGCCGGTCCTGCGCAAGGTTCTTCGCGCGATCTTGGCATCGTCGCAGAGGCTTCGGATGAGGATGCCGTCAAGTCTGAAGAGTCGTGGGAGGGCATGGAGGCGGCAAGCGGCGACGAGGAGACGGAGACGGAAGCCAGGATCGGCCAACGGATCAAGCGAGAAGCAGATACAGAGAGCGAAGGCACCGTTGGCGGGGTATGTCATCCTCCTCCCTGCTTGTCGGCCACTGACGAGATATGTGCGTGTACACAGTCTGCATCTTCGCGAGCCCAGAGCAGACGCTCCCTCGGATCAAGTCGCGCTACTTCTCGGACCGTCACGAGCGCAAGCGCACCCTCCGTCGTCAGCGCTGGCGAAGAACGGTCGAGCGCGAGCGAAGAAGGTCAATCGGGCGATAACCTTGCTGGCGATACGACGAGCGAGCAAGTCACTGAGGATGATGATGTCTAGCGAATGTTGGCATACTATTGGATCATGTTGCGATGAGCAGGCCTGCCTTGCGTACACCTTGACGCAATAGCCTCATCGTCCCGAGCCGGCTTCCACCATGCGCGTCGAGCAGCAACCTCGTTGGCGCAATGAAATAATATTGACATGTTGACATTGGACCATACTCAGAAATTCTTGAAGCAGTTGTCCAACCTGGCGTCATCAAGATGAAGCGCAAAGCAGCGACTGAGCATGGGCCGCAGGCAAAGCAGCCTGCCAAGCTCGATGCGCAACCGGTAGCATCAACGTCGAGCATGCGGATGGACGAGACCGATTTTCCCAGAGGAGGAGGCACTTCGTTGACACAAATGGAAGTCAAGACGGCAAAGCGTGAGGCAATCGCAGAGCTTGACAGAGACGAAGAACTCTTTGCACGCGACAGCAAAGCCAAGCGCAGTACAGATGGCACAGACGAGGGGAAACATAAAAAAAGGCGTCGAAAGGAAAAGGATGCTGCAAAAGCTGTGAAGCCAGACGTGGCAAAGCAGGACACCATCCGGGTCGAGCATCTCAATTACAAGGTCTGTCATGATGATCCGATCGATCGTCATAGCTGATAGATCGTCGCGCGGAGCAGAGATGTACGCCAGGCACAAAGTTGCTCTGCCTTGTCGTGTCAGTTCACGCGCTCGAACTGATCGTCAGCTTGCCCAACGAGCTCTCTGGCCATATACCGCTCGTCAACATCTCCTCAGGTCTTACCGCTCAGCTTGCGAGTGGTCATCCAGACGACGAGAGCGAGTCAACCGACGAGCAAGATGAAGATGACTCGCCTGATCTTACCCAGATGTATGAGCCTGGCCAATACCTCATCGCATCTGTCGTTGCTTGTAGATCATCCGACGTCGCTCGCAACACGCTTGATCCTTCCCGACGAGGCGACGAAGCCTACAGGACAAGCAGACGGCTCGAACTCTCACTTGATCCGAAGCCCATCAACGACGATCTCGCCAGGTCTGATCTGACAGACGGCCTGCTTCTGCCTGTTTCTGTCAAGAGCGTAGAGGACAATGGATATGTGCTCGATCTCCGTCTGAAGGACGAGATGACATCGTTCGTCAAGTTCGAGGAAGCCCAGACCAGCCGCAAGCTCATCGGAGGTCAAGTCATAACAGCGCGTCTGATCAAGCTCGCATCCAATGGTCGAACGTGCACGCTCGCCATTGATGCGACGCGCATTCGAGCGGCAGCCCTCGCGACTGCGCCTACCTTGCACGGACTCTTGCCAGGCAATCAAGTCAACGCTATTGTGTCTGCTGTCATTCCCGGCAGAGGTCTCAACGTCAAGTTCCTGGGCTTCTTTGACGGCACCATAGACCATACCCATCTCGTGATCGGTAAGGAGTACAAAGAGGGCAACAAGATCAAAGCCCGCTTGCTCTGGTCTTCAGCGCCCACACTTGACGCTGCTCGCACATTTGCACTCTCCGCATTGCCGCACGTGCTCAAACTTGCGCCACCTCTGCTAGGAGATACTCTGTTGAAGGAAGCAGTACCTATCGGAACGTTCGTCGATTCTGTCAAAGTCAACAGGACGGAATCTGAGCACGGCTTGGCTTGTACTGCCCGGCTGGGGGCAAACGAGTGTGCTGCTTTCGTCCATATCTCGCGCGTCTCCGATGAGCATCTAGGCACGCTTTCGGCGAAGTCAGGTCCGTATTGTCCTGGCACGACGCATCGCGGACGAGTCATCGGTCTGGCTCTGCTCGATGGTGCACTGCAGATCAGCCTGCAGCCTAGTGTCCTGGCTCAGCGCTTCTTACGCGTATCCGACGTCGTCGTCGGCGAAGCCGTCAAAGCGACAATCAAACGGATCACATCCAAGGCTATGTTCGTCAGCGTCGATGGCAACGTCGACGCGGTCGTCTGGCCTCTGCACTACTCTGACATAAAGCTCAAGCATCCGGAGAAGCGCTTCAAGATCGGCGACGTCGTCAAAGGCCGTATCTTCGCAGCTGACAGCGAATCCAGCAAGATTGTCGTCACCCTCAAGAAATCGCTTCTCGCTTCTGATCTGCCGGTCCCACAGAGCCTCGCTGACGTCAAGCCGCAGCAGGCATACGATGCAGTCCTGAGCAAGATAATGGAGAAGGCTCTCCTCGTCGATCTCTTCGGCGGCGCGAGAGCAATCATTCCCATCTCTGAAGCCGGGCAAGGCTTTGTTGATAACCTTGCGGCGCTCTACAAGGAGGGTCAGAGGCTACAGGTGCGCATCATGCATGTCGACACGAGCGCAGGCCGGATCACTGCATCTCTGAGAGAACGCGATCTGGACGGCGTCGCAGCTCTAGAGGGCCTCAAGGTGGGACAGAAGACAGAGGCAGTCATCGCCGCGCTACACAATGACAATATCGTTCTCGAGATCGCTCCCAGCAAAGCAAGAGGCTTGCTGTCCTATACGGCGCACGCACGCCAGCTCGGCGTTGCGACAGACGAGCTGAAGCAACGAATCGCCGTCGGTCAACTTCTCAAGGATTTGACTGTCGTCTCCAAGAACACTCAGAAAGGCATTGCCATCCTCAGCAGTGGATCTACCTCCACAAATTCGTCAGCCAACGGCATCAGCGATATGCTGCAGTTCGAGAGCGTTGCAGTCGGCGAAACCTACGCTGGTAAGATTATCGGAAGTGCTCCCCAGGGTTTGCATGTACAGCTCAGTCGAGCATTACGAGCCCTCGCACACTGGACCGACGTGCTTGATGACTTTGATGCTGCTTTGCCTGCGCCAGGCACGGTCGTCAGCTGTAACATTGTAGGCAAAGACGAAGCAGCCCGCAGGGTTGACGTCAGTCTTCGCCCCTCAGTAATGGCTGACAATGCCGAAGGAAGCATTTTAGATCCGGAAATCATCTCCATAGACGAGCTCAGGATCGGTCAGAAGATCCGAGGTTTCGTCGTCAACGTTGCCGATTCTGGCCTGTTCGTCTCTGTCGGTCGCAGTCTGACTGCCCGCGTGCAAATACGCGAGCTCTTCGATGAATATGTGAGAGAGTGGAAGCCTCGATTCAGTGTCGGTCAGCTCGTATCTGGCTCGATACTGAAGCTTGATCCGGAACGCAACCAGATTGAGCTGTCACTGCGGAGCGAGCGAACAGCTGCGAAATCCGATGCAAACGCCCTTGCTAGCTATCAGGTAGGACAAATCGCCTCGTGCGTCATCAAGACAATCGAGCGATACGGTGCCTTCCTGCGGATCACAGACACGCTTGTCAGCGGCTTGTGTCACAGATCCCAGTTCCCAGAGCAGGGCGCTGGCTGGAGCAAAGGCTTCAAAATCGGGCAAAGCGTACAAGCTCGCATCGTTGAAGTCGACACAAAGTCTAAGAAGATTGGCTTCACTCTCCTGGACGTTGCTCAGGAAGATCCAGATATCAGCGCGATCCTGCCAAGTGCGGTTGGTGAGGCTGACGAATCTGATGATGAAGACCTTGTTGTCGATCTTGGTGATCCCGCACCTACCGCAGAACATATTGGTCCAAACAATGGTCACGAGGCGGTTATCAGCGACATCAGCAGCAAACCGCTCGCACTCATTGGTGGCTTCGAATGGAGCACAACCCAGTCAGCGCCAACTCCGGCGCTCGAAGTCGATAGCGATGAAGCGGAGAGTACCGTCGCCGATGACGCCAGCGAAGAGGAGACAGGCAGCGCGTCAGACGGAGACCGAAATGTGACTTCTCTCGAACGCGAATTGATCGGATCACCAGATTCTTCGATACTTTGGATCCAGTACATTTCATTGCTGCTCGAGGCCAGGGATATCACGCAAGCTCGCGAGGTGGCACAACGAGCTCTTTCAACTATCAACTATCGCGAAGACGAGGAACGGTTCAATGTCTGGAACGCGATACTGAGCATGGAGAACCAGTACGGCACGCCAGAGACGCTGGAGACGGCTTTCAAGGAAGCAGTACAAGCCAACGAGGCAAAGAGAATTCACCTCCGGCTTGCAGAGATTCTCACAGCTTCCAACAAGCATGCACAAGCTGAGGAGCTTTACCAGCGCACTGTCAAAAAATTCAGTCAGAGCTCCAAAGTGTGGACGATCTTCGCTACGTACCTACATGAGCGACGCAAGTCAAGTGACGCTCGTGAGCTCGTTGCGCGAAGCATGAAGAGTCTGCCTCAGCGCAAGCGTAAGCCTTTCGTCAACAACACACATGCCTGACTGACCTTCGGATTAGACGTCAAGACGGCTGCCAAATTTGCGCAAGTCGAGTTCAAGCACGGCGACGCAGAAAGAGGTCGAACAATGTTTGAGGGCATCATCGACAGCTATCCCAAACGGCTGGATCTTTGGCTCGTCTACATAGATATGGAAGCACGCTCACAAAACATGGCTGCTGTTCGCTTTCTCTTTGATCGCCTGCTTGCTCAGAAGCTGTCTACCAGTGCGATCCGTGTCTTTGGCGCCGATGACAGCTAACAGGCGAATGCAGAGAAAGCAAAGAGTGTCCTCAAGAAGTGGCTGTCCCTCGAAAAGCTGGTACGCGGCACGACGCTCCCAGGAAAACGAGCTCACATGCGATACAGCATGGTGACGATGCGTCAGTAGAGACAGTCAAGGAACGAGCGCGAGAGGTGGCTGCAAAGTTGGTACGAGCAGAATAGCCTGCATCCCGTCCTTCTGTACAAGGGTATATATTCGTAAGAGCCGTTGCTATTGCGTTAAAGGTCTTTGTCCACGTCAGTGCTTTGCTTGTCCGTTCATACGTCGGTCGTTAAGGTCGTGCCAGTCATGAGTACTTTGTCGGAGGCTGCTCATCGACAGCTCTGGCGAGTCGATGCCTTCATGTTGGTCACTCGAATCGAGATGGTCGAGCAACAGATTGATCTTGGCTTCGTACTCGCCACATCGCTGCTCGAGATGGCCGTTTTGTTGCTCGAGCCAGTCGATCTTGCCCTCTGCGGAGCGCAGGGCGTCGGCTAGACCCTTATCGCCGGAGCTGCGCTTCGATGCATCGAGCCCGCGATGAGACAGCTGCGAGCGCAGATCACTGTTGGCGTTGTGCGCCGCGTCGAGCTCGTATCGCAAGCTGGAGGTCGCATCCTGCAAAGTCTGTAATTCCGTCTGAAGTCGCTCGATCTCTTGCGCGCTTTCCTCGCGGTGTTGAGATAGCGCAGACTCGTGCTGAGATTGTAGGCCTCGCATCTGTGCTTGTAGTCTGCCATGATCGTCAACAGTACGCTGCGACTGTATTTGCACGTCTGCAAGCTGGCTTCGCAGGTTTTGAATCTGAGATTCGTACTCCGAAGTGGGGGTCTGCTGCGCAATCTGTGCTTCCAGCTGGGCATTCCGCTCCTTGTACTTCGACAGCTCATCCTTCATTCTGCGAAGCATTTTCTCGGTACCTTTGACGTAGCTGACTGCCTTAAGATGAGTGCCTTCAAGTTGGCGATGGCGTTCACCAAGAGCAGACAGCTCTTCTTCGACCTTTGCCGCGCGATCTGTGACATCTGCGTGAAGAGCAGATAAGTTGCGATGGGCATTCTCGCGATCGTTGAGGTGGCTCTCGAGTTCGATGATCCGAGCGTCAGCTTGTGCCTTCGTACCATTGCTTGGTTCGTCGGGGGAAATGCCATGATCAGCCATCAAATTCTGTAATAAGGTGACGCGACCGTGCGCCTCTTCTGCGTTCGCGCGGTGTTGCTCGGTCTCGAGCTCGCGCTCTGCCAGCGATTTGCGTGTCTGGGCTGCCTGTGTGAGTGCAGTCGCATGCCTTGCCTTCGTGGCCGCTAGCTCAGCGCGAGTAGCATGTAGCTGCGAGTCAAGCTCGATGTATTGCTGGCGAAGCACGTTGAGCTCCTTTTGAGCATTATCCGCTCGACCAAGGGATTCTTCGTGCAGCGACTTGAGCGATGCGGCTTCTGCTGCAACGGCAGAGATGCGAGCTTCGTGTTCGTGTACAGTCATGGCACGGCTTGCCATCTCGCGATGCGAGGTGACCAGATCAGTCATGTGGCTTGTGCTCATAGCAAGCATGGACTGATGATCGTTTTGCAGCGCGTTAAGCGCTCGCTGAGATTCCTCGTGTCGCGCCACTGCATCTGCAGCGTATGCTGTGCTGTTCTGCAACTCGGTCTCCAATTGTTGCACTCGGACATTTGCCTGAGCTAGCTCTGCGCGAGTCTTCTCCCACAGCGCTTCGAGTTCTGTAGCTCTGGCATTGGACGTCTCGACTGTGTTCTGAGCCTGCTGCACAGTATCGATGTACTTTTCGATAGTCTCATTGCGATCTGCGAGCTTTGCGGAGACCTCGGCATGAGAGGCTTCTAGACCGCGCGACGAAGACGTCAACATCGCAACCTGGGATTTGTGGTCGTGCAGATCGGTCTCGTGCTGCCGCAGCAACTCTTGCAATGTCTGGTGCTGCTGTGCCAGGCTGCTGTGTGAAGTCGTCGCATGATTAGCTCGCGTATCTGCATCGTGCGCGATATCCTCAGCTGTCAGACGAAGCTTTCTCTCGTTGTCAAGCTCGATCTGTAGCTGCTTAAGGTCGCGTTCGAGAGCATTTCGGGTTTGCACGGCCTCGATAGCTTTGCGCTCAACAGCAGCATTACGTTCGCGGTCGATTTTGTTGACATCGCCAGCCGAGCCAGACTCGTAAGACAAGGCTTTTGTACGGTAGTACGCTGCATCTTGTATGGCCGTCTCGCGTGCGCGCAAAGCCTCTGCTGTCTTGCGTTGTTCAGCTTCGACTCGTTCGTTTGCATGTGTCTGCGATCCATCAGCTCGCGATTCTATTCGGAATGAAGTCGCCTTACCTTGACTGATGCGAGTTCTTGGCGCAAAGCAAGGAGCATCTCGACAGCGCGAGCAGTGCTTCTGCTTTCACCGGGGGCAGATACGTCTTCATCGAGATTGGACGGATCCGTGACAAAGCCTCTGGCGGTGGCATCGCTCAATGCGGCTCGCATCCACTTGTCTTTGTTTCGAAGAGTTTCCAATTCGCGCGAGCTTGTGGCGACGGTAGACTGATTCGGGCTGTAGTAGAATGCATCAGCAGGGGGTGCCACCTGTGCAAGTGGCTGAGACTGAGTCGCGAATTCTTCTGCGCCTCTGTCAAGCCGGCTAGATGCTTGGTTCTGTACGCCATTCGGTAGACTGCGCTTATCGCCAGGCCGGGGGGAGGCTGAATGATTAGATTGTTCGCCACCACTACGATGACCGGTCTCGACAGAGGAGTCCTCTTCGGGCATAGCGCCTGGTATCGAAATGCTGCCTGCCTTCTTGGCGGTGGGTGATGTCTGCACTCTGCTCTGGCTTTGCTGGCTTGTGTAGCTCTGCGCGGATTCTTGCCGCTGACGGGCATAACTGCTCGAGTCTATGCTGGCAGTTCGACCCGTGTGGGCGGCTGCCGCAGTGGCAACGCCTCCCGCGCCGACTGCTGCGGCTCCTGCTATAGCAGCCGACGAGACAGCAGGCGGCAGACTAGCTTGTGTCTCGTTGGTCGTCGTTGTGGGCGATATCGTTCTGGACGGCGCAGCGCCAGGCACGGTACTCTTACGAGTAGCAGCGCTCTGGCTTTGACGCGAATTGTCAGGCGGATACTTGATCTTGCCTGCGTGTGGCCATGTCAGAGCGTCCGTAGGGTGCTCGTACTGAGGAGCTCACCAGTGTCCAAGACATGTACCAGTCCGGGGTCGTCGGCGCGTTGCGTCGTGTATGATTCGCCGCCGAGCACGAAGACCTTGTTCTGCCAGGTAGCCATAGCATGGCCTGATCTGCCGGAAGGCGCAGGCCCCATATTCTGGAACATGTACCACCGTTGATCTGCCCAGCGGGTCAGCACTGCAGGGAATCAAGCTCCGTAGGAACGCACTCGTTATCCGAAATGCTGCGAGATCTTCGAGATCTTTGCCGTCGACGCCACGACCGCCGAAGACGTACATGACATCGTCCACCAGCGTGGCAGCATGCCCTTCGCGAGGCACAGGTATATAGCCAATACAGGACAATTCTGTCCACTTTGTCGTGATTGTATCGAACGACCAGGTATCGTTGTAGTGATATTGACCGTCCGTGCCACCAAATCTGCACGAACATTGTTCTCACATTAAGCGGGGCTGTATGAAACGGAACAGTACGCACATATAAATGCAGTCACCGTGTGTGATAGAAGTATGACCAGTTCTGCGCGGTGGCGCCGACTCGATATCAGCATATCGTACTTCTTGCCATCGCGGCATGCCGGTCTTTACTGTATTGAGCTGGCGCTATTAGCGAAGGAGGCAAGCAAGATGGTCATACTGACAATTTTGCAGGTCGAAACTCCACATGTCATTGAGGAACTCTCCGTCATCTTTCTGGCCTCCAAACACGTAAAAGCGACTGCCAACCATGGCCGCCGCATGACCGTACCGTCCCTCCGGTGCCGGCCCAGCTACCTTGACACGCGTCCACTCGCGTGTGCTCAGGTTGAGCAGGTAAAGGCCATCGTCCTGTATATCGTCCGGCGATTGCTTCGTGTCACCGCCCCAGATGATGAGCACGTTGCCCACGCCCACGGAGGCATGACCCACTCGAGGCCCAGGAATCTCCCCTCTGGTCTCGACGAGCCCGACACTGAGGGTACCGGGCGCGCCCTTGTCGAGACCTGGCGTGCTAGTCGAGTTTGGATTGGCTTGCAAGACGTATAGATCGTTCTTGACTTGGTCGGCGACCAAGCCGCCAAAGACGTATATGTCGCCTGACCCTGGAGCAGCGAGTGGATTGACGGAGTGACCATAGCGAGGAAACGGCATTGGTGAGGGCTGTCGCGCGGTCGCTTTGGCGGCATTCGGGGGCGATCCATCTGGAAAGGGCGAAATGGGCAGCAGATGCAGCGATCGCTGAGACCAAGGATAGACAATACTAGGCGCGCCTTTGCCTTGCGAAGGTACTGCATTGCTTAGGGGTTTGGTCGCGTTGGCAGGTAGCGAATTGTATCCTGGCGCGCCAGGCTGACCGCCAACCGCGCCAGAGGGCAGGGCGGATTGTCTCGCGTACTGTGAGTTGGGCTGCATCATCTGGGCTGTTGGAGGACCTGCACCAGGCGGCATCGTGGCTCTATTGCTCGGGACACCGTTGCGTGCAGGCATGCCACCTTGACCAGGCAATGGGAGAGCACCCATCTGGGACGCGGAAGAAGGATGGCTGAGCGTTCTGCCGCCTTGCGTCTGGCTTGACGGGTTGCCCAATTGGGACACGACGTGAGTCGGCGGTGAAGCGGCGAGATCGTGGCTCGTCCGCGAGGCAGGGATGCCTGTGGTGTTGGCGTTGCTAGGAGGCTGAGCGGGCGCAGTATTGGCTGCAGAGGAAGGAGCACCGCCGCTCGTGTTGAGGGCAGACTCCTTCTTCTTCTTGGAGGAGAAGAATGACATGATCGTCGTCTGATCGCCCTGACGAGCTTCCTCCTGCTGGTCTGATCTGTCGCGAGGTCGTTCTCACGAAACGTTTGCCTGGCTTGTTACCTCGCCTCGGTGGGTCTATGCGCCGAGACTCGTAGCCTGGACTAGGCCGAGACTACGAATCTGTCACTTATGCGTTGTTGCTGCTTGCGTCAAATCGAGGCCGCAGAGGGCGCGGTGCTCGAGTGTCCCGAGCCGTATCGTGGAACGTCGCTGTTGGCTGCTCAACTCGCAGCCTGACTGACGCGCGTGCGGCGAACAAGAGCGGTGCCTGATCGAGACAGCTAGCTGCCCAGCTAGGGAGGTCGCCCTTGATGGTGCTCGTCCCTATCGAGGCGTCTAGTGACCTGCACAAGACAGAGGTCGCGCTCTCACGACAGTAGGTGAAGCCAGTCTTCTGGAGGCTGCGAGTGACGAGAGTGCGCTACCGTACAACGTTCGCCTGCTCTGCTTGCGGCAGTTCACGGCAGTCGACGCCTTTCGCAGGGCTCGTCTCGACGCGTGCCCGTCAACAAGAAAAAGCAACGTCGACGTGTCAGGCCTATCAGGGCGCTGCCAGCTTATGAGCCTCAAGTCGACCATCCGCTCGACAGCACGGCTCGCCGTCCTATCGGCAGATGCTACCGCTGTCACTTTTTCCCCGGTCGCCTCTTGCTCCTATGCACCCGTCGTACCGCCGATAATTTGCAAGGGTTTGCCGTCGCGCAGCCAGGGATGGGCCCCAAGACGGCATCTTCACGCGGTCCCGACGGTACGAGCAGCCGCTAAGGGTGCGCAACATGATAACACAGACGCGGGCAAGCGCTGCTCAGGTCTCGAATGACGCAATACTCATGTCCCAAGTACAGAACGCGGTCCAATGGCCACCTACGACGCTCGTGTGGCTGCAGGGCTATTGCGAGACGATGAGCATCAGCGCTCAATCATTGCAACATACCTCGAGCCACTTTGGAAGCGTCTGCAGACTTATCGTCCTACGCCAATACCCAAGCGCTCGCTCGCCGAACGCGCGCCAAAGACGCATGGCCTCGTGCGTCATCGCGCATCATCCTCTGCTTGCCCTCGTACTGACGTGGGCCGCAGTGGTCTCGCATATTCGGTGGAAGTACGAGTATGCGCTTACCCGGACCAGAGCCAGGTCTACCACCCTCGCTTTACCTTCACGGCGACGTCGGCTGTGGCAAATCCATGCTCATGGACCTGCTCTTTGCATGCATACCTGCTCATCTGTCACACGATAAGCGTCGGATCCATTTTCATGCCTTCATGATAGACGTTCACAAGCGCCTTCACGCTCTCGGGGAAGCTGTAGGTCATAAGGCAGGCGATCTTGTCGTCCCCGTCGCCCGCGAACTTGCCAGAGAGGGCAGGATATTCTGCTTCGACGAATTCCAAGTGACCGACATTGTGGACGCGATGATCCTCCGGCGACTCATCGAGACGATGAACGCTTATGGCGTCGTGTCCGTCATGACTTCGAAGTGAGCCGTTCCCACCGCCGGCGCCCATCGAGCGCACTGACACATATTCAAGCCGACAGCCGCGCGATCTTTATAAGAATGGAATACAGCGACAAAGCTTCATGCCCTGCATACATCTCATCGAGGAGAAATTCGATATCGTCGATCTGGATTCGAATACAGGTACGCTCTGCTCATACGCGTTCCACACGCGGCCGCCTTGCTCATGATCATGCCAGACTATCGCAAAATCCCGCGGGCTCTCTCAAAAGTATACTTTGACCCAATCTCACACGAACATGAGCGAGAAATTGAGAAACTCTTCGAGGGTTTGACCGAAGACGAGCCCGTCGTGCGTCGGCGACAACTAGATGTGTGGGGTCGGAAGCTCTACGTGCCCGAATCGACCAACAGAGTCGCCAAGTTCACCTTTGCGGACCTCTTCGCTCACGCGCTCAGCTCAGCGGATTACCTTGAGATCACCAAGAAATTCGAGACCATCTTTGTCGTTGACATACCCAAGCTCACCTTCAATCAACGAGATCAGGTATTTTGCTGACGTTGTCTGCGTTCCCATGGCCGCTAGCTGACGCTCCTCGATAGGCTCGTCGTTTCATACTGTTTATCGACTCGGCCTACGAGTCCAAGACAAAGTTGTTTTGCCTGTCCGAGGTGCCCATCACAGAGATCTTCAGCGATCGGAAAGATACACACGATGAGATCTCAGATGCTATGCGAGCGGCCATGGACGATCTAGGACTGAATGCCGATCAGATCGGTGCGAGTTCTATCTTTTCAGGCGAAGAGGAAATCTTTGCCTTTGCAAGGGCGGTCTCGCGATTGTCCGAGATGGGCAGTGCTGCGTGGTCGGGACAGGACGGACGACATGCAGAAATTGCACTGGGCGCAAGTGATATGCCAACAACATGACGTAATGCAAATGCTCTATTGGCGTGCCTTGTCCCGGCGCTTCTCGCGCTTCTTCGTCCTCTCGAAGGCTTTCTCCTCCGCTCTCTCGTCTTGCAATCCAGCTGTAATTTTGGCAATCTGCATGGTACGCTCAGCAAAGTCCGAAGAGATGGGAATGTACTTACCTTTGAGCGATAAGCGTCGTCTTTTGACGCTTTGATTTTTGCTTTCTCCCCGGCAATGAAGCGATTGTCCTTGCGCAGCTCGCGGATGGCGCCCTTGCGTTCTTTCTTGTACAACGCCTTGAACTTGCTCTCTGCCGCTCGGGCAGAGTCGGGGTCGAACGCACGAGTGCCCCCGCCACCCTCTTCGAATTTTGGTATGTGTGACGGTATCGGTATGGGCTTGTGGCTTTGCAACCGCAATGGCCTGCGATCGGCTGCAGCGTGCTTCAGCATCCGTCCCACTGCACTTGATGACTCCTCGACGCGAGTCTGCTTGTCGAGTGAGCCTGAGGGTCCTTAGCGAGCGAGAAGCAAGATGGTCACCTTCAGAGCGCCTGATGGCAGCTCGGCGGCAGCCTGCTCGAGCAAAGCTTGTGCTGATCCGAAGAGTTCCACGAAAGCCGGATTGTCGACACATTGCAGCATACAGCTTACGATGACACTGCTGACGCTTGCCAGAAGGTCTGTTTGATCTCGGACAGTGAATTTGCAACTTGACTGCAGGAGGCGTGATGCATCTAGACCGTCGCTGAGACGCTCCGGCAGGCCAGTAGAGGGTACCGCGAGCGCTTTGACGTTTAGACTGTCTATATCGAGAGCAGGAAAACTGCCTGGAACACTGAGCTGAGAGTATGCGGCCGGTGAGAGGATGGCGAGAGCGTATAGCAGGAAGTTGACTACTTCTGGGATAACACGCTTTGAGAAGCTCTCGTACTGGAGAGCAGTGCAGCTAAGTGCGAGACCCATCGCGAGATCTTTGATAGATCTGACGCGGCATTGCGACAGGACTTGACAGATATAGAGCAGTGCAGGCGCGCCAACCGGATGACTCAGATCTGACGTCGACCAGATTGCAGCAATTAAACGGAGCAAAGTCAACTCAGCGGAGCCAGGCCAAGTTTTTGCGCTGAGCACGAGCGGTCCTGTTTGCAGTCCTCGGACGAGGTTCTTTTGCATGAGAGCGAGCTTGCTGATGAAGAACGAAGCGCCCGTTTGAGCGTATGCTTTGCAAAGCGCAGCGATATGAGGCGTCAGGATATCGATTGAAGCATAGTCTGGGGGTTCCCGTGCTGCCGAATATAGCACGTGGTCGATGAGTACGCCTAAGAAGACTTGCAACCTGAGCGGGTTGTCTTTGTTCAGACTGGGATGGTACAATGTCCTCGCCCGCGAGGCGACAAGATCGATCTCTTCTGCTGACGGATCCTCGATGATCTCCATGAGCTCGTCGTGAGATGCCGGCAGTTCGAAGCTGAACGGTACTCTCTGCGCATCCGACGAGGACACCTGCAAGATCCTTTCGCTAGGCGATTTGGTAGCAACTAATGCAGCTTCTGGACCTTCCTCCCGGGCAAACTCGTCATCAGAGAGCAAACCGTCGATGCTCAAGCCTTCGTCCTGTCGACTAGCTGAGTCATCATCGCTTGCGCTCTCCGGGTCGAACGCGTCCTTGCCGGTAATTGGATGAGCTGTCTCCCCTTCGTCGATGGCCGCGTGCGCCGAAGCAAGACCGTGCCCCAGTCCAAAGTCATCGTCGTCGGACAAATCGTCCGCTTGAGGTGCACGTTTCGTTGACGCTCCACCGGATTGCTGGTCGATATCAGGCAAGCCTTGCATACGTCTGAGTCGGGCTGCTTCAGCCTTCTCGAGCGCTTCTTTTGCTTCCAACGCTTTCTCTTCTTCGGTCTTGAGGCGATTCGAAGGCTTTGCCCTCTTTTCAAACGCTAGCTCACGAACGTAACGGTCATATTCGTCCTCGTCATCGCCGTGCTTGCGCTTTTTACTGATGGGTACTGCATTTGAGGATGTTCCTGTCGTGTTCTTGATCAGCGGCCGCTCGTCTTCGTCCGATGCGTCAAGATTGAGCAGTCGCTTGAGCTCGTCAATCGTGTCGCTGCTGGACTTTAGCTGACTCCCTTCGATCTCATCCTCTGCCACAGACGAAGCCGTATCGGACTCGTCCTCATCTTCGTCCGATCCATCAGGCAGGGTCGCTTCTGCAGCACTGTCGGGAGGTGCGCGCTTTGTCAGGCCAAGTAAGCCTCTGAGGTCGTCTAGTTGCCCGTCGAGCTCGATCCTAGCATCGTCATCGTCTTCCTTTGCAGCTTGCCGTTCGCTCTATATGCACGCTCAGCGAGCCTCACGTGAGGTGAAGCTCGTGCGTACCTTGTACATCTTACTTTTGGCGATGACTTCCTGCATGACTTCTGCTTTTGTCTTGCGACGGTCTTGATCCTCCTCTCCCGCGGGAGGCAGGCCTTGCTCGTCGGCAAAAGCAGTAGAGAGCGATTGACCATAATGAGTGAGCGAATCGTCTTCCTCCTCGATGTTGAAGCCGGAGCCACGACCCGATCGCTCGGCCCGTCGTTGCGATTCGAGCTTGAATCGCTCCATGGCCTTCTCTTCTGGCGTCAGATGAGGATTATCCTCGCCAAACCGACGATCAATGACGGTGCCTGCTCTGCCGCGACTCTGTAGCTCTGGCAGGAGCGTCTTCTTCCTCTGCATGGTTCGTGTCAGCATACAAGCAAGGCCAGTATGACGGCACGGCTGACGTTCTCAATGCCGACTTGACGAGAGACGGCAGGGCGACCGAGTGCGCCTTTGATCTTTCTGCCCAAAACCTCATGCTTCTGCTTGGTGACTTTGACGTCAAACTGATTGAGCTCCGAGCCGATCTCCTGCCTTCTGTCTGAGCACATGCAACAGGCTAAGCCAGCCGACACACGGCAAGTTTACGATTTCTGTACTCTAGATCTGTCCGCTTGCTTTCAGCGGCTGACGACGTCTTTCGCTTCTTGTTGCTGCCCGTCGAGTTGTTGCGCTGCAGGCCTGACTGTCGCAGGGCAGCCTTGAGCTGTGCAAGCTGGGAGCCGCCCATCTCGAGTCCTCCTTGGGCGCTTGGGCACGTCAATTTTTCGCGTGTTGCTCTGAGTTTTGGACGTGTGACGCAACGCTACTGAGCCTACTGGGCCCCGAGCTCAGGCCTCAGGGAGCTGACCAGGCTGCGGTCACCCATCCTGTCTGAATGGTATTGCTTGGCACGCATCAACCACTTCTCGAGAATCTCATCGTCAGCAGGTAAAGCCGAGCGGTAGCAAAAGTACCAACGGGCTGTGGCTCTCAGAGGATCCAAAGACACAGCAGAAGATACGCCCTTTCGACAGCAACAGCGCCGCTACCAGGACGCCTGAGCTCAGAGATTGAAGAACGACGTCCTCCATCCTGTCAAGGATCGAGACCGATGTGCCCAAAACCATCCGAGCGAGATCTCTGCGTTTGACAAGGCACAAGCGAGTCCGTCGAAAGCAGCAGCGAGTGGGAAAGTTGCGTCCGCATCGCACGCCTGTCCGAGCGATGCATGCTTCCCTGCACACCCTTGCCAACGCACTTTTGCGCGCATTGATTTGCCTGAGCGATGCAGAGGATTGTTCTCGTTTCGCCTCTCTACTCATCCGACCGGCCAAACGGATTCAAAGGGTCCACTGTAAGAAGCTCTTCTATGCAGACCACCGCATCAATGAAATCTGAAACGGGAAACGGTCAGCTCGAGGCGCGTCATCGCAATGTTACGACGGCCTCTTGCTGAGCTTGCTGGTGTGTGTGACTGCTGCCCTACACGACGAACCTCATCTGCAGTTATGAAGCGAGACCGACAGTCCCAAGCTATACCAAGTAATAATGTGCAGGACGTCCTCGACAGTGTTCATGTTGGCTGCTCCCAAAACCAACGCACTAGCACATGGGATCCCACAGCCAGGAATACGCGACATCTTTCAGACACATCCTTGCGCCATTGGACGCAGAGACTTGAGAGCAGACGCTCGGAGCTGGATCTGGAAGGGGATTCCCTGACGCTCCATTGTTATCTCGCTCTAGTGCCCTGCTCGACGCGATTTGCCTGTCCTGCAGGCCAATGAAGAATTCCGTCATGAGCGATCGTGGCACTCTCGCACGAGTGCGCAGCAGCGATCTCGGTCCTATGCTCGGTGGCAGGTGCACTGACGACAGACTTACTCCATCGAATGGCTTTGACACGCAGAGCTGTCCTGAGGGCCAGCAAGTCGAACACGTGCTGCAGAAGCCCGTGCCAGTGAGAGCCATCTGGACCATCTTGGGAAACCTCTGGCTGAAGGAGATGTGAATGGCTACAAAACCGATACGCCGGGCAACTGCGACGGCTCTGAAGAGATGGCAGCCGAGGCAAATCACCAAGATCATGGCGGGTAGGCGCTTCAAGCCTGCTTCTCGATCATTGCTGACCGTGGGACATGCATGTAGAGAGCTGGTGGCAGTCGAGCGCCTCGGTCCTGACTGTCAAATCACCCACAAGCCGACATACAACAGCTGCAAGGTCAAGCACTTCGATCATATCGAGAGCTCCTACGCCAATACCACCTCATCTGAGTAAGTATCTCCTCGTCGCTGATCTTTGTCACAGCCTCGATGTGTATAGCATTGCGTAAGGTCTGACCGATGATGGCACTCGATAGGCTCGGACGTCAGACGACTGACTGACAGCGATATGTACACGCTGCCTGCAGTCCGGCGCTCAGCGCTCAGTAGCATTGAAGTTAGATTCGCGTGTCCTGCAAGCGTTCTTGTCGTCGCGCTTGCCGTCCATCTCGTGGAAGGGCAGGCAAGTGGGGTGGATGCAGACGCAGACTTGAACGGGCGTCTGTGCACGAGCGCAAGCGCAGCGAGCCGACCTACGGTATCCACGGCGCGGCGGCTCATCAAATTGCCATCATGTCGGGGTTGTCATCATTGTCATCTCATTCGCCTTCACTGGATCGTCTGAGCTCAGGAACCCCGATCGATGCGCCGGGAGCTGTCACGTCAACCGACAGACCGCGAGCAAGCAAGCGACCTAGAACTTTCTCCATATTCGACAAGACCGCTGCTACTATGGGCGATCATCGTCATCTTGCCTCTCTCCTCAATCCGAGCATCCGCCGTAGAGCAACTTCGGCCAGCTCCTCAATGCCTTCGCATCTCATGGAAACGCTTTCAAGTGAGCACGTCAACGGTCCCAGCTTCAGAGACGAGGACCGTGCCGCTGGTCTGTCCGCGGGAACAACGAGAGAGCGTTGGTGCTCTGCAGTGCCAGACGTACCCATCCCGCAAGGTCAGTGCAATCGCGTGCTATATGTGTAATATGTTCATGGAGGGCTCTTCAGATTTCCCCGGCTCAGTCAGTCGCCGGCTGTGCTGACATCACGAAGAGCGTGCTGACGCGCGGCGGCAGGACCTTTTGCGCGCTGTGACGGAGCATGCAGGCCAACATTATAGAGAGCAAGATCTCATGACCTCCCTTGCACCGCTCGGCAAATCGCGCCAGCCAGTAAAGGTGCTGCGCGATCGAGAGATTTGGATGACGAACGCGCTCGACGGCAGCGCTCTCATCGCGCTAGGTATGCCAGCCTCCCTTTACCGACATGCGGCAAGCTTATTCGACCAACAGGCATGCTTGCACAAGAGCTCGCAGCTTACAAGGCAGCAGAGATTGTCGGCTCGCCATACGAGCAATACAGCGAGCGTAGGTCATCACGACGATAGCACTGCTTTCCTCGCTCGAGCCATGGCAGCTCCGTAGCCCAGCACTAGACACGGGCAGGGCGATAGTGGAGGTACCGATATGCAGCACCGCCAGTTGCGTCGTCGACTTTGACGCGAAAGCCTTTCAGCCGGCGTACTGCGGACCACGGCACGCGATCAGCGCAGCTCGCGCGTCACGATGGTCACCCACAGCAGTCGCGTGATGTCAATGGCGATTTATCATCGTCCGAATCGTAGAATGCCCCTACCGCAGGATCGGTGCCGGATTGCCATCTATCCCTTGCAAATACAGCTGCCCGTCGAGGATTAGCCGGCACATACGTCCGCGTGCGCAGAGCGTGCACACCTTTCAGCGGGTTACGAGAGCTAAGTGCAGCCGTTCGATCGTATTCTGTAGCTTGTCCAGCATCTGCCTCTGTTGTGGTAGTTAGCGATTGTAGATACATGCAGGACTAAATTTACTCGGATGAGGTCGACGTGCGGCAGGTCCAGATTCGAATTGGAAACGATGAGGAACCGCTCGCTCAATGACATAGAGATCGATAGACATCTTCGACATGGGAGCTGGCGGTAGTGAAGGCGAGGGGGACATCTCTTCCTCTGATCGTTGATCGTACTCGAAGATATCGTCGCTGTGCGCTTTCTTGACTTTCGGACGTGCTGCCCTCAGCACGGGTAGCGGAGCCGGTGCAAGTGATGGATAGGATTGATCGGGTAGCATGTGCGTGACAGTAGGTAGCAGAGCTGGCGACAAGATCGGCTTGATCTCTGCTGGGGGATGTGCGCGAGGTTTGACGGCCACGCTAGGGCCAGCCTGGGCGATAATGGCAGGAGAGCCCGCGCTCTTGATCTTCTTCGCTGGCTGCTTGGCTGCTGGGCTGGCTGCTACGTTTGTCCGCATCAGTGCGGAAGCGTAAGGGGCCAAGCGTAGCTTGCCTTGGTGAACGACATCACTCGGAGGCGTATCAAGCTCTGAATGTGCTCGCTTCCGTTGGCTACTCGGACCAGCGTTCTGCGCCTCCCAATGAGGCGTCTGACGCATATCAGGATCAATCAGCGATGGCAGTTCCTCGCTGTCTTCATGGCTGCCTTTCTTGGGCTGCGACGATTTGTTCGCGCGCTCGGCTACCCCAGGACCGGGCTTGACCATGTCGTTCTGATGCGCACAAAGTAAGCTCAGAGTGAAGATAGCTGAGAGCATACGAACATCTGCGAGGAAGGTTGAGCGTTTGAGCGTCATCTGACGACCGAATTCCAACTCTTCTGGCGTATCGATGTTCTCCTGACTGGTGTCGCCTTCTGTGAGGCCTAGTAACTCTGCCGGGCGAACAATAGGGCTGATCGCGTCTTCCGAGGCCGCGCTGCCGCCTTCGAGAAAGCGGTGAAGCAGCCACAAAAAGGCGTGTGACCTTTGCGCGGACGTTATCGTGAAGATCGAGCTAGTCCGCCGCGGGCCGATGAGTCACGATCCGATCTCGCAGGAAGGCGAACTCACTCTTCTGGCCGGAACAGATCACCGAGCTTAAGCCCAGCTGGAAAGTATTTTTCCGAGACCCACTGGCCTTTCGGTTAGCTATACAAAAGGCGCATGAGCGGGCAGGGCGTACGACGGACTCGGTGTTGAGCAAGAAGATGAGCTCGATGACGCTCGTTGGTGGACGATGACCGGCTGCGGCGCGCATGGCCACTTCGCGCAGATTGGCTGGGGGCGCTGCACCCTTTGCGCGCTCTGATTCTAGTGTGGCGGCCTTGAGCTGCGTTTTGAGCCTCGGTGTATCCTGGAGATGCTTCGCAGTGAAGTGATCGATCTGGAAGGCCGGTATGGGGTGATATGTTCGCATGAGCGTCTTCATCTCGTGGTAGACTGCAAGACGGATCAGGAGCGCGTGGTCAGTCTGTGATCGTTTAGGCAGCGCAAGGAGGATGACTTGCAGGCCAGGGTCGTGTTGATCCTGCCTACGTTGAGGAGCAAGCCCGTCTTGCCGAAATTGACAGCAAAGTCTTGTGACTCGGCCATCTTGTCCTTGAGTGTCTTTGTCGCCTTTGGAGAGTTACAGATGCAGTCAAGATACAGCTCGGCAAAGGACCAGGTGCGGTCTGTGGGAAAGAGCGCTGTGTTGAGATCTGCATAGCTGGGCGGGGTGAAGCGGAAATGGACGTTGCTGAAGATCTGGGCGAGGAGGTCGAACTGGATGTCGTGTCGAGTGAGGGCTTGGCCATCTGCCTGATGTCGTCGTGATCAGCTCAGACACGAGCACTGTTCATGCAGGAGTGCACCTTCTTGACAGCCTGCCCACAGACCGAGACTTATGAGCACGCCAGCACGCAGAGGCATGAGCTCGAGCAGACGTACGAGTAGCATTGGGAAATCAGCTTGGTCTGCTCGCTTGGCGGTCTTGCGCTTGGCAGGCGAGACACCGGACGTTGTTCCCTCGGGGCTTGCCATCCTGTCGTGCTCGTCCGGCTCTGTCGACTGCTGGCCGGCTCGCTCCAACACTGCAGGCCAATCGGTGTCGACCGTCACCACCGTCACCGTCACGCGTCACGTGTCGCGATCTGTCCCAGACTGTCGACTGTCGACTGTCCTTGGCCAAAGGGTGAATGTTCCGGACGACAGCGACTGCCGCAGCTGCCGGCGCTGCTCGTTCGGCGCAACAAGATGACTCGGACAGATTCGAAGAGCTCCCGCCGGATCCCAAGCCTGCAAGCGCAATAGCATCACCGACTGAACCTCGTCAGGAACTCAGAGTACGCACGCCGATGGACCCGCCCGTCAGACTGGGCTGATGCATTCTCTCTATGAAGGCAGCTATAGACTACAAACTGTCTGGCAATGCAGCCTTTGCTCGCTCTAGCTGGGCGGAAGCAGCAGACGAGTACCGACTCGGCCTCGCCAGCCTGCCTGCTCGTCCTGTGCCACGCAGGAAGCTTGATCCTACAAGTGGCCAGCCTGTCACAGCCCGAGCGAGCGACAAGATCAGACCAGAGCGAGTCAGGCCGCCAAAGAGGCGAGATCCGCCGCCTACGCCTGATCCTTGGTCTGCCGAGCCGTCCAAGCTCGATAGCTCAGACGAAGACTCAGACGACAAGCAAGACCCCAATCTCATACCAGCGCCTGCCGTTGAGCCCATCGAGGAGGAAGAGGTCCCGCCGGAAGCAGAAGACATCAAGCAGCTCCGCGCCGTCCTCAATGGTAATCTCGGTGCGAGTCTCATGAAGATGGCAAGTCGCCTGGCTCACACCTCTCGATGATCACTGACTGCTTCTCGTCTCACGACAGAGTTGCGACAAAGAGGCAGTAGAAGCGCTCACTGATGGCAAGTGTTATGCACTTCCTGCTGCACGTCCCGACTCATAAGTGCATTTGACGCAGCTCTCACTGACGATCCTAATTATGTCAAAGCACTCCATCGGCGCGCAATGACCAACGAGCGCATTGCAGGCTGGTCGGGCTATTCTGCAGCCCTCGAAGGTTCGTTGTGTCAGCAGCATGGTCTGCAAGCCTGACAGAATCAGCAGACTGGAGAAAGCTATCCAAGTTGTCCAAAGCGCCGCCCTCGTACACTCACATCCAGCGTCTCCAGAAGCTGTCGGACGAGGCGAGGGACAAGGAGACAGCAGAAATGATGACCAAACTCAAAGGTCTCGGCAACTCTTTCCTCGGCAAGTTCGGTATGTCGACCGACAACTTCCAGTTCGTCAAGAACGAAGACACGGGCGGCTACTCAATGAATTTCAACCAGAACGCACGAAAGTAGATATGAGAATGACGACAGCTTCTGTTGCTTGTAAACACCAATGCCATCTGATCATGCTTCCTCTTCATCGTGCTCCACAAATTGCTGCGTCGCTTCGTTGTACGATCTGCCCAGCTCGCCGTACTCGATCTGGTCCTCTTGACTGAGCAAGGGAGGCGTGAAAGGTGCGTCGCGCTTGCCATGCGCTCCGGCATACTCAACAGGCACAGGCTTGAATTTGTTCTCGTCATCTAGCTCACCCCAGACCGATGTGGTGCTCTTGAGCAGCCGATGAACCTCGAGCTGTCGTCCGTGTCTCGGTTGGCTTGCCAATCGCTCGCGCCAGCAAGTCGCCGCCGTTCTGTCCTTCAGTCAGACGGTGCGAATGCAACGAGGAGTAAACATACACAAGTATTTGAAAAACAGTTGCCATCCAGAGCAGGAGCAGTGGCTTGAGAGTGTCCGGAATCATCTTGAAAGGTACCTTGAGGATGGCATGCTCTGCCGCCAGACCATCGATAGCAAGGTCGTGATGACGGACGGGCTCAAAGTCTTGCTCGAGAGGCGCGGACGGTCCCTTGCCGAGCAGTGGACTTGTCGTCTCTGGCTCGACGTAAAGTACAACGCCGAGCGAGGTGGCTGCCTCTTGTAGATGAGTCTGACCTGACAGCAAACGCAAGAGACGGTTTGCTCCTTCGTTCAGAGCTTGCGTTGGTACGACCTTGGCCTGTATAGCTTCCATCGGCGCGAGCCCAACCGACAGAGAACCTCTCGTATAAGTGACCGTTGCAGCGGTAATTAACGCCAGAGCGACAAAGCTGAGTACGAGGGACACGACCGACGCGATTCGGAGTGCACGAAGGCCGATGAAACGTTGCTTCGCTGGGGCTCGTGTTCGGAGGACAAGGGAAACGACGATGAGTACGACCGAGATGAACAGGGTGGCAGTCATGGAAGCAACGACGCCTGCTGGTGGCAACAACCACATCTTGTCCGTCAAGGTGCCCTTGACGGCGAGCATATCGAGCAGTGTGAAGAATGCCGTCAATCCGGTCGACTCAGGATCATGGCCCGCCACTTCGTTACGATGGCTCGTCGTCGATGGTATGAAAATAGCAGCTAGCACGAGCAAGCCGAGCACACAGGCGGGCGAGAGAATCCGAATCGCATCGCATAGTCGAGTGTATCTGCGTCGATGATCTTGCGGGTGCTTGAGACCGTTTAAGTCTGCAGTCCAACCGTAGACAGTCTGCATGATGAAACCCCAACAGACAGGGAAGCATGAGAGGGATGGACACTGGTAGGGAAGGCTATTTCACGAAGCGGGCTTTCAAAAAGCCTTGATCACGAAGCGCGGGTCTTTCAAAAAGCCTTGACGCGTAACGCTCGTCGCGATAAATCGATGACGCAACGACGCACCCGCTAGCTAAGCGACATGCTGTCCTCGACGTGGCTTCTGGCTGGCCTCTTGGCGAGTGCGCATGCGGCACCGCGCCTCGGTCCATCGAACAATGGTCTTACATTCCAGTCGCCAGACCGGCTCGCGGACGAGAAGCAGCTGGTTTCCGTCAAGTTGGCCGTCATGAGCCAGTGCCCAGACGCACAGATCTGCGAGCAAGTTTGGGACAAGACGATCCCAAAGGTAGCAGACAAGATCACGCTCGAGCTCGTGTACATCGGCAAGCTCGATCAGAGGTCCAAGTACGGCGTCAAGTGCATGCACGGCGAACTCGAATGCGCGGGCAACATCCAGCAGCTCTGCTTTGCGAGACATTTCCCCAATTACAAGGAATGGTGGCCCTTTGTCAGCTGTCAGAACTACGGCAGTCTCAAGAACGTAGGCACCGAATCTGTCGCACGATCTTGCGCAAAGGTGGCAGGCAAGGATTGGGACGCTGACGGTCTGGCTTCATGCGCGTCCGGCGAACGCGGCGCGAGGCTCCTGCGCGAGTCTGTGAGGATCGCAGAATATCTAGGGGTGGAGTAGGCCAGTCGCTTCTTGGTCAGTCATCATGCTCATCTCGATCCGCAGGAAATCGTGCTCTGTTTTGCTTAACGATCGCGTCATCTGCATTCACGACGGCACATGGAAGTCATGTAGCGAGGGTCACGAGGTCAGTGACTTCGTGCGCCAGGTCGAAGATGAATACCGGCGCATCAACGCATACGATCACGAAGCTTAGCAAACGACCTATTCAGTATCCCGACCTTGTCACTCCTGCTCTTAGTTCGTTGTATTGTGCTCAGGAGATGTACATGTCTCGCTTTAGCTTAGTGCAAGCATGTTCGAGTCTAGGCGGCCACGTTCTTGCGCACTGATAGTGTCAAGATGAGCTGCATCGCCTTTCAGCATGTAGACTGATGGCATTTCACGAAACTGACCGATTTCACGAGCAGGTAGAAACGCTCCTTGCTCATGAACAGGAACGCATTGGTTAGAACGCTCTGAAGGAGCTTCGTACTGATGCCTCGATAAAGACCCGCGGGACCTTCGGACTGGATGATGCTTGTGATACCGTGAAATGTAGACTTGTAGCTCCTCCCTTGCGCTTGACCAGATTGCATGCGTGACTTGACGGTGAGCCCTGAGAACATGTCAGAGATGCTGCATTGGCGTCCGCAAGAGACTCACATGGATAGGTGAACCCGGTGGATACTGTCTCGCATGCATGAGCTCTGTTCCTGATAGCGTAGAGACGACACATACATAGTTTAGACAGCGCTCCGAGCGCGAAAAAGTCAAGGTCAGTCAGGGGCAATGCAGCCAGTGGACTGCCTGTGGCGGATTGGCTCGCCTTTGCCGCACGTCTTGTCAAGAGGAGGTTCTTCATCTGCTCGAAAGCGGTATAGCTGATTATCGGATTGGCAACGAGCAAGAGCGCAGGCCCTAGTCCATTGAAGAGCGCCCCAGGACCGTCAGTCTGAATGATGTGCTTCAGTGTGGCCGCAAAGCCAAGCTTCTTGACCATGACGGGTCTGCCTGTCTTTGGATCGCGCGCGTCTGCCTTTTGAGGATCAGACACTGTCGTCCTCACGGTTTGGCGGGTGTTGATGACCCTGTGCGTCGGTCAATGGCGATCTACCGTTCCAAAGTCAGGCGTACCATATCGGATTCGAGATGATTGACGTCGCTGAGCCTGCCAAGCGTAGTATGATCGTCAGTATGGCTAATCGCGCCAGGAATCAGCGCGTACCGGCTAAGAAAGAGGCGAGGATGCTTTCGAGCATCGACAAGCTCGCTGCCGCGCTAGTGATTGAGCTCCTCTCGCGCTTGGCCTTGTAGTTGGCGATGAGGGTGCGCGACTCTTCGTAAAACGCATAGAATGCGCCATTAGTGACTGCAATTGCTAGCAATGACGACGAGAGTCCGTCGTATAGGCCTGCGATGCCTTCTTTCGCTACGAACCGTCTGATGCTGTCGAGCGTCGTCTGTGAGAAGACATCAGCGTCGACGTTGCGCGCATTGAAGCTGGCTCGCCTCCCCAGGATGTCGCTTCGTTTCGACTTGAGCGCGTGTACTGACACTGATGAGCGGATCTTCGTGACAGAAGCTGTCAACAAGCAGTCACAGAGGTCCTGAAGCACGTACACGTGATCGCCATGGCTACACAGCCACCGGCTGCACCGGCTGCCGCATGGACAAGTGATTCGCTCATGCCGCAAGGCCCGTCTCAAGCCGGCGAGCTGGGCTTGCTGTCGTTCGTTAGCCGGCGAGACGCGCGCGTTGATAGTAACCGGTGGAAAGGAGTTCCATGACCTGCAGGCGCAGCGCAGTGGCGAACTAGATTGCGCCTTTTCCGCAGCGACGTGCCACTGCTAGACCCAGGAAGTACCCCGCTCAAGTACTATCGGTCACAGCCACCAGGCCCACCGCTTCTCATCACATCGCGGTCCCTCCAGAGGGTAGTCAGCCGAGCGCCTCGCCCATCAGTGCTTCGGCTTGGCCCAGCCTGGATTGAGCATGGTCAATGCTATACCGCCCATCAAGGGTGCGTATCCGTCCTGCTGAAGCTCTGCGCGAATAGCTGACTGGCATTTACGTTTGTCTCTCGCTTTGCTGCGCTCACCTGATGACGACATGGCCATCCACCGCTTTCCTTGCGCTATGGCCTCGCATGACATTGCTATCATCCCACTCTGCTCTCTTTGCATCACTGGTCGCCGGCCGCTCAGAGGACGAGTGCGTATAGCCTGTGGGAGCAGCTCGTATCCGAGCTTATGCCTGTGCGCCGTCACGCAGAACGACGCAACAGGTGGGCAGACGCGCCAGCACACAAGACGGCAACGGCAGTCAATCGAGTAGCCAGGCACGACCACGAGATGGCGGTAGTGAAACTCCGCCGTCAATGATGTCGCCCATGCAGATTGACGAAGCTGCCCTTGACGACAACGCAGAGTCCTCAGAGTCCTCACGAAGACCGAGGACTTCATCAAGTGGCGCTAACAGCCCCAACGCACGAAGCCAGACCATCACTGCCTCAGATGGCCCGCTCACCTATGGTGTCAGTCGGGCTACACGCATGCTTGCCAGCGTATTGATCATCTTGCGCAATCACAGAAAATCAACCAGCATCCTGCAAGGTCTCATTTGGCCTCTGCGCCGTTCAGTGTCGGTGTGAGCGAGGACAAGAACAAAAAATGTCGCCGAACTATGGAAGACGCGCATTCGTTCATCTATGATTTCGCCGGCGTCAGAGGCCAGGGCTACTTCGCCATCTTTGATGGTCACGCGGGCAAACACGCTGCAGAATTCTGCGGTGCTCATTTCCACGAAGTATGTGCCCCTCAAAGGCAGCGTCGGCCCTGTTGAAGTAGAATTTTGCAGTACTTGCTCAGCGAGATCAGCAAGAAGCAGGACGAGACAGTGCCTGATATGCTCAATTCGAGTTTCACATTGGCCGACAAGGAGCTATCCACACGTGCTGCCGAGAATGGCACACATTCCGGCTGTACTGCGGTGGCCGCATTTTTACGAATTGAGACCGAAGATGGCAAGCCAGTGCCAGATGATCTGGATGCCGAACCGCCACAAGATAGCGTCGATGGGCTGCTAGACGATGACGCGACGCCTAGCGCTAAGCCTCGGCGGTTTGGCGACGGCGTACACAGGGACAAGTTCAGAAGCTTCATTGGCCGATCCAGCTCAGGCCGGCAACTTTCTTCGGGCGATGCTGCGACCGAGGGCAGCAGTCAGCCCGCGGCCGAGAACGCGCTGGCCGGAAGGAAGCGCACACTTTACACAGCTAATGTCGGCGATGCGAGAGCGGTGCTTAGGTGAGCAGCAGAGCCTACGCTAGCATAGTATGACTCACTTTGGTCTTGCGAAAACAGTCGCGGCGGTCGAGCGATAAGGCTCACATACGACCACAAAGGTAGCGATATGCAGGAAGCCAAGCGAATCACAGATGCCGGTGGCTTCGTACTCAACAATCGTGTCAATGGCGTTCTCGCCGTAACACGTTCGCTGGGCGACTCTTCTATGAAGGAATTCGTTGTTGGGGCGCCATATACGACAGAGACGACCTTGGGAGAGGAGGACGAGTTCCTGATCATTGCTTGCGATGGTGTAAGCTTGTATGCCGTTCGTCGCAGCATGTCCTGATAAGACCGCAGCTATGGGACGTATGCGAAGATCAGGCGGCAGTTGACCTGATCAAAGACATCCGCGATCCACAAGACGCTTCCAAAAAGCTTCTCGAGCATGCTCTCAGTTCCTTCACGACGGGTACGCTACTGCGCGCTCTTTGCTCCTGTGCTAACTTCACTGGCATCCCACAGACAATACCACCGTGCTCGTAGTCCGGTTATCGTAACGCAGAAATGTACCAAAAGCCACGAAGCAATGTATTCGACTACAAAGATTTTGCATCAAGACAAGCCTGATAAATAGTCCATCAGCGCTTCGATGATGTCTCGTTGCTTGACCGGCTCTAGCGCTTCGTTCGGCTGTGCTGCAAAACCATTGGATGGCTTCACGTCTTCTGCAGACCCGATATTGTCGCGATATTCTTTCAACACGTCAACGACGTCGGCGAATGCCATATCCTTCCGGCTGAGGAGCAGACGGACATGCTCTTGTATCTGCAGAACGAAGAACGATGTCAGCGTTCATACATGCATGGAAAAATTGGGTAGACTCACCCCGTCATCTTCCATGACAATCCAGGCAATTACATAGTCAACCAGCTGGAGTGTGAAGAGACCAGCCTCGAGACGTCTGAAATACTCGTCGTCCTCGTCATAGTCGAGCCCTTCTGCCTGTAAAGTTCGTCTTTCACTCGCTAGCTCGCCTTCCCGACTCTTGACGCGATCTTGTGCCGTCTCCCTGAGCTCGAGCAAGCGGTCGACTTTCTCGTAGCCATCCTCGACAAATTTAGCGAGCAATCGTAACCGCGATTCGGACTCAGATGCCAGATTACTGAGCAGTGAGTTGAGTATGCCGAGGATATGCTCGTCGTCTTCGGCGCCAGACGACTCTGATGCCTTTCGTTTGCCAGTTCTGCTCTTGCCCATAAAGGCCGAAAAGAGCGTTCTGAGGCCCAGCGCTTCGACAAAGCGTTCGCACGATGATATTCCAGCTTCGCCCGACAAGGCATGATCAAGCACTTTGATGGACCGTGTGCGAGCGAGCATCTTTTGTCTGTGCAGGCGCATTGAATCAGCAACAGGAGGCACTGCTCGATATCGACGAACTTCATGAGCAGCACCATTAGCTCGACGCCCTCGCCTTCGAGAAATCGCTGCTTGATCGTTGTCGTAGCGAGGGCCGAGCACAGAATATCAAAGACGTTCTCCATAAACTCGAGCTCTTCTGCGCCTTTGGGATCACGCTTGCGATACGCCTGCTTGCCACTTGAGCGTGCAGTGCAAGCTATGTATAGTAGACGCACCGAAAGCGTGGTCAGGCAGACGTCGACGCCGTCCAGGGCACCAAACCGTTGCCTGATGGTATCGTCGCCCGTACTGAGCAACATGGAGAGGATTTCGGCCGCATAGAACCGGATCTGCTCCAGATCCTTCGTCGCTTTCTGCTGTACTTGCTGCAACAGCCAAGCGAGCAGATCTGTAGTCTTAGTCAATCGTAGTGCAAGGCCCTCTGTTGCGGACAGGAGGTTCTCGAACAGACTGAGCGCGTGGTAGACCCCGTTGCGCTCGGTTTCGTCACCCAGATCTAAGCGTCGGACGTTCTGAGTAAGTAGCTCGAGAATAGAGCACTTGACGAGCTCGTCTGCGAGGGCTTTGACGGCTAGCTCGGCCTGAAGCCCGACCGTACTCTCTTCGCCATCTTCGCCCTCGCCCACGTCCTCGTCCGTAAGCTCCTCGAGGATAGTGATGACTGCGATACTGATGTCCACGTTCTCATCTGTCAGTGCCGAGTCAGCCGTTTCGTGTCAGCGATCCGTAAAACGCAAGCAACGCACGAGATAGCAAGTCCACGAGCGTCGAGATGATACCGAGCTTGATCAGCTCAGGGTAGAAGGAGCCAGGGCTCTGAGTAAGCAGCAGGAGAGCGTGTAGCGCTGTGTCAAGCGCGATCTCTGACTCGACGAATCTGCAGTACAGATGAGCCGGCCAAGTCAGTGCAGTCAACGAATGACTTGCTTGTGAGGATTGCCTGCAAATTTGGCGCGCATCTCGACATTCTTGGCCACTGCCTTCTCGAGTACGGAGACCATCTTGCGTAAGCCTTGTAGTGTCATTGCTGCCTCGCTGGGGTCTCTATCGTCGTCCATGATCTCGAGAATCTGCTTCTGTTCGCTCGTCAGACCTCCGCCGAAGAAGCGGCCATCTGAGTCCTCTTCGGTGAAGTAGTCTGCATCGTTGCCAGGCGCAAAATCATCCCTCTCTGCTTCGTCGTCTGAGCCATCCTGCACGGTCGCCGCTCGCATCTTTCCCTTGATGTCCCCAGACTTTCCGACAGCAACAGTAGAGGCAGTCGTGCTGCCGTTGGTCGTAGTCGTGCCATTCGGCCTTCGTGATGCATTGAAGCGCTCCAGTTCCTCTGCGAGTCTCATGTGAGCTTGCGCCCAAGTCGCATGGGCACGAGTTGCTTGCCTGCCGTCGGGGCACTCGAGACGAGCTTGCGCTTCAGGCCCGAAGCCGGCGCCGTCGGTATCTGCGCTCTCAGGAGTGAGCTGACACAATCAAGGCGGTGAGTGAGCCAGCCTGCCTTGAAGAGTGCATCTAGATCCATGTCGGCAGTCTGCAACAGCTGTAGCGACGTAGCGCTTCGAGGACGCGTCGAAGTCAATTCAACTGATAGACATACAGGCCACGCTACATGATTCCCAACGCTCAGCACTCGTGGCAGGACGAAGATGCAAGATTCTGCAAGGGAACTGCTCGATGTGCCACAAAAGTTCATCAAAGAGGGCACGCAGGTATGCGCCAGTCGACGACACGCTGTGCGATCGCTGAAAGGCACGTCGCCAGTTCATGAACAGGTGTACCAAGCCAGACCAAAAAGGTCGTCAACTGCTGTTCTAGAGCCAAGGTGCATGGCTCAAAGACGGACAACAGAGTATCTCATGATCTCAAGAGCCATCGGCGTCGGCTTTCTCATCATGGGCTTCATCGGTTTCTTCGTCAAGCTGGTGCGTGCCGGCAAGGCTGTGATCGTCACCACGTCAGAGCTCACCGACTTGGCCTGTCTGACAGATACACATCCCCATCAATTCCATATTGGTGTACGCGTGGAGTCTCTCCACAGCGACTGCTTACATACTCACCCTATGCGCCTTGACAGTGGAGGAGCATAGCTGGCCACGACGGCGTAGCAACGCGGCATTGTACCTCATTTCGCGCGCCCAACTGTACCGCCATGCATGTTCGTGTCGCTCGACAGCTTGGCTGGATGCTGCAATGCCCAACATCGCGTCTTGCAGGCATCTACGTCGAGCGTGCTGGCGTTTGACGTCGCCTCAGTTCGGCCAGCTCGCAAGATCGCTGCTTTACTCACATCGGCCTTGTCCGACTCGCAAGTAGCTTTCGGTCATACAGAGCTCCGACTTGATCAGGAACGATGCAGACGTTGCGCTCAACACGATGCAACATGAAAGCGGACTCCACGCTCTTCAGTCTTCAGCGACACCAAAGCCCACAGAACCGATGCAATGATCAACGTCCACAGAGACAATCGCTTCTCGAGCATCATCGTCGAAGCCGGTCATAGAGACAGACCGAGCGGCAAATCAGCGCCATCTGATCCGAATGTACCAAAGCTGATCGACTGATCACACTTACTACGCCGCCCAGGTCACTTGTCAAATCAAGCCGATCATCGTAGCACATGACACGAACGTTGGACCCTGTTGCCATCCCGTTCGCTCGCTCCTTGAGGATGCGACTGCAAAAATGCGCGAGAGAGTCGAGTCTCGAGACTGCACTCTTCATGAGCAAGTACTACATTGAGTCTGACGCCAGTTGACGTCCTTCCCATGAAATCTCACCCCTCCGCCTTGAGGTGTCTGGGTCGTCGTGACCGGCAAGACGGTGGGCTCACAGTTTGACGCCCCAGCCGGCGCGGTCTGCGAGGCGCGATCCCGTCCACGACTTGACGGCAAAGCCCTGTCGGGATGACGCAAGCTCGAGATCAACCGGTGACGATATCACCAGCCCACGCAGGAGAGCAACCAGCATGATCCGTGCAGAGCTATCTGGGTGCCGTGCACTCGCGCGAGCTCGACGATCGAACGCCAAGCCATTCGCCTATCGATACGCCCAACGGACGCTTAACACCGTCAGCACGCTCCAAGACTGGTCCGACAAGGCCGGAGAGACCCTCTTGACGTTGCATGAGCAGGCCGTCGACGACGCAAAGATATACACCGTCGAACTGAAGAATGAGCCAGACAATCGCTTGACCACTCAGCTCGTCACTGCTGTCCGTGCCTCTGCAGCCATGTCTACCCATCTCGTGTGGCTGAGCACGTTGATGGCACGCAGTATCTTGATGCGCTCGACGTTGTGGAGAAGCGCTGGCGATTAGACTGCCGCAACAGCGACAGAGAGCCTGCTGCAGGCCAAGCAGCATTGATCACCACCGGCTTGCGCAACAAGGACAGATTCTTCTCAAATGGTATAGCACTACTCCCAGAAGCAAACAGAGGCTCATGATGGTGCATCAGGGCTCGATTTCGGGGCTGCAATGGCGACGCCGGGCTTCTTCGCGAGCAGCTTCAACCCATTGCTATCGCGCGTGCTATCCTACCCTTTGCCGACGATTGCCGCCATACAGGGTCACGCATTCGCAGGCGGGCTCATCTTTGCCATTGCGCACGATTACAGAGTAGCCAAACATATCGAGGGCGCAGCGAAGGGCAAGATCATGCTGAGCACGAATGAAGTCGATTTCGGATTTGGCATCCCTCATGCTACCATGATGCTCCTCAAGGCCAAGCTGGCACCGCAAGCACTCCGTGATGCCGTCTTCACGGGCAGGCGCTTCGGTGCGGCAGAGGCACAAGCAGCGGGCTTGGTAGATCAGCTCGCCCCATCTGGTCAGGCTACGGTCGAGGCTGCAATCCGTCTGGCGGCCGCGCTCGCTGTCAAGGCGCCAAAGCAAGCCATCGGTGTCATGAAGCAAACAGTGTACCGCACAGAACTAGACCTGCTCATGACAGAGACAGAAGATCCTCCGGCCACGCCAGCGCTTGATATTCAGGCTGCCCTGGCGCGCCTTGGCTCCTCATAGAAACCTCATCACTTATTAGTCGAAACACGATGCATCCGACATCATCTGAGCCACGGTCGACAATCTATCTTGAGCTGAAGTAGTCGAGCAGGACATTGAGTGCCTCTGCAGATTTGAAGTCAGTCCTGACGGTATCACAGGCGGCAGAATGACTGACCTGACTCTTCGCCATAGTTGGTGACGACTGCGCAGGAGCAAGCAACGACCTTGCGTGCATTGCCCTCGCGATCAATCTTGCAGAGACCGCACCATTCGCCCAACAGCTTCGAGTCTGCTACCTTGATCAGGTTGACTTCAGGGCAAAGTCAGCACGGGAGAACGGTCAGGTAGTGCGGCGTCGGCGTACTCTTGTGCTCGGCGCAGAGGGCCTCGACGAGCTTGATGTAGGCAGACTCCGTGCAGCCCTCGTTGAGGACGCAAAGATGAGCTTGACGCTTGTCGAGCGCCTTTGCTGCCTCTCTCAGTCCACGAGCGAGACCGTCGTGAATCTGATGACCCATCAGGACATCGATCAAGCATACGAGATAGTTCAGCAACGCACGAGAGCCTTCTTGAGAACCTCTTGAAGGGCTTCTTCGACGGTCATCTTGCCCTTGGGCGCAGGTGCCGACGTCTCCGTGACCTCGACGGTGGGTGCCTCTGGGGCTGCATCGACCTCTACGTCCGACATCTTTCTATGCTAGAACGTCCTCGAGGCTGCGATACTTTGTAAGCCTATTTTTCGTTCGTCTGGCCGGTCTCGCAGCGAGCAACGCGCCAAGATTTCTCCAGTGGCTGCGCTGACAATATTTGAATATGTCTTGAATGACGAGGCCGGCGTGCGCCTGCGAGATCAACGTTGACCGCTGGCTTGCTCCATGTCGTCTCCACCCGATTACCATGCGCCTCATGCCAGTACCAGCAGAGCAGTCGACGCCGGCGTGTCTCTGGCCTCACATGTACCAGCCACAAGCTCATCGCGCAGTACCTTGGGCCATCATCCTCTTGCAGCACTCGGCTGGCCTCAAGGGCCTTTCCTCATAAGAAACCAATCAAACAGAGCTGTACTCGATTGCAGAGGAGGAAAGATCGAAGAAGGCACAGAATTGATCCTCTGGCCGAGCAAGGAAGTCTATGTCGCTCGGTCTGGCACCGTGCAAGGCGGCAAAGCAGGCGAGCTTGGCCAAACACGCTTGCAAGTCAAAGGCAAGGGGGTCAACCAAGTCATGGCGCTGGACTACTCGGGCTGTATCGTCCCTGTTGCGGACAACGGCCGTGGCTTACACCTCGACGTGACCGCCGTCAATGAATCGCCCAGATTGATGGCAACTCCCCTCATCAGCTCGAAAGCTAATCACGCTAGGCATGCACCGCCAACATTTGAGTACAGTCATCAGCACAAGATCATCTTTGTCAGGCTTCGTCACAATCCGCTAGAAGAGGAGGACGACGGCTGGAGCGAACTGGAGTACATCCTCGAGAGCGTGCCTATGGCGCCAAGCCAAGTCGAACGAGATCGTAGCATGGGCGTAGAGTCTCCTCTAGCATCGCTGTCTGGCTGGCTAAGTCAGACGGTGCTGGGTACTCAAACCGCATCTCAATTGAAGCCAAAGGAGGAAGAGGAGGATGCGAGTGAGCTCCAGACGATGGGGCGCGCCCAGCCGCATGCTGGCGTCGATGGTGTCCTCTTTGACATGGTCTCTGAGAGCGAGAGCGACGACGACGATAGCTCGCCGAGCGTGATGCGACTCGTCAGATTGGCAGCAATTCCCCCTGGCTGGCAGAGCGAGCTTCAGAGTACCCTGAAAGAGGCCCCGGCTGCAACAAGCAAGGAGGAGCGATTGCGAACTGCACAGATCAAGCGCAAATGGCTACGCAGGCAGTGGGACATCCTGCCCATCGATGTACCTGTTAGTGCGCCTAGCACAGATTATCCCGGTGCTCGATACAGACACGCCCAGACTCATGGCGGCATGTCAGAGAGCGTAGACGCTTCCATTGATGCACTCTTCGACGCGCTCGGTTCGTCCAGATCTCGCTGAGAATGCATGACTGGCTTGTACAACGTCATAGCTTTGCTTGACCGGCAAGTGTTGTATCGTTAGCTCGTAGTACTGCAAGCTCATCATGTTGCCACTGTTCAGCAACCCAATTCATCAGCCTCTATTGCAAGACGGCGAAGCTGACTTGCCTGAGGAATGAAGAAATCGAGTATGAGCTCGTCATCTGGCACTTGGGCATACTTGCGGAAGTCGCGCGTCGTATAGCCGTGCTCCTTGCGTAGGTACACTTCGTCAATCTCGAACCGGCTGGTGAACTTCTCAGCTGGCTTCTGTAGCATGGAAATGGCGGCGTCGGCCATGATCTCCGGCGTCCGACTGATCTCGCGACTTTTTGCTCCTGCGATGAAACGCATAGCTTCTGTCGAGATGCTTGTATATGGCCACAAGCCTGTGTAAGGGTCAGTTGCAGCCTGGCGAAAGGGACAAAGACTGACAGTTCGACGCAATGCCATACTGCTCGAGCTCGCCAGACAAGCCGAGTGCAGCGAGTGACATGCCGTACTTTGCCATTGCATATGCTGTCCTGCCAGCGAACTCTTCCTTGGTAATATTGTCTCTGAGCTGAGGCGACAGCGTCAGGATGTGTGGGTTTCTCCCCTGCTTTGCCGATTTGATGAGATAGGGTAAAGCCGCCTGCTCTGCCGGTCAGGCCGGTACAGGGTCTCCTCAACAAGCAGCATACTTTCGAGACGAGCCACGTCCCGCGAGCGTCGACGCCATGGACGAGATCAAAGACTGCCAGACAGGTTCAGTGACGGAGACTTTCCGTGGGCGCGCACGAGGGTACCTTTGGGGGTGGTCTCGAGCGTGCTGGTGAGTGAGATGGCGGATGCATTGTTGATGACAATGTCGAGGCTTCCGAATGTATCTACCGTCTTGTTGATGGCTGCCTCGACCGCCTGAGCATCCCTGATGTCCATCTGAACCGCTAGGGCTCTGCCGCCTGCTTCCTCGATGGCAGCAGCAGCAGTATAGATCGTTCCGGGCAGCTTCGGGTTGGTGGACGCTCTGTCATGCGCATGTGAGCACTGTCAATGCCGATTGGTGTGGACGCAGGCGTACGTCTTGGCAGCGATGACGACATTGGCACCATGCTGACCGAGTGCGATGCCGATGGCCAGACCGATACCTCGTGAGCCTCCAGAGCTGTAGGCGTCATCAGTGACTGCAGTTATGGGGTCAGAGCGTCTCACATAAAGGCAGTCTTGCCCTTGAGCGATGTCATTTCAAGCCAAAGAGACGACGCGCGATCACACACGCGAATACACGAGATGCATGACATGTCAGGGGTCTCACAGCCTCGCTAGCATCTGTCCGGCCCCAATAGCGATGCCAGTAGCGATCGCCATGGCTATGGCCAGCATCGTCGGGATCCTCGAGAACCCCGAAAACGCGTACGAGCAAGACGGACAAGACCAGCCTATGCAACGGATTAGCTCAGCCTGTCTTAGTGGCGTCGAACCTACTGCTGAGCGGCGTGTAGCTCTGGGGAAAGTAGAGCGCGAATTTGGTGCCCGAGTAGGGACTCATCCTGCCCGGTGCGGCAGTCTGGTAGAATCCCCTCTCGTCAAAGATCCGGAGCGTGTAGCTTGCTTGTGCGAGTGGTGTGGCACCTGCAGCGACTTGGTAGTCATAGGGATTCCAGATGTACTGGGTCGCTGCGCCAGGGATGCCGTTGGTAGGCCCGACGGGATAGGTAAACCCGTTCTGAGAGCAAAAGGCCTGAAGGGTCAGCGAGGTCGGCGCGACGACGACAGAGGTGAGTGTCCAGCCAAACGTGATGTCTGCAGAGGGCATGACACGATAGTATGATGCTGCAGCAGTGATGGCAGGCTGGGTGATCGACAGACCTCCCGCTGGCAGGGAATTGGGCACGCTGATGCTCGTGACGCCGTTGTGGACGATCGTCGACACTTGTCGCCGCTCTGGCATCATCTTTCTCTCCACTGTCGGCACAGGTGCAGGTGTGATGAGGGGCTGCACTGATGCTCTGCACCTTGGCGCTAAGAGCAGCACCACTGCCAACTTCAGCAGCCCTGAGCGGTGAGGCCTCCTTGGGACGATCATTCTCGCGCGTAGCCTAGCTGGTCGCCTGCTTCGGTATGAGGTCTTACGCTGATCTGCACGTCGATCGCCTGCTCAAGAGGCTCGCTTCAGGCCAGACTATCAGGCATGATATCGACGTCTTGGACACAGACGCGCCGAGGGAGGTCTGTGCGCTGGGCGTGATGAGGGCATGATCGACGATCGAGTGGCTCGTGGAGCTGTGGAGGGGCTGAATTGCATGATGGGCTGCAACGACGACGGCTGCCCTTTTTGTCGGATGAGCAATCGATGACGATGCCGTGTCGACGTGTCGCAGTTTGCACGTCGAGCGTCGTCGAGAGCGAAAGCTCGAGAGCATCAGCATCCCTCTTGGCCCCCTCTGTCGGTCGACGACAGTCAGATCTCTCTTCAAGCAAGCTATGGTCGTCCGCTAGACATCTCTCTCCGACCTCCGTGTCCCCGACATGTACGTCCGCGTAAAAACGTGATGACAACCGAGGAGGGTCTGAGACGCTCCTCGGCGAGGCTCCTCTCAAGATGCATCGCCCATCTCCATCCCTTCTAGGTCAGCGTTGGGATCACACGAACACGCTGCGATGGATCAGGCCAGATGGACACGCCTGTCCGTGATCGAAGAGCGTGACAGCGAACAGCAGCACATGCAGTCACTTCCTTCCACTCCGACGACTGAGATCGAATTTGGAGTGGCCGTGACGGGCTCGGAGCAGTATCACGACACTGAGCAAGGCAGACTCTCCAAAGACGATGTCCAAGTCAACGACGCCGACGTGAGAGACCGTCATTTCGATGGCAACAGTGACACGAGTCATCTCTCATGCCTTGGTGATCTCGACGCAACCGCTTACTCCACCTTTCTCTCGAGCAAGCTGGGAGATCGCAACGCCTACGACTCGACTCTCTCCTACTACGGTCCAACAAACGGCTCCCTCTCGTCTGCCGACAACTCACCTAGCGGCTCGCTCGCTTCGACGAGCTCTCGCAATTCTGTCGCTATGGAGCCCGGCACGCCTCGATTGGCCTCTCCAGCGATCTTCGATGATCAGTCGAGCTTCTCCTCGTCCTCTGCAGATCAATACTACGGTCGGATCAGAGCAGTCGAGCCCGCCTATCTCTCGCCCCCTGCCGAGCGCACCGGCCTCCGACGTCCGTCACCTGATCAGCGAGGCCGTCATGTCCAACAGGGCTCCGTCGCCCCTGCTGGTCTGCCGTCATCTCTGCCCAGACAGCAGCAGAACTACCTCGTCACTCGAGGCCAGGAAGAGTACCACCGCAACAATCCTACAAGACGCGAGGGCGAAGCACCTCGGCCTGCCTTTATGCTCGAAGACGAACGTCTCAGGAGACCGTTCGATCCTGCTGCACAGGCGGCCAAGGACTCCGCGCTTGCTATGCGGCCCGACAGGCTCGAGTTTGTCAGTCTCCGACGCTCGTTGTGCGCGCCGACTGACGCGCTCCTCCTTGAAAGGAACCAGGGCTACAAGCTCTATCCGGACAGCTCTCGCCAGGTCATCCGCCAAGAGCTTCAGCTCATTCATCCCCCCGAGGCTCTCTGACCGCTCACTCCCGCGAGGATCTCGTCCGTCATGAGACCGCCGCCCAGACGAGCGAATATACATTCTCCCATCGTGTCGCACTTTCGACGAAGATCGGCAAGAGCATGGGCAAGGGTATGCTCCCCGGCTCCGCGTCTCGCAAAGAGCAATGCCTGAGTATGCTACAAACAGCGTTCAAGAAATCTGAGCGGAAGCTTCTGACCCACACGACAACCCAAGCAATCGAGAAGCCTCAATCAAGCCTATGGTACGACGGGCCGGAGAGCGATGACGACATGCAGTCAGTCGCCGCTGTTCACGCTCGTCGCGGTCACTGACAATGAGCTGTAGCGATCCTGGTGAGATGCCGCCTCCGTTCGGGTGGGAGAGACGCATCGCAGAAGGTCCCGGCTTTGGCAAGAGGTCATACCTCTCGTGGCGCGGCTTGCAGAATTGGCTGGGCCTCTTTGCCATCGCGGCCTGGCTGGTCACATTGTTCTTGGGCATGCCTCTCTATCTGGGCTTGACGGGCAAGCTATGAGATCTAGTGAGTTGCGCCAGAATACAATGCAACAACAATGCTTGAGATCATACCGGCACTTGCCCTGCGTCACGACCAGCCACGCCGCCGAGCAGGCGTTGACCGACGGCTGATTTGAGGAGCTCGTTGGCCTTGAAGCTGCTGCGCACGAGGGGCCCGCTCGCGACATAGAGGAAGCCCATGTCCTGTGCGACCTTTGCCCAGTGATCAAACTTGTCGGGCGAGACGTAGGAATGTACGGCCATATGCCGCTTCGTGGGCCGCATGTACTGCCCAAAAGTGACCACGTCGACGTTGACCTTTCGTAGCTCTGCGCGGAGAAAGGTCAGCTCGACGTCTTCGACAGCAGCTTTTTGACTTGCCTTGTAGCGTCGCTTCCACCTGCCAGTCTTGCTCGCCGAGGCCGAGCATGAGACTCGTCTTGGTGATCAGACCTGGCTTGGCTTTCTTGGCCCAGTCCAAGACCTGCAGGGATTGTCTGAACTTGGCCCGGCGGTCTCGAACGAAGGGCGTCAGTTCTTCGACGGTCTCCATGTTGTGTGCATAAACGTCGAGACCCGATCTGGCAACACGTGCGACACCTGCTTGGTCGCCTGCAAAATCGCCCGTGAGAGCCTCGATGAGGATATTGGGAGATTTCGACTTGACTTTTTCGATCGTCTCTGCAAAGTGAGCAGCGCCGCCGTCGGGCAGATCATCTCTGTCGACGCTGGTCATGACGATATAGCCAACGCCCCATTTCGCGATCGCTTCGGCTGTGTGCTCTGGCTCGTGAGGATCGAGCGGGGGAGGTGCTTTCGAGGTCTTGACAGCACAGAAGCGACATCCGCGCGTGCAGGTGTCACCCATGAGCTATTGCTGACATGTGAGCAGTCTCAGTGATCAAGCGAGAGCTGGACGCACCATGATGGTGGCGGTAGCCTGCTCCTTGTCACCGCCCCAGCACTGGCCAATGTTGGGACATCTCGCCTCCTCACAGACTGTATGCAAGCCTAAACCTCTGAGATCCTTCTTGATCTTGTTGTACGACGCTGAAGTTGGTATGGAGGTCTTGAGATGGTCCGGCAGGCGCTCTCTGCGCTCTCATCTGAGCAAAATCGCAGACATACGCAGGGGATTGGCCCACCTTGAGGTGTTGCCGAACTGTAGTCTCTCTGGCTTGCTGGTCGCTTCATGCTGACCACTGATGAACTCGTCTAGCGATGGTCCCGTCTCGAGCCGGTCTTTGAAGGCCGAGAGGGGTCGCTGGTGGTGGGTCATGCTGGAAATTGCTCTTGATGACCGCACTGTGGCAATCGATGACCGTGCCGAGCCGGCAGGCTGCGCATTCCTCCTGCCAGCTCGTGGCAAGAGACTCGACTGAACTGCGTCTGCCCCTGCTCGCAACATGTTCGCTGCTTCGGCGCTCTTGCCTACCTGCGCCGATGAACGTTGATCAGCCCGTCGGCCTCAAAAAGCGTGACAGCTCGACAGCACAGCGCGCGTCACGCCAGTGCGAGTGCCTCGTCGTCAAGCTTCAAGCGTCGGCGTCCAGACAGCGATGCGATACCTCAGCGAGTAGCGATGCTCAGCGTCAGCACTCGTGACTGCACACCATGCCTATTTCAAACGCGGAGCAAGCTTGTCAGTCATCCTACAGAGATGCTCCCAGAGTGCACGCTCAATCCTGTTCTCGATCCTTTCCTGCGCAGACGAGCTAGCGGAAACAGGTACCATGGACGATGGTCAGACAGAGGCTCAGCAGTCCCTCCTCCCACCTGGTCCATCCAGCTCGAGGCCCTACGATGACTTGCTCGACCCGACCGAGCGATCACGAGTTCCCGCGTTGACCGTTGGCACGATCTTCATCGTCTTGACCGTCATCATGCTCTTCCTCAACCGAGCAGTCTTTGACCCCGAAGCGCTCGACTACCCCTACCCGTTCCTCATGAGCTCCCTAGCGTCACTCTTTGCCCTCGCCATTCTCGCATGCATCGGTCGAGTCACGCGACTGCTCGAGGGCCTACCAGCGCTGCAGGTGCGCTCCTCGGCGTTCATGCTGGCCTGGCCTATACCAACGAACGAGCGCACAGCTCGGATGGTCTCATTTTGTACAGCTTTCGGCGCCAATCGGCATCTTTCATGCTCTAGGCATCGCCCTTGCCAGCATCGCATTTGCACACATTGCGCCTGCAACAGTCCAAATGCTAACCGCATTCGTACCCCTCCTCGTCCTCGTTCTGACCAGTAACCTCGGTCTGCGCAACATCTCGCGCCCAACGATCATCCTCGTCATTGCAACATGCGGCTTCGTTGGCCTCGCCAATCTACAGCGCGGCGGCCCCTTGTAGGTCCACTCAGCATCTGTGATCCTGACGTGCGTGCTCAAGAGAACGCTCTAGTAACATCTGGGCAATGTTTGCGCTCGTCGGATTCGTGCTCTCGAGCGCAGGCAAACTCGTCGCCGTCGAGCAGTGCTTGTCAGTTGTATACAATCCGGTGATAGCGTGAGTCTCAGTATCTCCTCACGTGCTTAAGCTGATCACTGCCGCAGTATGTATGTTGCGCTGCCAGTAAGTCAGGGAATGTCCCCGCCTTAGGCCTGCCTGATCTTGTCCACAGTCAACGCTAGTGGCGACACTGTTCTTTGTGCCATTGCTCGAGGGGCGGGCCGCCTTTGCAGCGTTCTGGTCGCACATCGGTCTCTTTGTACTGATACCCTACGTAACTCTGGCTGCCCTGCACATCGTCTCGCTTTTCTTCATGGTGGCTTGGACGAGCGCACTCAGCACCGCCCTCTGTGCACTGGCTGTGGAGATGATCGTTATGCTCTTTGGCGGTCTTTCGGGCGCGCAAAGCAGTGGCATCCGAATACTGGGCTACTTTGGCGCCAGCTTCGGGCTTGCCGCGTATCTGGCCAGTCGAGTACGTCAACTTTCTTATCTGGTATTCTCAGAAGTCTCATGCCCCGCTACAGGGAAAAGTGGAAGAACTCCGCGATGTTGTACTACGCAAGAGAGATTCTCGGTAAAGTCTCATCATTGCACGTCTGTGTGCATGACCGCAAGGCTGTAGGTGCTCGGCCTTTGGCATCAGCTTCGAATGCCGGAAGCCGTGGACTCAGCAGGACAGTTGATTCGCCGCCAGATCTTGCAAGCTCTCGTCATACAGGACACTACAAGACAGATCAAGAGAACAACAACCTGAAAGCCGAGTCCATACATGGCCGCCAATTCAGAGGTCCTGTCTGGAAACGTTCGCCGCGTCGATGACCTTAGCTTGTCACCTCTGGCAGTCAAGGATCGGCACGCATACTGCGCGAAAACCTTTTTGAATGGGCGCCCGATCGAACCGACGAGTGCGGACTTGCCGGCCGACGGGCTTAAGTCTGATGTTCGACATTCCTTGCATCTGGGGTCCTCGTGGTCATGCTGAGTATCGAACTCTTTGTAGATGTAAGCATTGTCGCGCACAAGCGTGCGAGGCTTGTGTGGTTGGTACATTGCAACGCCATTGCCGGCGCCGATCTTGCGGGCCATCTAAGCAAAGCACGTCAGATCTACGGCGGCTCATATCGACACTATAAGCTGCAGCACCTAGCCCGATCTGCTCACATACGGCTCAGTGTCGGAATCACGCACAATGTCGGCCATGTCTTGATTCGAAGCTGTCGTGGGGTGGAGGCCTGCATGTTTGGGTGCTCTCGTCGTGTAGGGCTCAGTGGCCATCTCATGCCATTGTATTTGTCTCAAAAGTGAGCCGAGAAGAAGCGTCGCTTTGCTGGATTCGAATGCCGTGGCAGGAAGTTGTCTAGTAGTCACCTTTAGAACGCGTCAATTCGATTGGCCCAAAACGAGAATGATCGACGCTTAAGCTTCTGAGCGTAGTCTAGCCCGTCATCGGAGGTGCTCCTGGTCGACAGACGTAGCTTCAGCAGGCCTGCTTGTACTTTTGGTGCGGTTGCACCACATGCGTGCAGCTGGCAAACGACAGTTTCACCGGATCTGTTCGTCTGCTCACAAGGAGACTGAAGCTCGCTCGGGACGGCTGACTGATGATGTTGCACTTTATACAATGCTCTCGAGTTCTCTGGCGTATGCGAGATGTGTCTCTATCAAGCGCTGTTTGGGCAAGTCCTCGGATGCGTCCGACGCGATGCCTTTTGCGGAATCGGCGAATCGGACGCATTGCGATGCTTGGTCGACTGACCAACCGGGACGCTGTCGAGCAGTGCATGAGCGCTGCACACTCGACGTAAATGGAGCTTACCTGTTTGATGAAATCTGACAGCTCTTCTGCGTCGCTGAAGAAGAGCAGGGTAGCAGCGTCGCGCAGGGGTAACACAGAATAGGCCTTTTCGCCGCAAGATGCAATCTCGTTCCTATGCATCTCTGAGTTCAGCTGAGCTTCGTGTGGGAGCAAGAGTCGTACCTGATTGTGCCCATGAGCTGATCGAGGAAGAACTGTGCTTCTGGGAGCGGTGGCGAGTTGCGCGCGAGCCATACTTTGCTGCAATGCCTTCATGTCAGCGCAGCAGCTGAGTGCCCGTGGAAAGACTAGCCTGTAGGAGCCTTCCATGAGCCATCTCTCGAGCTCGATGGGAAAGCGGACGTTGGGCTCGTCGAGCAGGCTGCTCGCGTTGGGGGATTTAGCCATGGAGCGTTTGGTACCTGCTGCCTTTATTAGCCCGTTGCATCGTCGCACAGACAGCAATGTGTACTCTCTGCGCCCGAGAGCGTCTCGAGAACCGTGTGGAAGCGGCCGATCTCATTCTTTGCGAGGAGTTGAAGCAGGCTGAGACCGATGAGCGCGCTTCGCCAAGAGGATGGCGGTTGAAGATCTCTATTTGGGATAGTGTGAGCTCCCGAGAGCTCAGCATCGATGCAGTGACTGACCTATGGGTGGTCCAATAAGGTGACAGCTGTGCCATGAAGCGCTCGAAAGATGGGACGTCGTGTGACCGAATCGAGTAGAGGGCAGAATACTCGAGAATATTGCCTGCTAGCCAACTGAGCACTGACACAGAAGCCACGCAGATTCATGCGCACGACCATGCAGGATGTCTGCTTGGGAGGGCGCCCGTGAGCTCAGGCCGAGCGTGAGGAGACCAGAGGTGGCCATCGCGATCTGCCCGATCCAATGAGCGTGAAGAGGGGCCAGGCAGAGGGGGCACACCTTGCCATCTCTTATTGCTGATTTGGCCTGTGTTGACTGGTGTGGCGGTAGCGCAGCGCCGGCAGAAGTAGCATGGACGAGTTGTGCTAATTGGGTGTCTATCTCGGCCAGAGACTTGCTTGGAGTCGACATGACGAGCCGATTGTATGCTCCGTTGCGGGCGTGCCACCTCTTGACGCCGCTCGCACGTTGTATGGCTGCCTTTGAGCCAGGATTGAGCGTCAAGCGGGTCGGTGACGCGTCCACGTCGCACACGTCCGGCAGCAGCGAGCCAATCTCAACTTTGCCGGCACTCTCAGCGGCTGAGTCGACATGCAGGCACCTGACTTTGCGCACCTCAAGCGGGCAAGTCGGTCTTGTGGGCGAGTACACCAGAAAGGCTGACTTAGGCCCAACAGGGTGAAGTCAATCTGGGCACATCCATCATGGCCGTCGCTTTCGAAGGAGGTGTCGTCATTGGCGCCGATTCGCGCACTACGACGGGCTCCTACATCGTTCGTTCTGCCCTGCATGGTCGCCGTTGATCAGCCTGATGCAGCATGCAGGCCAATCGCGTGACAGACAAGCTGACGCACATCCACGATCGCATCTATTGCTGTCGCTCTGGCTCGGCTGCAGACACCCAGGCAGTAGCGGATATCGTCCACTACCATCTCCAGATGCATACGTGAGTTGACCAAGGCTCTGCGTAACTGACTTGTGCTCAGACATCGCGAGATAGCATGCAGCATGGCAATCAACCTCCCTCTGTCCATACCGCCGCTACACTCTTCCAGTCGCTCTGCTACGGCAACAAGGATCAGTGCGTAGTGAAGCAGGAGTGCCTGCTCATCCGTTGACGTGCTGCCTCTGCCTGGCTGCAGGTTGAGTGCTGGCATCATCGTCGCTGGCTGGGACAAGATCGACGGCGCCTCAGTCTACAACATCCCTCTCGGAGGCGGCCTCTTCAAAGCTCCATGGGCGATAGGCGGCAAGTACACGGCATCAGGTGCATCCTCACATATTCATGCTGTCGCACAGGGAGTGGCTCGACATACATCTACGGCTTCTGCGACTCGAATTATCGGCCAGGTTGGTCGAAGCAACAGACGGTCGATTTTGTCAGAAACGGTGAGTGTCGTTGATCGTCTAGGGTAGCGCGAGCTCAAGCAGCGAATCGCAGCGCTCGCATTGGCCATGTCAAGGGATGGTTCCTCAGGAGGCACGATCAGAATGGCCATCATCGAAGAATCTGGCGTCGAGCGTCTGTTTGTGCCTGGCAATGAGCTACCACTGTTCGGCCCAGCGTTATGGGCGAACGAGCAGGCAGGAAAGAGCATGGAGATTGCGGCATAGCACCATTGCATTGTACTCTGCAGCCCTTAGCTGTTGCTTGCCGGTACAACCAGATCGAAGCGTGCTTTCTCGATACCGAACCCGTCGCCGCTCTGCCATCCCTCGCCTTCCCAGAGTCTGCATCGCCAGAGTGCAACAAGAAGCGGCACTAGCTCTGTCTGGTGGCTTGCTAATGCGTAGACCGAGGTCAGCCTATGGCTCGGCTTGCGAGACAAAACATTGCGACTGATCAGCCCTTCTTCGATCGCTGCAAGTCGCCGTGAGATCGTGCGTTGTACCGACTGAGCCTCTGAATTGAACACGTCCGCGCCGGGTGAACCTGCAAAACGCTCGGTGAAGAGGCCACCAAGGTCATAAATGGGCAGGCGCCTTCTAGGTAGCTCTGTGGCAGCACGCGTGGGCCGCAAGCTCGAGTAAGCATCGGCATCCATGTGTGCGCCAAAATGGGTCCGCAGATCGGACGAGTCCAGCGAGATCAGAGCGGCCATGTCGTCTGGCGATTCCTGCGGGAGCCTGGTTGCGATGTGACCGGCTTCAGCCTGCGACAGTCGACGTAGTAGCCATGCCGGCCGCTGTGTTGCCTTGTGAGGTGAAGCGCGGTGTCGTCGCCAAAGCTGAGTGAGCTCTTGTTCGACACGCACACGCAGCTCGTGGGTCAGCCTGAGCGGCAGCGTGCTCGTCAATTCGGCGCCGTACGACAGTCGTTTTGCCTCTTGTGCTGCAAGTGCTGATTCAGCAGGTGCGTGCTTGACTGGTATGACGAGGCGCTACTTACGACGAGCCAGGACTGCGTTGAGGAATGGGCGCGAGCAGAGGATGTAGCTGCTCGGTCCCAGGTGTCCTGGGTCATAGTACGGATGGCCTAGCTTATTGGGTACGATATGGAGCTTGGGTGGCCTGTTGTCGATGGGGCTGGTCGACGCCAAGGAGTCAGGCGCCTTGGCGACGGACAGAGAGATGAGCATGTCTGTCAGAAAGCCGTGTGAGCCGGCATGCAGGCGCTGTGCGGGCTGCCTACCTCTAGGCATGATGCGCAAGCTGATCTTGCATCTTCTGAGCGGCGAGCTGAGCATGGCCACTGTCCAACCGCTGAGCTCGGTCCGGCCTGTAGCATGTCAGAGCGCACGATACGGGTCTGTGGCCCAAACGGGCTCCTTCATGACCACACAGTTCGTGGACAGCATGCGTTTGGCCGTCTGGCTTGCTTGTAGCCATCTGGTGCAGTACATTCATCTGCGCGCCGTCTCCAGTGACGCACACGATTGCACGAAGCGAGCGAGGAGACCTCAAAGACGCGCTCGCGGTGAACGTGACGCGCAGAGGGCCATGGCATGCAATGGAGGCTCGATAAGTTAGCTCGATGCAAACTCGAATCGGGGTCGGCCCTTGATTCCATATGCGCCGAGATCGATCGCAAAGAGATTGCCAGACTCTGTATACTTTGCGAGGTTCTCGGGCGTATCGTCTTTGCTTTCCTCTAGCGACGCTGTGGTCACGTACAGGGTCGCCATGTCTTTGCCTGAATGTCTGCGTCAGGTCTTTGCCACCATCTCTCTATAGTACTGCGCACCTCCGAAGACACAGGCGGTGATATTGAGCGCCGTCGGAAAGTCGATACGGAGCACGGCATCGCCTGATGGATTGAAGCGCTCTATTGCTGCGCCGCCGAATCTGCACACTCTTTAGCTTCAGTCTCTATGAGAGTACTTGGTCTGGCGCACTTTGCTGACCATAGGTGATCGTCGACGTCCACTGTCGGTTAGATTGCCATATGAGTGATACTCTGTTCGACTGTCATCGGATTGGTATGCTCACTGCAACAGCCGTCGGGCATCCCTGGGCCAGACGGCTCTACCCAGAGCCGCTCGTTCGTGAAATCGCCAGTGTCGAGGTCGTAGTCGAACGCGAGGATCCGGTTAGTCTCCGTGTCGGTGAGGTAGCTGCATGATGCATGATCATCAGAGACTGCATGGCGAGCAATCGTAACGGGCAAGTACAGGGTTCTGTTGTCGGAAGTGAAGCCCATACCGTTGGGGATGGTCAGGTCAGTCTTGACTTGTTTCGGCCCGGCATCGCTGTGAAGCTCCTCTTGAGTCACTTTGAACAGAGAGCCAGGCTTGGTCTCCGGCCTCGAGTCCCTGCCTCTGATCATCTTGCTGCCCGCAAAGAATCGTCCGCGTGCATCGCTGATCAACACGTGAGCCGTCGATAGCTCCATCCGCGAGCAACAACCTACCAGATTCCGTCGTTGAACATCCTGTGCGGCTCGAGGTCGGTCGAGAAAGCGCGAGATAGGTAGGTGATAGGAGCGGGCTTCTCTGCGCTCGAGCTAGCAAGGCGTGCGGGTATGTAGGCGAATCCACGAAGTGCTGCGCATAGGAACTGCAAGCTGGTCCAGCTCGCATCTGCGCTTCAAGGCTGGCTGACACGGCAAAGCGCGTACGCCTGGATGGTCGTGTCGGAGCACGATCACTCTGTCCGTCGGCGGGGGCGGGATGTAAGACTAGATGGCTCCAGACGGTAGAGAGGAGAGCGACACACGTCACTGGATGTCTGTAGTAATCGGTCTCGCACTGTAAGCCGTCCAGCTCGAGATGATGGACCGTGTTCTTGCCGATGTCGACGAAATGGAGTGTATTGGTGCGAGCCTCGTAGAGTGGTCCTTCGCCGAGCGTGCATCTCGAGCGGAAGAGAGGCTCGCTCGGTGCTGTGATGGTGTGCATATCGAGATGCTCGCTTGCCGGGCAGGCCAGCTAGCCAGGCGCCGAGCTGGGCGCGAGTCTTTGTGTCAGCGACAGTCGGCCATGGTCAGAGGCTCTGTAGGCCCGACAGAGGCTTCCTGAGAGGTCCTGTGACCCGCATGACACTCCGAGGATGTCATACTTTGCTCAGTACCCTCACAGACGGTCTGCCAACATCGACGACCTGAACTCTCAGCAACATGGCTCGCCTGGCCCAAGCACACAACAGCATTGGATCGCCCAGAGTACAGCAGGCAGCGAGGCCTTGTCAGGTGAGCCAGTCGTCCTCGCTCCCGTCAGACGACGGCGCAGCACGAGACCGCGGACGCACTCGCCTGGCGTTGCCAATGGCGATCCCACGCCAGAGTCTGAGCATCAGCAGGGCGACTCTCCGAGCCCGGAACCCGGCTACATCAGCCTGACACAAGCTCAGCTAGATCAGATACACGCCAGCAGGCGGTCCAGCGCAAGTCAAACTGCCAGGACAGCCCTAGCACGCAAGAATAGCGCCATCTCGTCGTCTGCCACGCCAAGCACGAGCTCGCCTTTCACCTCGTCTCAAGCGCCGACGCCCGCTCTATCGGTTTCGCAGTTGTCGACGACCTCTGCGCGCAACAGGTCACCCCAGCTCGCCAATGGTCAGCTCAATTCAGATCTCAATCGGCTCGCCCTCGCCGGACAGCCTCAGTTTGGCAAACGCACACGACAGCTCTCACCTTCGGCTAGCAAAGCGAGTGGCCAAGACGAGCCTGTCGTTTCTGCCTACACGCAGAATGACGAGCTGGCCAGCGAGTTCGTCAAGCTCACTGCATCCATGGACATGCCCTCGAACAACGTAGAGGTGCGCGCCAACCACACACAGCAAGCGAGGCGCTGATCCAAGCCTGCAGAAACGTAATCCAGGCTTAGGCTTCGTCAACCCAACCCAGACCCCATCTCCCGATCTGCTATCGCCTCGCACAGAATCACGCTCGCCTCGGGCTGCAGGCTCTGCCGCTAGCTCGCCTGCCAGCATGACTGCACCCAACTTGTCTTCAGCACGGGTCCTACCTCAACGCCCCGCCATCTCGCCCCGACTATCCTCTGCGGCTCGCATGAACAGGAAAGGAACAGGTGCCCTTTCACCTGCCAGTTCTCCGGAGAAATCGCCCTCCGCAACGCGGTCACCCTCACCGCCCCCCGCGACCGCACACGCGCCGATCACTGCACCCAGCGCACCGTCGCCAGAGCCGGTCCCTGTCACCAACCAGATCGCAAGCCGTGCCCGTTCGCTGTCTATCCTCGCAGTCTCGCCTCGTCGATCAGCCGAAGTGATCTCACCGTTCAGTGACACGTCCTCGACCGAGCATATGAGCTTCTGTACAGCTGCGGAGTCCAGTGCCAGCGGGACAGCTATACCTAGCATCACAGACATCATCAATCGCCATAAAGCTGCTCTGCTGGACAGCAACGGAAAAGCGCAAAAAGCCTTGCCATTATTGCAGCACTTCCCAAGCAGCACTAACACTCAGCTAGGCTCGGACTCGGCCACTAGCCTCAACGACCACGGGGATACCGTGCCAGACATACTGTGTGCGCTCGACAGCGACCCCTCAAGCAAGGCGAAGGAAGAAGTCGCCCGATTCATTCGATCGTCGCGCCTGACCCGATTGCTTCAGCTCGAGTGCCCTCCTCATCACGGCTTGACGATATCCCTGGCAGATGTTGGCGTCCCCGAAGGACATCCGGTGCTCGTCTTTCTTGGCTTGGGTGCGGTGCGGTACCTCGTCGGGCTGTATGACGAGCTTGCACAGGCGCTTGGCCTTCGGCTGATCTGTGTCGATCGCTGGGGCCTCGGTCGCTCAAGCAATATACCGGTTGCGCAGCGCGGGTTGATACCGTGGACATCTGTCATGGTAGAAGTGCTCGACCGCCTCGACCTCCCTCGCGTAAGCTTGCTCGCTCATTCTGCCGGTGCACCTTACTGCCTCGCCACGAGCGCAGTGCTCGCTCAAACCGATCGACTATCAGGCTCAGTGCACCTGTTGGCTCCTTGGGTTGCTGGTACTCCCGACAGCGCGTACCGATGGCTGAAATACGTCCCCTCAGGCGTCATTCGGACAGCACAGGCGGCAGAATGGCACGTCCAGACGATGAAGTTGGGCAAGCCCCCCGAGATACAAATGAGAGGCATTGGCTATGTCAAGCCATCTAGCTCGCTAGGGGTAGTCACTGCCGAGGCCGAGACTGCCAGTCCAAGAACGAGCGCAGAAGGCCGTAGGCGAAGCTTCCGGAAGTCTTTCAGTTTGAAGAGTCCACCAAGTTCGCCTGCGCCGGACAATGATCTACTCGAGTCGTCGCCGCCTTCGAAGCCTCGAAGGAAGCGCTCTCTGAGCCTTGGCAAAGGGAGCAAAGGGAGATCGATGTCGCGTCGCTCGACCGAGCCAATGCCTGAAATGCCCACCTCCTCGTCGATGAGCTCAATCCAGAGCGGCGTCTCGATGCCCACCCGCCGTACTTCCCACAAGGCTAAACCTGCCGCGCCTATATTCGACACCACCGAAGCTCTCATCAAAGCATCGCACGCTGAGTCACAGGGCAGCAGCAACGACCTGCTTGTATTGCTCGACGAGCGCAGACCGAAAGGCTTCGAGTATGCCGAGCTTGCCTGTCCCGTCAAGATCTGGTACGGCGAGAAGGATGATCGCATACCCGTGTCGAGCATCCAATGGCTCGCTCAGACGTTACCTCGAGTGGACGTGAGCCTTGTGCCTGGAGCGGATCACAATCTCATGACTTCCTACAACGTGCTCGTGGACGCTCTGGAATCCATCGCCAGCGAAGCCGGCCTCACTTGATCATTAATCTTTAATCAGTTTGTCACTATGTACCATGTAATGTTCATTGCACGGTCAGGCAGCGTGAGACAAGCAGATGAGATGCATATGCGCATCAAGGTTGGGCACGACTGTATACAAGGAAAGCGAGGTTTGTTTCTCATTTGCCAAGCTTGACAGGCGCAGGCGGTATCTTGATGTGCTTATGATAGTCCTCGTCATCGTGTCCGATGATACTTTTGCCATGTTGATCGTTGTCGATGCAAGTCCTGATTGAGGAGATCCACGGATCGGCTTGTGACATATCTTCGTCGTCACCCTCGCCACCTCTGAGTAGATCTGCGAGCGTACACCGCCGAGAAGCTTGTATAGTAAGCATGCTCGTCAGTGCCGTGCGCGATTCTCGCGGGATCAGTCGGAAGATGCTGTCTGCCGCGCCGGTGTCCCATGTCGCTTGTGACGAGATTGAGGCAGCCTGTGAGCGAGCCGTGGCCATACGTTCGACGGGCGGCCGCGATGAAGACACGCTCTGAGACGTACTACCACTCGAGAATGATGACTGTGAGGCAGCAGAATGGGCAGCGTCGCGCTCTGGTGCATCTGTAGACGGCGCTTTGCTGTCGAGCAGTCTGGCAGCATTAGAACCCCCCTTTGTTGGCGAGGAATCTGCTCCAGAGACGGATTCGGGCGACGCCGTTCGATCAAGTGTCGTGAAAGCAAGCTCATGCTTGTCTTTGTGACGCTGCTTGTCCGGCAGGCTCTCGTCCTCCGACATCGATGTGCCTTGTCCGGTCGAATAGCCAGAATCGCCGGGCGAGGATGGTGCATGAAAGATGGAAGAAGTCGCAGAGAGCGATGTTCCCGAGCTGCCGCAATTACGAGATTCACCTTGCAGCATGGGCGTCGAGGTACCGCTCTGATTGCCCCGATGATTCAGCGAAGCAGTGCTCAGCGTCCTTTTAGGCGACCAGCGGCCCGCAGTCTTAGGTTCAGCAAGAGGCGCACACAGCTCCGGATGCGAGTTGACGTAGAGACGGTACGAGGCATCGGTACGCGTGTCCGGCAGCTTCCAGGGAAATCTCCGAAGGATCATACACATGAAGATGATGCCGACCGACCAGACATCGACCGCTCTGGGATCGTAGTCTGCCTTGCCCAGCACCTCTGGTGCCAGATAAGGATCGCTTCCGACGATGCCATTGGCCATCGTAGGCAGCTGACCGGGATACCTGAAGACAGTGGCAGTGCCAAAGTCGATAATCTTGACGCAGTTATCAGCCGTCATAACGCAGTTGTCCAACTTGAGATCACGGTGCGAGAGACCCATCTCGTGCAGATAATCGACACCGTCGATGATCTGCCTGAAGACACAGTAAATCTCTGGCCGCGTCATCTTTCCTGACATGACGATTGAGAAGAGGTCAAACTCGGCATATTGCATGACCTCGTAGAATTTGCCGTGGTCGCAGATGATATCGACGGTATGGATGATGTTGCGATGATGAAGCGCAGAGCCTAGAGTGAACTCGGCAGTCACCTTCTTGACGTAGTCTTTCTCAGGCTCGCCTTGCCGCCTCTGCCTGAACTCCTTGACGGCAAACACAGTGTGGTCCTTGGAGCGCCTGATCAGCCGAACCGTTCCGCCAGCGCCACTTCCCAGGACTTTGCCCCATTTGCCGTACTTCTTTTGCAAATGCGCGTGGTCCTCCCCAAAGGGCGGGCTGTGACGTCCCGGCGAATGGTGGGAGGAATGCGAGTCCCTCTGGGTCATCACGAGACTATGACCTCCGTGACCGCGTGAATGCTTGGGCGTCAACGCGGGAGTGGCGTGGCCGGACTTGCTGCCAATTGAGGGCGTATCCGGTGGGGTGGAGGGTGCAGTGTGGGACTGCTTGTCTGTATGATGACCATGGTGGAGATGATTGTTCAGGAATCGACGCAGATCATGGAGCGGACTGTGGTGCTTATTATGATCGGCGTGATGTCCGTTGCCAGCTACTTGAGCGACGCCACCGTGCGCGCTCGAGCTCACCCGCGATGGGTTTGGGCTGTGATTGACAGAGCTCGGATGGACTGGTGTGGCAGTACCAGAGCCAAGTGCACCCTGCGCAGAGGCTTTCCTCGCAGACGGCTTTGCAAAGATAAATTGCGGCGGTGTGGGTGCGTCTGGCGTGCCAGGCGAGCCCGTGTATGCCGGTGGGAGATGCATGTGGTAGTCCTCGCCATGAAGGAGGGAGGAGACCTTCGAGTCTCCCGACACGGACGAGCTCGAGCTCGACATGCCAGCCGAGCGACCCTCGCTGTTGGGCATCTTCGAGAGAGAGTGATGTAAGGTTGCCTCGATGTCGAATATCGACTGGCGGTGCGAGGCTGCGCGATCGAGGTTCGAGCTGCCTCGCATCTCTGGCTTGAGATGATGAGGCTCTGCGTGGTGATGCATGACTTCGTGAGGATGCAGTCTGGAGGTGGCACTTGCGGCTTCAGAAGTCGCATCTGTCGCGGTAGAGGGCACGGGCGTCGCGCTGTCAGCGAGAGAGACGTCTGCCATCTGCTCGTGGATCTGTGGCGCCAGAGGGGCGACCGAATCGATCATTGCGGCTGCCATGGCTGATCTCGTGAAGCAGAGCTCGTTGAGCAAGCGCTTCCTGAGCGATTTCGGTCGGCAGCCGCGGAAATCAAGACTGTGCAAGCAGCGAGCGTGCGACAGAGTCAGATCAGATCTGACTACGCAGCGCAATGCACCCACTGTGAGGATCGCGCAGGGGAGGCGACGGTATAAGCCTGCATAGCGGCGAAGAGTGCGTTTGTCATCAGTCTCTATGCCAGCTGTACGCGAGCGAGCGGGCAGGCAGCAAACGGAGACCAAGGTCAGGCTGACGACAAGAGTAGAGGAGGTCCGAGGCCGGGGAAAGCGTCTCAGGAGGGCTCCTCTGACACGGCTTATCCGGCTGCCCGTCGCTTGGTTGGCTTGGCACCGCAAGGCGCGAAGGAGCGGAGGAGGAGACGGGCAAGCATCAGATCGCTTACCTCGACAGACTATCGAGCGATACGCTCTGACCTCGGGCCGGGCGCTCGTCGCGCGAGACGTCGTCGGGTCTGCCCACACTGTTGATCGTCATCAGCAAACGTGCGCATTCAATCGTTCGACGCACAAGCAAAGGATGACTGGCTCGGCACGGCAAGTCGCTTTCAGATCTGCATGCGCTCGCCAGCAAACGATCAGGCAGGCGGAAAGGCGGTGTAGATGATGGCCTCGCCAGGCGAAGTTCGGCTATGTCGAATCTGAGAAATCCGCTACACAAATGAGTGGGCTGTTCCTGCAAGGGGTTCTCGCTCCCTGTCACTCACCAGGAGATGCTTTGCGGACAAAATCGACTGAATTGCCTCGACGCCCCTACTTCGGCCGCCTCGCTGCGGACGGGCGGGCACGGTCGTTATCTTCGCCCTCTCGCGCCCAACACGGTCCTCGCCGGTTGCGTGCTTCGGCAGCAGACGAGCTTGCAGCAGTGATGCAGCAGCAAAGGCTTAGACAAGTCCTGCCGTCTGATCGACTATCGCCGCAGCAGGAACAACACGCCCCTGACCACTAAGCAGATCCAAGATCGCTCCGCCCTAGCATTTTGCCGAGCCGGCGCTCAATCTCGGCCGAAACGCGGAATTGCAATTGGTCAGCTTGAAGGGAACGCGTGGTCGAATGAAACAGGGCTGGCAGCTGCCGGCCTGTCAAGCTTGCTGCACGTCAAGAGGAGATCAAACAATAGCGTGCATTGCCGTGAATCTAAGCGAGCGTCATAACGACCAACACATGAAGGGGTATCGTCATTAGGAGGAAGAAGCACTGTGCTGCGCCTTGTCTGCCTTGGCAGCAGCTTGGTTGGCGACCTCGCTTGCCTTGCTCGAGGCGGCGTCGATGCTGCGCACATGGGTTGAGCTACTGCTCCATCACATCCCAGGAGCGAGACTCACTGTGGCTGGGCATCCTTCTGGGCCTGGTTGAGAAGCGCTTCACCCTTGGCGTAGGCATCAGATACGCCACCGCCAGTCTTCTGATCGGCAGCCTTGTAGATATCACTGCCAGCCTTGCTCACGGCATCGGTAGCATCCTGCAGGGTCGCCTGTGGCTTGCCATCTGCTTGTGCTTGCTCTGCCTTTTGCTGACCGACAGCGATGTAAGATTGGGCAGTGCCGAGTGCAGAGGCAGCGAGTGACTTGGCTTGGTCGACATACGATTCACCACCTGATTTGCGTGCCTTTGCGTCGTCAGCCGCGGAGGCAGCTTGTTGCTGGCCGTGCGAGAGCGCTTTCTGAGCCTCGCCGAGTGCCTGACCGGCGACATTGCGAGCCTCGTCAATCAGTCCGCCAAGCGTCTGCGTTGTGTTACCGGGCAGCTGGGTGCCGTCAGCTGAGGACTTGGCGTCCTTGGCAGCCCCCTCGGCATCCTTCTGAGCACCGAGAGCGGTCTGCTTGGCGTAGGCAATCGTATCGCTGGCGAGCTTCGATGCACTCTCTAGCAATGAGTTTGCATGGCCCTGCGTAGGCTGTCACCTACGGCATACGCAAAGATGACGTAGAGCCCACCTCTGGATCGGAAGCGATCTTATCAGCCTGCTGTGAGGCAGACTTGACGCCCTGGTCAACCTTCTGGCCGATGGTGTCAATCTTTTGCTGTGCTTCGCCTGATGACATGTCGAGATCTTTCGTTGGGTCTTGGTCTTGCTGGCTGGTTGAGATCTGATGGGGTGCGTATGACTGTGTGTCAGCATCAGCGCACAGTATCGTCAGCAGCTGAGCCAGCTCACCATGTACTGACTTGACTTGTGTCGACGTGATAAATAACTGGCAGACGAATTTGCAAGCCTATTAGCAGCAAACGACGTCATCGACCTTGCGCGCCACGTGCATCGTGCTTCCACGTCGAGCTGACTTCTTCGACGACGTCCGCTCTGCCATGTCGGCTGTCAGCCGTGCGCATAACTCACCATGAGCCTCAGACTCTTCGACGGTCGACTAATGATCGTCTCTTGGTCTGCAGTAGTCCACGGCAGGTCCGTGCGATCGCTCGAATGAGGGTTCCCAAGCTGCGTGACCCACGAGGTTCTGGGCATATATAAGGACGCAGCATTGCCTGCTCGCACAAGTTTCGGATACCGCCGCAGATAGAGACAGTATGATCGCTTTCAAGTCTTCAGCATGCGTGCTCATCGCCCTCGCAAGCGCCGCATTCGCCCAGGATCCGCCCAAAATCGATACGCCAGCCTCTCTTGTGTTCGGTCAGCCAGCCTTGCTCGCTTATGCCGGTGGCGTTGTGGGTCTGCTCTGTCTGCGTGGCAGAGTACTTCTAATCATTCGGTGCAGCCGCCTTGGTTCTTGTCTGTCTTGCCCGGCGGACAGCCTACGGCAGCACCTCTTAGGGTAAGTCAGCCGCGCATAAGTCCAAACAAAGCCTAAACAGGGCCACAGACGTTCCCAAGACAGAACAATACGGCCGACGGCCTCACATGGAATGTGGACCTCCAGCCTGGCACCAACGTCTCGCTACAAGTACGCGACGGCAAGGGCCGTCTTGGTTACTCATCGCCCGTCATCATCCTAGCACAGTAGCCGGAAAGTCTATGTACAGTACCAGTTTTGTCCATGCATTCGGGTCTGCTCTGTCTCCAGCTACGCATGGAGGTCCGAGCGCACGACAATTGCTCTTGGAAGAGCATCCCGCAACGCGCCTTACGATGGGCGCAATGCAATCCTGCGACTGCGCTAGGCCAGAGCAGCACGAAGACGCTGCTTACGAGCCAACGGCAAGGAGCCTGCCTATCGCCGACAGGTTCATGAACAGCTACACGAGACCTGTTGTCACCATTGTGCCGAGCTCGGCAGAACGGATCACATGCCTGGATCGCAGGCCACTGGGCCCCTTTGAGTCCCGACCTTGGGCGTCCACAATAGTCAAAGACCGCCTCGACAGGTAATGCACGATAGTGGTCGATACAGAGATGCTGAAGGTGCGCTTCACGACAGAATGTCATGCTCTTGACAACAACAGGCAGGAATCAGTCTAGAGTTGCAAGGCCGCCAAGGCAGACCACATGAGGATAGGACAGGTCAGGTTGTCGTTCTGGCTAGATGTTGCTTCGAACAATGCAGTCAAGCAGGTTGCGAGCAGATACTTGAGCGTGGAAAACGGTGGCGAAAGTCCGATGAGCTTGAGCAACTCGGCAGCGGAAACGGTCGAAGCGACGAATGCGAATGAGCCGATCAGAGTTTTGCTCGAACCAGGCCACCTGACCGTGCCAACACGTCTACCGATGATCGAAGCAAGCGCGTCACCAACCCCGAGTACGAGGACGCCCGTGAACAGCTTGATCCCGACAGTGTCCAGCCAGACACCTGATGCACAGCCAGTGAGTAGGTAGAAATGGCTGACGACGACAGGGCCGGAATCTTTACTGTCAATAAACTCATTGAAGAAGACGTGGATTGGTGCACCAATCGGGTAAAGCGCAAAGTAGCGAGCATATTCGGCAAAAGTGAACACTGCGAATGCAAACGAAAATGCCAGGGATGTGAATGACGTCTGCGCTTAGCATTAGAACCATAGCGTCAGCTCAAAAAAATCACACGCACGTCAAGGGCGATCGCAGGCACGAACAGCAGGACGGCCAGCGCGTGAAAAAACTTGCGTCGCAAGTCGAGGCTGACATGAATGCGCCGTTCTTCACGCGCAGACTCAACGTTGCTCTTGCTGCTCGCCTTGCCGTCAGCCGAGCCCATCCGGCCCATTGTCACCTTCCGAGCTCGGACAAGACGGGTCTGCCACCCGCCGATGGCGGCGGTGATCACAGCAAGCCAGTAGAATACGAGTACGAGGCGTCGCCATCTTCGCCAGCCCGTGATCTCGCCGGCATGCATACCCTTGATGCCATCGCCGCCAAAGATGGTATATCGCAATGCCCACTCCCACGCGTACGTGATTCCGCCACCGAAAACCCAGCCTGTCCAGCCGGCGAGCGGACCGAGGACGATGAGGATCAAGCATCCAAAGACAGCAAGTGCTAGCAATCTGCGACTTCGCTCACGCCTTTCTGGCCACTATGGGTTTCCATTAGTATTGACCATAGACGCTACTGGAGCTCTACCTTCAGACGGTGAGCTGGCTTTTGAGCCACATGGCGCGACATGATGAGCAACGGCGAGAGGATAAAGCCGCTGAGGAATGCGCCAGGGATGAGCACGTGTTGGAATGCAGTGATGGCGGTCGGATCTCGGAAAGTTGCAGGTATGCTTGGTCGATCGAGGAAGTGCCATCTGGCCACACTCAGTCGCCAGAACTCAAGGCATAGCGAGACGCCAGAACTAGAAACGATGGAAAGCTCGCCAAGGGTGAAACCACGCCTTGCCAGCCGAGATATCGTATAGAGTGACATCTGGTAGAGAAACGCGCAAAAAAACGTCTCTGTCGGTGAGTTGTACATCAATCCTGCAAAAGAGGCATCAGCGAACTGTACAAAGACACGGCGCAGCACGCGCCATGACCAGAGCGTCTCGCTACCACAAGAGCGAGACTGATGAGTGCGCCAACGCCGGCAGAAACAACGACTGCGCCAAAGAACCGCTTGGTATTGTTCCGAGGCAGCAGGCTGACCTTGAGAATCGTTCTTGCGAGGAAGACATGTAAGACGAGTATGTACGAATTGATGGTGATCATTAGCATGAGCGCGGCTCTGGCTTGCAGTTGCAATTCGTGCAGTTCACTTGCGCTGGTCACAGTGACGTTCTGAGTGCCTGCGACACTCCACTGGTCGACGAGGGCGCGAATATTACGCAGCGGTGTCTCGCCGCGATAGCATGCGTCCGCGAACACAGCCGTTGCGACCATAGGCGGCAAGAGGGCGCCAACTGCAAAGCCATCATCCGCAGCGCTTGCATCTCGGTAGCCTCGCTCGTCAGTGAAGGGCACCATCAGGTATGTCACAGGGGCGGTCCGGCGCAAGATGGCGATGAAGGGAACGATTGCGACCAGCAGGATGATTGGTCCAAACGAGACCGGCACGGCAAGGGGGGCGCTGAGCGCGCTGGCATTGGCTTGCCGGAGCACAAGAGCAAAGACAAGAGCAAGCACGCACACTTCCGGCACGAGAGGCCAGCGAACGGGTATGCGCCAGCCTTTGCCTTTTCGGGCGCCATCCGTCATGCTGCTCTTTGCCGAGGCAGTATCGCTGTATGCGGTGCCCGTATCCGAGCTGGCCTGATTCGAGCCTCTCCGACGGGGCAGCAGCGCATTGACAGAGAGGAAGCCATTTGCGACGTTCTTGGGCTGCTCAGAGGACATCCAGCCATGCTCGAAGGCAACAGGCAGATGAGCCGACGGCAGCTGAGAGACTCTCTTGTTGAGCTGATCCCACGCAGCCGCACCGAAATGAGGCACGCCGTTGGTGGACTTGAGCTGGCGCTTTTTCAATACTTCGCCTGCTCTGGACGCTTCGCCAGCAGCCATGGGCTCGCCCTCATGGGACAGATCATCGTCCTCGTCGCCTAGGCTGGCGTCGCTCTCCTCATCCTGCTGCGAGGAGAGCTCCCGGTCACCGGCCTCTGAGTTTGAGCCAAAGTAGCGGCCCCTGCGGTTGGACGGCGACTCGAGCAAGCTCTCTGAAATCTGATTGACCGTCTGAGCTCGCTTGGAGGCGCTACGAGTTAGCCGGCTGCTAGGCAGACTCTCTACAGGCGTGATCTTGAGACTTCGCTTCATCGAGTCCGTCCGCCGCCTGGGCGTAGTGCTAGCTTGTCCACCTCCTCTGCCGTTCGCCTTGGACGGCGTTGTGGCATCGCGAGGAGGCGGACTGGGTGAGGACCGGGTGGAGAGTGACACGGTAGCTATCGTGGGGCAGGAGAGTGTCTACCGACGAGCTTGCCTAGCGCTGCTGATGCTCTGCATGCCTCACGACAAGCTCAGGCCACAGACGCTAGCTCGAGGCCTCAGCGCGCTTGGCAGAGACGCGCTTGGTCTTTCGAGCGAGCGAACATGGCAATTCAAGCTCATTTTCATCATCGACTCTTCATGATCAGAAACGAACTGCACACTCGCGGACACATACTCAGACTTCGAGACCATGCGGACGGACACCGAACCTGACGGAGGGACCTCAGCCAAGCCTTGCGGGAGACGACCGGGCTCACCTGAAGCGACCGATTTGGCGGCCATGCTCGACATGGGGGATCCTCAAGATCCCAATGTGTTGCGCAAGTCGAAGCGATCTGGGCCTCAGAGTATCGACATGGGCCTTTTGCAGGCTTAAGCCGTCAGGGACAGGATCAACGGTGGGCAGATGAAGGCTGATGTGGCAAGTAAGTTCGAGCAAGTTGCTAGTCGCATAAGGCTGTCCGGGATCGAAAGCCGGCCTCTGCTCGTCTCGTACGAACGGGTTCGGATAAGGCGGCGGCAAATGCTGTCTGTAGAAGTCGGTGGGAGCGGGCATTGGCTCGATCTGATCACGTGGTGGCTCGTAGACGCCCAGAGAAGCATTGGTGAGCACGACGACTGCGCCGAGACGCGTACGTGCGGCCGCGAGGTATCTGAGAGCTTGGGAGAACGCACGCGCTTCTGCCTTGAGCGGACGCCGCGCTGTGGCTGGTCCCGTCTCGCTGCGAGATTCTCGCGAAGCTCGAGAAGCACATTCGTTGGTGTATCGATCTTGCCAATAGCATGACGAGATCGAATCGACGATGATCATTGCGATCTCCTCATTCGGTCGCTCCCGCTCAGCGTAGCTAGGCAAGCCAGCAAGGCCGGCGGCAAGCTCAATGGTGTCGCGCGTCTCAAAGATGTAAACGCGTGCCATGGCGAGCTCGAGCATTGCCTCTGTGGCGTCAGACGAGGCCCTGGCGTTGTAGAGGGTAGGTATGAGATCGCAATGTGCATCTATGCGTCGCTTGAGGTGCGCGCGAACCATCTCCTTGAGACGCAAGGCAGACCAGCGCTTGTCGACGTCAAAGACGGCGACTGATCTGTTCCTGCCGCCCAAAGTGATGGTGTCTACCCTGGGCGGTCGAGTGCTCGCGGGATTGGCAAGCGAAACCGCCCAGGTGAATGGCAAGATTGTAGTCAGAGCAAGGAAATAGGTCAGCTGGGTCTTGCCGGAGCCTGCTGGCCCTTGCAGCTCGATGACATCGCCCCTGTTGAGGCTGGAGGACTCGCTCGAGTGAGGGTGGTGTTCGAAGATGAGTCGGTCGAGCGCAGAGATGTTGCTCGACCCCGGCGGATCAGCATAAAAGCGTACAGTCCCTAGAAAGTCGAGGGCGGTCTCGCAGGCGATGCCAGTCAGCAAGCTCTCGCTCGCGGCCGACATTGACGCAATGGTCAGTGCATCCTGTTGCAAGGCTGCGTCGCTGGCGGCCGTGTGGCCCGGGAAAACAAAGTCACAACTCAACTCGACGGTCGCCCAACGTGCGTGCAGTCTGGCTCCCAGCTAGACATCGATCATGATCGGGTCGGATCTCAGCAGACGCCTCAAGCGACTCTGCCGGCAATATGCTGCACAAGTACCCACCGCCCTCACACGGCTCGAGCTGCCCTCTCCGCGCGAGCTGTCAGATGAGCTTGTGCAGCAGTGGCTTGTCGACCACTTGATCAATTCGCCCACTCCCCGCTCTCACGCTGAGCACACAGAGACCTCGAGCTGGTCCAGAGCTTTCTGGAAGCGTATCGTCGCCGACATCGAGCTTGGTCTCTCACTAGCTGGCCCGGACCAGCAGCCAGAGGCGCGTCTCCAACGACGGCAGCCCAGTCTGTTTGCTGAGCCTTGTCCGGCTTGATAGTGCGAAATCCACGAGGAGATCCTCTTCATCCTCGTCCGTCATCTGCAGACTCAGCTAGCCTCGACATGCTTGAGACGCTACTACTACGGCTCGCTCGATCCTGACCCTGCCTGTTGGCCAAGCGTCACGCTTTTGGAGGACTCACGCATCATCAGTCAAGGTACCACCGGACTGCGCAGCTGGCAGGCCAGGCTAGTGACTTGCGATCTATCTGCATCTTTGCCTGACCAGCTTCTCGAGCACAGTATACGCCTAGCGAATCATCTCCTTGCCATGCCATATCTGCTGGGTCGCGCGACCGTCATCGAACTGGGTAGCGGCACAGGTCTCCTGGCTTGCTTGTGCGCACAGCTCAAAAATCAAGATCCTAGTCTCGGCGAAAGCCCACTGATCGTAACTGATCTGGACGAGCAAGTCCTGCTACGACTGCAAGCCAATGTAGACTTGAGTCAGAGCCGAGCCTGTACCGCTGCTCTCGCTGATCGGGATGGTTAGATGACGTCGCATCGAATGTGTGCATTCAGAAGCTGGACTGGTGCCAACCGGAGCTGCCACGGATACTGCCGAACGCGCCAAAGCGACTCCTCATACTAGGCGCTGACATCGTTAGTAGATCTGACATGTGCGGGCCGGGCCATTGATCTGATGCATCCGACCAGGTATATGACCCCGCGCTTTGTCGACCGCTGGCCAAGTGTATCCATCAGCTACTCAGTCTCTCCAGTGTTGAGTCAGGCCAGGCGCTCATTGCTTCAACTGTGCGCAACCCACAAACACTGCAAACCTTTCGCGACGCTCTTAGTGCGTGCCGGCTAGAAGTCCACGAACGAACATATCATCAGCCTGGAAGCGACGCGGAGATTGTTGGAGCATGCGATGAAGAGCAGATTGGGGGAGCAAAGTCTATAATGCTCGAAATTGTTGCCAGACAACAGCATTATGCAGTGCAATCTACATGACCGCGCACATCGAGTCACTAGACTCTGACGGCGATCTCAGCCGCGCTGACCAACGCTGACGAGGTTCCTGCGCACGATCTGTCTCGTCTCTGTCGCGTTGTCTGTCGTCGAGCATCGCCCATTGCCAGAACGAATGAACGATAACCCTCCTGTCGTCAAGCTCATCTGTGAGACTTGCAGCAGGCTCGCCATAATGGAGCGCATCGTAGCGCCATGAATCTGCTTGACCTCGTCTCGGTCTCACCGAGCCCAGCATGGCTGGCGGCAATGCGTCGCGGGTGATCGCGCGGCAGTCAGTGACATTGATCTCGCTGGCTCGCGTCCCACGAGCTCTCATCGTCTCGACGAATTTGCGTAGCGACACGTCACTGATGCCCGGACAGTTGTCAAGCTCGATGATTCTGAGGTGTAGGCATCGGCTGATGAGGTTCAACGTGGCTTCATCGCTCATGTTGACGGCGGACGACAGCACGAGATGCTCGAGCAATCGACCTGCACCCTCTCGGGTCCGCATTTTCGTCGATGGCGTCAAGGCGTGCAAGACAGCCGGACTGATCTCCGCCGCGTCCTCGAGATCCAACTTGCGTAGTTGCGGAAGGGTCGAGAGAAGAGGGATCAAAGCATCGTCGGTGATTGCTCGGTGCAAGCCGGCTAGCTCGAGAATCTGCAGCTCAGGCACAGCAAGAATGAGATGAGCGAGCGAGACGGCCGTCAGCGAGGAGCAGTGTGACAGCGAGAGCGAGCGCAATGCTGTCCGTCTGCGCCAACCCATAGTCGCCAGATTCTGTCTTCCAAGAAGCTTAGCCGTCACTTGCGCTTTGTCAAAGGGCGAATCATCATCTGCTTTGACGAAGGCAGCGATGCCACTATCGGTCAATGCTCGCGACCGGCTGACATCCAGAACCTCCAGCAGTGGGAAAAGACTCGATAGGCGACCAAATACGTGATCATTCATCAGCCGCAGGCGAGATGCCTTGAGGACGGTCAAAGGTGCGCTGAGCTCGGGTCGTGCAAGTCTAAGTAACGCAGATGCCTCAAGGTTGGGACATCTACCCACGTCAAGGTGCCTGAGCGCTCTCACCGTACCGGCCAGAATCTCAAGCGTCGAGTTGACGACAGAAGCCAGACCAGGCATTTTGAGCGTGTCGAGCTCGGGCGAGCGAGCTAGCAGATAATGCAGGCAGAGGGTGCTGATCGTGTGACATCCGGTTAGATTGATCGATGTGAGCTGGTTCTGTACGAGACCCGACGGACTCGTGGTCAGACAGGCATCGCAGATCTGCCGCATCGCATGCGCAGACAGATTGGCAAATCCAGATAAGTCCGCAGAACGCGCAAAAGAGCCGCAGTGGGCTGCTATACGTACGACGCCTTGCTCATTGATGTTCTCGCTGCCAATGCTGGCAAAATCGAGCGATTGCCAGAGCTGTCCGTCAAAAGCGATGTCCATCCACGATCGTGATACCTGTGATGGGCCCTCTCAGTATGTCATCGAACAATTTCAAAGTTAGACACACCCGTGAGAGCAAGACGAGCTGTCGCATTGCTCCTGCATGGCCGTGCCAACGATGCTTACGCGGCAGGTGTCTCTCGTCGGCAACTGTGGCCACGAGTGAACCGAAGATGAGTAGCTTGATCTCACGAGGCAGGAGCAGATCGAACAGATTCGGGTTTGGCGCCTGGATGTGTGTGCGCGCGTAGGTGCTAAGGACGGGTGACGAGGCGCTCCTGCTCCGTCCTGACTGGGCTATGTGACGAGTAGCATTGTCAATCTGGCGACTGGGCGAGGGTGAATTGGAGCGTGACTGCCTGCGGGACAGCGACGGACTAGCCAAGGGGGACGAAACCCTGCTAGCATGGGACGAGAAGCGAACCGAGGTAAGTGCTCGCTGGAAGGCCGGCCGCTTGATGCGCTCGTACGAGTCCGCTGTAGCAGTGGTCGTGCGCGTGCTTGGCTCGGGACTTGAGGTCGACTGCGTTCTGCTCGCCACGGAATTGCTGCGTGTCGAGCCAGCGATGCCTGGCCAGTTGAGCGCGCGGTCAAGTCTGCGGCGCTGCACCGGCACGTCGCTGCTGTCCAGACTGAGGGTAGACGAATGTGCTGAAGAGATGACGAGATCGAAGCGTGATATGGGCACCGATGCCATGGATGATGCGGATGACGAGGACGAGCCCGGACGTGGCGGTAAAGAGAGACCGGTGCTCGCGCTCTTGCTCGACGATCGCAGAGACTTTGATTTGATCTTTTTCAATACTTTGTGGGCCAAGGAGGTCTTCGAGCGTCGGCTTGTCACACTTTCTTGCGACAGATTGGCACGGGCATGCGAGAATGGGTCCGCGGGCTGGTCTGCCGAGAGAGGCGATGTCTCGAACTCCTCTAAGCTTGCCCTGAGCTGTTGCAATCCACTCGAGCCCTCTGACTGGCTCTGCTCGATCGACCGGCGAGCAAAGTCCAGAGGGAGGTCAGACGATGATTGCGTGACAGCCGGCGAAGCAGCGGGATGCTCCTCCAGGGCGTCGAGTGCATCGAGCATAGTCATCATTGTCGAAAGACCAGACAGCGTTCGCCGGCGCTGTTTGCCCCAGACCTTATCGGACATGCCTGATGATGGAGAGGTGTAGGACGAAGCAGGCGTACTGACGAAACTGGAAGCGGCCGTGTCGATGCTCGTCTGGCGCTCGCGCCAGGACGAATCAAAAAGGGGTGAAGCGCCCGGCAGGTCGCCGTTTGAGGGACTGTCGGACGATATGCTGGTCGAAGTAACTGACGAGAGCGTGTAGGAGCGGTCTCTGGCGGTGGGGATGCCGTGGGAAATCTGATTCTCTGGCCAGAGCCATGCGGGCGATGTATGACTCGAGGCCTCGCAGGACATGCCGAGGCCATAGGTAGGACTGATGGTGGGTGCCACTGCTCTCGCCTTACCTTTTGGTAGACTCATCGTGGCACTAGAGGCACTGTCAGCCCTGATAAGGTTGCCAGTGGGCACGCCATCTGATTGGGTGTCGAAATGTTCGAGCATGCCGGCGGGCAAGCAGGCGTCTGCTGCTGTCCACGCTTGCTCTTTGCTGACGATCTGCTGTCTGCCAGTTCAGAGCCAGTCTATCTTGCTTTGTCCAGCGATTAGTTCGAAGAAGAGGCCAGTCAGCGAACAGGGCTAACCTCTCGAGCTGGCGTATGACTTTCGAAGGCAAGTGGGTACGTACTATACCTGCAGCCAAGCCTGTCCGGTCGATGATGACGATGCAATGCGCTGAGCGATAGACTATGTGCGGGCAACGGCCTCTGGGCGGGCGAGCTTCGGAATTGCCTATGAATCCGCTGAATGACTGCCTGATTTGAGATTCGCACTGTGAGGAGTGCTGCTGACGATCCAATAGGTCCGGCTGAGTCGGTCTTGCGAGACTGCTGGGAGCTCGTCGAGGCGCAGCTCAGGCTGTTCGAGCACGTCGACGTCGACCGCGCTCGAGCAAAGCAAAGCGAAGCAAAGCAGAGACCGCTGCTGCCCCAGACCTGCAGCTCGGCTGGCCGACGCCCACGGAGCGATGGCCAGCTCAAGTCATAGCTGGACGGAGGCGCTAGCAGCACACCCTGTCTTCGATCCAGTCACCAGCACCGTGAGCTCCGCGCAAGCCGACGTTCCCATAGAACTAGCGACTCCACGCTCGTCAGCAAAGTCCCCATTTCCTGCCAGTCCTGGTCTGAGTCCGATCGGTTCACCGTCTGGCTCTGGCTCCGGTCTCCCGTCATGGACACGCTCAGCAAGTCATAGAGGCCCCTCCCAGGCAGCAGCAGTGACGCCGGACGCGAGCAGGCAAGGCCATCGACAGAGGATGGCCATCATCAGAGACTCGGAGCTTCTCGTGGCAGTAGGCAATCAGCTCCGGCTGACCAGTCTCAGCGAGATCAAATCGCACGCGTCCTCGTCCAGACCGCCCTCCCCTTGCAAAAGATCGTCGTACAAGGTACGCCTGACCTGCAGCACCTTGCCTCACCTCGAGAAGTTCACACGTCCGGCAGACACTGACGAGCGACCTGCTGACCTTTGAAATCGACGTTCTTGTGCCCAGTCCCAACGGTCGACTGCTCGCCGTCGTGGGCGAGAGCCAACTCGTCGTGCTCGTCCTCCCTCGCCTCGGCTGGGCTTCACGGGTGTCCGCGGACATACCCTGTCGTGCAGTGCCAGTGGGAGCCTATCATCATGGTCCGCAAGGCTCTGCGCGCATTGCGAGAGCTATCTGGCACCCCTGGGGCGACAATCAGTCGACAATGCTCGTACTCACTGCAGACGCTATTCTGCGAGAATATGATCTCTCTCGGGACCATCAGGACCCCGTACAGACGCTCGATTTCTCATCAGCGACCCTGACGCCATCGAAGAACCGTCGTGGACGGCCAGACGGGCGATTCTCTGGCGAGGAGCCGGAAGCCTACATTGCTGTCTCTCTCGCCCTGGGCGCACATGATGCGCAGGACTGGTCACCTCTAACACTTTACTGCCTGATGCAGAACGGGGACATCTATGCTGTAGCCCCCTATCTGCCACAGCGAGCTCAAATACCGCTCCGCTACCTCGCAGATCTCAGTGCGCACGTCACCGCTCAGATGAGGACCGCGGAAACGCCACAGAAGCGGGCCACGATGCAAGCTCAGTCCAGCTATGTACGTTCGCTTGAGAAGCAATCTCAAGCTACCTCTGTCTCGACGCTGAGTTCTACTCGGGATGAGCCAACGGTCCAGCTTCATCCGCCAGAAGATCTGCCGAGACGCCACATGACTCGACAGGGACCGTTCCTGCTGCAGCCAGAGCCCCTCGAGCTCTCGGTGCATTCTGAAGACTCTTCGATAGATTGTTTTGCGTGCGACTTTCTGTTTGCCCGCCATTCGCTTGCAGCGCCCAAACAGACAGCGCATCCGGTCTCGCTCGGAGTCTTTGTCATCGTCTTCACCGATGGTAAGATTGACGTTTGCATCGAGACCGAACCCATACAGGCGAGTTGGAGCATCCCACAGGACACCGATCTGCCAGCTCTGACAGTGTACGAGACCATCAAAGTCGAGACCGTGCCGGTAAAGGGCAACCACTCGATCGCGAGTCTTACTCGTGATCCACTTTATGACGACACCATCTACGTGCAACATTCGTTGGGCGCTCATTGCTTGGTCCTCGGCACGTGGATCCGGCCGCTCATGCTCGCAATGGCCGGTGAAGCTTCGGAAGTAGCAAAGACAATCAGGCAAGACACACCGACCGATGTCGTCTGTATCTTGCGCACATCGGCGAGCAGCGCCCAGTACGTCCATGCACTATGCGCCAAGGCCCATACTTATAGCCAGAGCAGTGAGATGGAACTCGACGCACTCTTGCTAATCAACGATGTCTATCTGGGCTACAGCCTGCTCATGATGACGCGTGCATTACAATGCGTTGCACTCGAGCTCTCAATCCGATTGGCTGCAGAGATGGGCTATGCAGATGAGTTGCCGCCGCTGACAGACGGTACTCACGAGCCTGGCGCCTATATCTCCCTCGTCGCGAAACCGACCTTCAGGCCGCCCGAGCTGCTCAGTGCTGCTCGTGGTCTACCAAGCTCGACACGTATGATCGTTCCACCCAGTCAGAAAGGCAGGGATCTTCAGATCACACCAGAAACGCTACAATTCCTTGGCAAGGCGGTCGAGCAACTACGACGGGAGATCCGAGACCTCGTCGCAGCCGCCAATGTCGTGCAAGCTCGTCTGGAGTTGCAGATGCGCGAGCTGTCCCGACAACTGTCCAAGCTTGAGCAAGCAAGACAGCGAATGCTCCCTAGCACGACACGATCTGCCAATGCTGAGGAGAGGTTGTCTCGGTGCGCCAAAGTACAAGCAGACATAATGGAGCGCGCCGATCGCATGCTCCAGCGGCTGATGGATCACCATCAGCCAATGATCTCGACGTACGAGCGACAGTGGTTTCAGGAGCTTGATCGGCTCGAGCGCGAGATCTCGATCGATGGTACAGGCTCTGGTCGCTCTCTTGTTGACCGTGTCGCCAAGGTCTGTCGTATGCGGTCGCTGCGCCCGTTCGCTGAAACCTTTGCACAGCTTGAAACCCAAGTCGCAGTCGTGCGATCCCAGCTCACCCATGTCGACGGCAGACAAAAGCAGAGCGAGTATCTCGCCGAAGATCAGAAGCGCGAGATCTACAGCCAGCTTGCAACGAACAGTGAAATACTCGACCAGGTACAGCTCAAAGCGAGCAAGCTGTCTGCGAAGCTCACGACAAGCTGAGACGCTCGTGACTGTTGAATCATCGGCTGCACGTTTTGCGAGCATCTCTGTGGTCAGACCGAGCAGGGTATTTTGCCCATGAGGGACGATAGTTCGGATGATCATCGATTGACATTGACTTCGCGCTGCTTCGCGCTCCGCTGACGTCGTTGACGCGCTGGTGCCGAAGCTGAAGCGCTGACTCAGAGTGCGCGCACATCCATCTCATGGTAACTCGTCCACACGCTCTCACGCTGCCTGATCTGCAGCAAGAGGACTTGGTCGTCGTATCGCTCTGCCTCCTTGCCTTTGTCATCTTGCTCTGGCGACGGTCGACAGCTCCGCGCACCACTCCAGCGGCAGATACCATAGACGGGCACGATGCGATCGTCCGACAGCTCTACAATGACAGAGTCACCATCGCGCGCCTTCGAGGTGAGACACGGAGAGCTTGTCCGCCGTCTCACTGATAGCACATGGGCAGTCTATCCCATCAAGAGCTGCCGTGGCTTTGACGTCGAACGCGAGTGGCCATTCACGGAGCAAGGCCTCGAGGTCAGTCCCGCCTTTGCAAGCGCTCGATCGTATGCCAAACGAAAGATCAGTATGATCGCAATTGGATGATTGTCGATCTGGAGAAGAATAAGCAGCTATCAGCAAGGGACGACCGCGGCATCAAGGTCAGCACGCGCTTTGCCGCCAACGGCGCACGGTCGTTGATGTGATGGACTTCAGCTTGTTCGTGTCATGCCGCTGATCGTACCAGATGCACAATCGCCGTTCGGTGGAGAATTGAAGATCACCTTTCTTGACGCAGCAGATGCAGAGTCATTCAGGCAAGCTAAGCATTCCATACCTTGCACAAAGTCAGAGCGTGCATTGCAGTGTACCTTTGCGACCAACCGACGAGACCTTAGCTCAGTGGAATATGTCAGTCTAGCGATACAGCTCGTGATGTCTGTTGATGAACTCCACAGATTGGAAGGCTTCGATCTCTGGGGCGACAGCTGCGAGGGCGTGATTGTCCAGAGCTTAGCTCAGATGACCGATCTAAACGCGAAGTCGCCGTCGGAGCTGCTATCTGCGTTCGTCGGCAGGCCGGTCAAATTAGTCATGAAGACTGCAAAATTGCGTCGTATGGCTGCTGACATTCCACTGGACCCGAACAGTCTGGAATATCCAGGCGGAGGCGTTGTGCGCTACCCAGACTTCGCTCCATTCTTGATATGCTCGACCGCTTCTATTGCCGATTCGGAAGCCCATGTGCACGCGCATGCCGCCAAGGGCAGCGAGTGGGCCGCCCCTCAATCTAAGAGACTCCTTGTCGAGCGCTTTCGTCCCAACGTCATCGTACAAGGTGTCTCTGTACCGTGGGGAGAAGTATGCACCCTGGACATCGCTCGTGTCCCGCGCTAACGCTGCAGCAGGATCACTGGCTCGAATCGACCATAGGCGATCAAGGCCGGTTCTATACGCCATTGCGATGTCCGCGATGCATGGTGCGATGAGCGTCTGCGCCTGCCTTGTCTCGCTGACTCATGCCAGTTTCCCAATGTCGACGTCGAATCGGGCATCCGTGTCTGTCTCATCGTCTTTGCACGAAGCTGTGCTGACCTTTCCGAATGCACAGGATAAACAGATGCCCAACAACGCGATGGTCTGCTCTGTACCTGGCCTTATGATCACCGCTAAACCCGCGCGGCAGAGGAAATATCGCATCGTTGAGGCAGCCAGCAAAGGGACCTATTGCTTCGGGTGCGCTTGCTTTCGCAACCTCAAAATGGCTTCATAAGCTTGCACGACAGGATGTACATGATTCCTGCCCGCGCTGCAGGCATACTGAGGTTGGGAGACGAAGTCAAGGTTACACGAGCGAAATGGAATCCGGAATATCAGAAAGAGTAGACACGCACGCATGTCCACCGCACAGGCGGCTCACGCCTCGTAAGATATTGTAATTGACAGACAGCAATGTCACTGTAGTGCGCTTCTGCTTCAACTCCCACCCTTCTATGTACGCTGTCCGACTCTGCGTAGCTTGGCGAAAGCACGCTTCTTGTAGCCCCCACCGCGAGCAGCCTTTTTCTCCATCGCTTCCTTTACGCTCGCGTCGAGCTCGTCTTCGTCGAGTTGACCACCAAAGCCATACCAGAAGACAGTAGCCATGCCGACAAGAGCAGCTAAGATCGTACCGGCCAGAGCCCAACGACCCTTAGCGTGGAAACCGGGGATCTGAGTGTAAGGGCCGACAGTGAGGCCGGTGAAGTCACTTGTAGAGTTCCAACCAGCCGCGTTGCCGGAGCTTGGGATGCCTTGTACTGCACACTGTTCGGAAATGAAGCTGGGTGGGCCTGGAAGAGATTGTAGCAAAGGTACGGAGTTGATAAAGGTTACAGCGAGACCGGCGGAAAGATGCCAATCCTGCCCGGCTCCGTCAGCCTCTGGACTCCGCGCTTAAGCTGAGCATACGATGTGACAATGAAAGAAGGAGACACCAGGGTTATCAGCCCGGAAGCGAACGACAGCAAGTCCCCCGGAGGGGATTTGAACAGTATCACGGCGAATGGGGTTGGCCTGATTCTCTACCAGAGGCGGATTGATCAACGGATCATCGCTGGTCACATCCTGACTCTTCCTAATGATCTGGAATTCTATGTGCGCAAGGATTCAGCTTTGATGGTGCAGGCATACTGAGTGACACTAACTGTATCCATGCAGATGAAAAGGGTGCTTGCCCGCATCCCAATTGAAGATCTGCAGCTCGATGTTTTGTAGGTGATCGAGTATATAAGGATTCGTTTGACCGTAGACCACCGGATTGGCGGCATCATCACCCATAGTGAGAGCAGTGAAGATTGAAGGCACAATAGGCTGGTCATAAGTAATGTTCTGGCCTTCTGTGTTCATAAACATAGCTCTATTGACGCCGGTGTCCATCGTGTCGAACCAAACGTTGAGTGGGATCTGCCGGTCAGCCGGCGCAGATGCTTCTATGATGAGAGGAACAAGAGCAACGTCATCAAAGTCATGATATTCTGGAATCATCTCGACATCGGCCAGAGGGAAGCTCGAATCGTACACGACAGAGGACGTATAGTCTGCGCTGACGTGTCAATTGCCTCGCGATGATGACGAGACGGCTTACTGAGCGCCAGGTCGTCAGGAACGGTGTCGAACATGTCAGAATCAAAATCTGTCAAGAAGTCAATCCCACTAACTCGCAAGAGTCTTTGAACGTACTAAATTGGATCGGCCAATTTTGGGTAGTATCGTTGAGAGCTTTTACAAGGATTGAATACCTCTGTGCGACTGTGATGGTGATCAAATCGGTCTCATACGGCTCAACATCAGTCTGCTGGACTTCAGCAACATGCACAATACGTTCAGGCCAAGCTTACGCCATCTACTTCGATGACGGTCATGGTGTGGCCCATCAGGCGGAAATAGAACATAGCGAACGCTCTGAGAATTGCGTCAGCGGTTGTCCGGAGCTTCCAGGAGGTTGATGCCTACCCTGTGTTGATGAGACGCAGTCGGTACGTCTTGCCGGCTTGAAAGGGCAGTGTCGCGTTCTCGTTGAAACCGGGCAGATATCGACCATTTTGACTGAAGTACATCAGAGCCGAATCTAATATACGACATGAGTGCGTGGTCATGCGCAATCGCCGATGAACCCACTTGGCACAGGCTCTGCACCGGTTGGATTCGCGACGTTGATGAATTGATCAAGAAGGACAGAGTGCTCGTCGTGATACCAGTCGGACATGACGACTGTGAACTCCTCATCGTATACGTAGGGTTCAGGCTTGTTGTGTATGATGAAAGGAGCTCGTAAGCCATCGACATATTGCCCCTTGTTGTGGGAATGCTAGCGCGTTCATGATCAGCCTGTCTCGCTGCTTCAGAGGCAGAGTCTGCGCGCACCTGCCAGTATGTGCCCCATTGATCAGATACCGGCACCTCGTAGGTGAATGAATAGCCAGGCGGGATACCACTGTTTGATAGCGCGTCAAAGGCAAGCACAGAAACAGTTGGCTATGGCTGACCATTGCGTGACTCCGACGGCACCATCATACCACAGAGATGCGTTGAAGTAGATGCCGTGATGATGCAAAGAGACAGGCTGATCTATGCCGTTGTACTGTGACGCGGAAAAGTCCATAAGCTGCAGGGCTGCAGCGATGCGAGAAGCTCACCGCATGCACAAGCAGGCTGTCATTGCGATTGACTTCAACAGGGGGAGGAGGCCATGTCCCATTGACACCGATCACTCGACGCTCGTAGAGACCGTCTGGGTTAGCTTGTGTATACGTGATATTGACCCTGCTCGCAGAATTGAGCGCCAAGCCCTGCTGTAAAGACATCTCCGGACTGACCAGTACTCGACGAGCGCTGCTCGCGCGAGACTAGCGCTCAAGAGAAGCGCGACCGATCGCACTGCTTCAACAGGTAAGAATCGTTCGCCAAGAGAGGCCGAGGACTGACTTGTGATGGATAGCGGAGGAGCGATGGATAAGATCAAAGATCAGATGTGATTGTGGCCTTATACAGTAAACGTCTCAACCGCGGGCCGGGAAAGACCGCGAGCGCTCGGAATGCACGAAAGCAAGAAGCGGTCGTGATTGTTGCACCTCGTTGCCTGCTCAGATGAGTGCATGCAGGAGGAGCCTGTCCAGGCGAGTGCATGTAGAGGATCGACTTGAACGCAGAAAAACGCTGTATTGGAACAACAGCTGTTACAAAGCTTACGCGCCGCCACGAAGACGGAGCACCAAGTGGAGGGTAGACTCCTTCTGGATGTTGTAGTCGCTCAAAGTCCGGCCATCCTCGAGTTGCTTGCCGGCAAAGATGAGGCG